GAAAATTTATCGTAAATCTTATTAAAATCAGTTAATAGAATCTCCAAATATTAATTATACCAGAGGGTAAAGAGACGAGAAAGTGAAAGAAAGGAGAGATTAAGACGATGATAAGTACAAAGACTGAAAAAATCGTAATAATTTACAGATAACTTTAGGGATATAAGTTTAATCAAGTATTAAGTACTTGTACATTGTTTTGCGAACTATAGAAAACAAGGTTGAAAGGGATTGGGTAGGATTGGTGTTTGAATAGCAAAGTTAGACGAAAATATAGTTGCTCTATCCTTATCTAATCACGAAAACTTTCTTCTCGAGTACTTTGGTCGAGTAGAAACAATTTTTAATAATTTTACGTTTTCTTCCTCTAATTACTATATTAGAGATAGAGCTAAAAATAACTTGGCAGAGATATGCGAATCACGTTCTTGTCCATTAATGATACGTTTTTCCCAAATAAGTGACCTTTTACTTTTTGTACCTTTTTATTAGGAAAAGAAAAAGGAATTCATTGTCTTAAGTGTTTTCTTCCTTTGACGAACGATAAAAGAGTTAGTCCTCAGTTTGACTAGAAAAAAAATCTACTAAAACGGATTATCAGTAGTACTAAACCCTATATAACCAATGAATAAACTCTATCGTTATAGACGTTTGTTAATACAACTATGATGCAGATTATGTGTTTTATGAATATTAAATAGGCGCGCTAATCTTTTGAATATTAATAAGCTATTTCGAACACTAGCAAGATCACTTATCACGGATTACAAGGCAGATCGATAGACTGTAAGATATTCGATCTATTATAACGAACGTACAAAAAAAAGCCTGATAAAAATAACATTCCGCTTCGCTTCGTACGATAGGAATGGAAAAACGCACGTCGAAATCTTGCGACTGTCGAGGGGATGGTCTACTGGATAGATGTTCAACGGCGCCTAGTCATTATTATGTAACGACACCAGCGTCTATGAGAAAGAGCCGAGGAGAACACGTCTACGAGATTTGCTATTGCGATCGTAAAAAGTCTTCAGAAAGTTACTGTAAAGAAAATAGGAATAATGAAAGGTATTTATTGAATTATTTTTTACTCTATTTAGCTATTTATTTATAAACTGGTCTCTCAACAGACACAAATATTTGTACACTTACAAATTGTTTCTTTTTCTTATTACAAAAATCATTCCGTTGTAGGTACGAGGGATAGATATAGAAATAGATAGAGAGAAAGGGAGAGAGAGAGAGAGAGAGAGAGAAATTTTAAGATAAAATAGATAGATGGAAAAGATTGAGAAAAAAAAGTAACAAGAGTAATAATCATCTACTCTAAAAAGTAGTCTTTCTTTTCCTCGTCCTCTCTCTCTCTCTCCCTTTCTGTCTATCTATCTATCTAGCTAGCCAGCTAGCTATTCCCCTCCTCTCTTACACCACCCCTTAGTCTTTTCTAAAATATAGCTTTTAGACAAGCTCCTACACGAAAAGGGACTAGCTAAAAAGCCACATAATTATACTGTTGAAAAGTTTTTTACGTATTTCTTTTTTGTTTTCACACCAACCAAAAAAGATATATGAGCCAAAGATCTCTTGGAAATTTAACGATTACTGGAACACAACCAAAAATCACACCTAGAAGGGAAGAAAATGATTTAGAAGGAGAGAATGAAGAGAACTATTTAGCGTTTTTAAGAATGAGGAAATCGTTCAGAGGGAGACGCTCGAGGGTTAAACGATGGTGCAAATGGGCGTTTATGGCCTCACTTTGTTGCGGGATTTTTGTTAGTTTAACTGGAATTGTTGTTGGATTTGTTGTTCTCGCTCCATTTTACGCTAAAGGTCAGAATTTTTATTACTTTCATTTCGAGTAGTAGGGAGAAAAAAAAACTAGCAATAACTATCTCAACAACCATCAAATTAATGAAGTTAGATAATCTCTATTTATAAAGTATATACATGTATACTGTATATACTGTATATATACTTTATCTATATTTTTTATTTAAAGCTATGTAAAAAGATATTAGAACGAACTCTTTATAGTCTGCTATTTTTTTGTTACGTTAATAGGCCTATATTAGCTTCAGAGCCGCAACTACTTATTGAGGATAAATGTTTTTATTAGCGGTATAACTATTATCATTTTTATTATTTTATTATTCAAATGTTCAAACACAAAAAAAAGGAAAAAAATTGTTGGAATTCTTTCTAGTTTGTTCTTTTCTTTACTATCTCACTTTGGGCCTATTAAGGATAGCTGAATAAACAAAGGAATAAGAGTGAAACTTTCTCATAACTGTACCATTTAATTTCCATTATTAAAGATTACAGATTTAACGAGTAATTCGTTTTAAAGGTTTTGTCGACCTCGAGTTGTTTAGTAATTCCTTCGAAGGAGGCGGAAAATCCGGGATTAGTCGGCATTTATTCGCCTCATTAGTCATTTTTTGAGATTGAATTGAAAGAATCTTAATTAATTAATTAGGTAAATTAAATAAAAACTATTGGAAAGGAATTTTTCTGTATTGGTCTCTATTTAAATGGTAAATTAGGTAGGAAGTAGTGCGATAATTGCAATTATAAAAGTGTTGAACACTTTCAATCGTTAAGCATTTTAAAGTTACCTGTTCATGATATAAAGGAACGGTAGGGAACCCTTTCCATAATATATATTGAACAGAAATTTTTTATCTGGCCAAAGACTATCGATTTCACTTTGTTATATAACGTTTATAAAGATTATTCGACCGTAAGTGATTTTCTTTATAAATAAAATCTAATTACTCAATCAATTTATCGCCAGTATTAAAACTACTTAATCATTTCTTGCTTATTTATATTTAATACTATTTTAAAATTACTACCAATCAACTAATCTGTTGGAGAGTTGCGTCTGCCTGACCACTCGCCTTCCTCTCACTAATACACCTCTATATCTAAATACAAAGAGAGAGAGAGTAATATATTAGTATAATGCTTACGCGAATGAGAAAGAGTACAGAAGAGTAATTACTGAAAATACAATAGAAATGCTTACGAAATATCCTAAAAAGGCAGGGAAGTAAGAATTAGAGAAGCTACTTGAATATTAATTACCTTTGATTGTAGAGTATGTACTGTATACATAACCGTATGGAAATTATTTTTACATACAATAGATATTTTTATGGCGTACTGGCTTTATTGTAGGAGCCTATCATATTTTTTAATCCCTATTAGCACCAACATCCGGCTGAGACGGAGTGCAACGAAAAAGTCGGCTCTTTGTTTGTTAAAGTTAATTTATACATACATCAACTCCTCTATATAGTGTGAAATTTTATCGTTACCCCCTAAAACAAGTTAAATCGAGTAGAGGGTTTGTTCCGGTGACTTTGTAACTACAAAGAGTTGTCCTGACTGTAATACCGAAAAAATTCTGAATCATATAGATAAAAGGAATGGAAAGAGAGAAAAAAGGCCAATGTGCTATACATCGTCTTGAAAATTTTTTTTGTCTCGGGTGATTTAGACGTCATCAGATTTTTTAGGATTCTATTGAAAGTAGACGCTTGATGAAATCCTTTTTTTTGGTTAATATGACCTCAGTGAGACGGGAGGGAGAGGCGAAGAGGAGAAAAATTGACGATAGAGACTTGTTAATACAAGCTCATCGCCAAAGGTGGAGGTCGATATGGGATCGCGTTGCTCTGAAAGGGGGGATTTCTTAGCACCTCTTCGGGACTCTTGGCGGGTGTCGATTCACCAAAAACGATTCTAATATAGATATGACATTTCGAGATAGGCGATATGACGAAGGGAGCTATGGTAAATCGACAAATCTGCCAGTTTTGTTATTTTTTGTCTAACAAGTTTGCAATCCCAATAGATACATTACGACCTTGTTTATAGTCTTCTATCGTTGGAATGAGTTGCTCTCCCTTCATCCTTAGGGTCTTTTGAGGTTGTTTAGTTAATTTGATAGTTCTCTATTTGTAATCCTGTAAAATAGGCCTAATAGCTTTAAATTTTTTACGCGAACTCTGCGTAACACCTTTAATTCGAGAGTGTTTTATAAGATTTTACAAGCGCAACATTCCGATAGAGAGCTATAATTTTATTATATCAGTCATTTTTTCTTCAAATACCAGTTTTCGTAGAAAACTATTTTATGGTCAAATAAGACGCCTACTCTTTCCCTTTTAGACTTTTATAGATTTTATCATTTGTATTCTGTAATCATTATTATTATTATTATGACTATTTTTATCATCTTTATTATTACTCGATTTACAAGACTGTATTGTTGAATAGTAGCTGTAAATTTACTAAAGAAATAAGTTTAACTAGTCTTTGAAGAAGGAAGAAAGTGTTTAGTGGAATTTTTCTTTGCCCAGTCGTTCTCTAACAAAGGCCATCATAGAGAAGTTTTCCCTGACCTTGTTAACGAATAGCCTTCAGCATTGGCCCACCATGAAAATTATCAAATCATTCGATTTTTCATCAAGGCAATAATACTACAGATTTCTTTTCCAAATTTCTTTTCCTAATGTTGAAGGGAAAGATGGGAGGGAGAGGGGTGTGAATAAGGGCGGGAGAGACTGATAGAAGGTAGGCGGAAGGTAGAAGGACAGGAAGGAAAAAAGTAAAGTAATTAATTATCCATTTTAACGTAACAGTAAAGAATTCAAGGCGAATTGAAAACTAAAAACAAATGAAATTTACTTCAATATCGTCACTATACAAATAAAAGAAAACTAGACTATGAAGGTTAAATATTAATTGACAATTTAATTTAATTAACCGTCAAAAAGAAGAAGAGTTATATTATATTCCAGCTCTCTTATAAATTACACTAGACGTGTTAATAAAATATCACCTTTTTCTTTTTTCTACTACTCTCATTACATTTCAAGAAAGTTATTTTAACTTTATATAAAGATATTATTAGGAATAATATTTATTTAATAGCCAATTCGTAAGAATAGGCAAATTAACTGGAGAAATATTTACTTACAAAAAACAGGTATGAACGTAACAGAAAAATGCGGAAGAGGACAATTTTTATGCGCAAAGAATACTTGTGTTCATCCCAGAATGATTTGTAATGGAATTAAAGATTGCGAAGATGGTAGTGATGAAATGCACTGTGGAAAAAATGGTAAGATTCTTTTCCTTGTCTCAAATAAAAATTGAAGAAGATACGATATATTCCTTCTTTGATAGATAGATAGATAGATAGATGAATAAATTAATATTTTAATTAATTAACAAGTTAATTAGTTAATTAAATGAAAAAACATAAGCAATATATTCTTACCAAATATAAAAAATAAAACGAAAAGGAAAGGAAAAAAAAAAAGTAATAACTAAAAAGTATCCATAACTCAACAGTGTCCATCAATCTTTCAAAAATAATACCTTCTCCAGACCAAATTATGAATGGAACGCATATAGGTAAGAATACGTTGGATTTGTTTCCTTTTTTTTCATGTTTCGCTATAATTAAACACAGTAGATTTATAAGAAGAGTACATTTGTGAAATTATTTTCAGAGCCATCTAATTGGGCATACTTCCGGAATGGAAGTCGAGGAGGAAGTAAATATTTAGTAATTGATTCCATTATGTCCTTCTACGATGCTCAACAAAGATGTAAAGTTCTCGGTGGAGGTGTAGCTGGTCATCTGGCTCATATAAATACAATACAGGAACAATTATTCATCGAAAGCTATATTTCGAAATTGATGGCCCGACACAGTAATAATCTTATTATTACTATTATTAATACTATTATTATTTTATAAAAAGTCTTCCTATTAAACCTTTCCATTTCCATACTAATTGAATTAATTAACGCAGAAATATCTAAATCCGGTTCTGGATTTTGGATAGGAGCAGTCAGGGATAGAAAAGATCCAGGTGGAATGTGCATGCACAACCAATGGCAGTGGAAAGATGCTGAGAAGAGGACTTTGGGTTATATTTCCGGTTTTACTGCTTTCGCTCCTGAAAAACCAGACGAGTAAGTAAAAGAAAAACTATTTAACTAAGGGTATTTATTGACAAATTTTGTTAATAGTGTATACAGTCCCGAGGAGTGCTTGTATATATCTCACATTCTTGGAGACGATCCGGCCAGGTATATATATATTTAGTATACAATTTTTAAATACACCTTTTATCATTCTTTTCATAATTGATCTATATCTGACAAAAGCATTTTCTTCTATAACAATAGATTCTTAAAATGGGACGACGCGGCTTGTGATTTACAAGGTACAAGCGGTATTAAGGTGTTATGCGAAATTGATATGAATAGAATTGATTATGGAAGTAGCGGCCGCTAATTAACTTTTGTTATCGTTCATAATAAACCTAGTACTGTAATATATTTGTTTATGTAAATAGACGTTTAATAAACGATTTTATGCTATAAATAAGAAGGAAACAAAGGTTTTGAATATAATAGGAAATAGAAAATTTATATATATATATATATATAAAATCACCGACAGCAACAATAATCCCAACAACCGCTGATTACTATGAATACTATACTGCTTAGGTGACAATTTTTTCCTTTTTCAATAGTTTTGATTAAAGAAATAACATTAAAAAAGATATTACTTTATTCTATTCCTATTTACTTTTTGATGATTCGCTATTTTTCGCGCTCTATTGAAAAATGAATTTACCGTTGATTCACAATGGATTTTTGTAAATCTTCTTGTACGGCGCCATCTATCTGGTTTAATCTTTTATAGACCCATAGATGGCAACATGGCTAAGAGAGGTAGTGGAGAGTAGGGTAGAACTTGATCTGAGGTCACACTGCAAGAGAAAGTGAGATGGCGATAAATATAAGTGTTGTGGGAAAGAGGGGATCGGAAGGAGCAGGAGTTACATATATTATTTAAATACTTTTACACGAGTAGACAATATAGGTACTTTTCCAAATAGCAATAGTGATATATCGTATGAGTGTAGGAGAGTTGTAAATGAAGTAGGCGAGATCAATGTCCAAGGAATAAAGAAATATTTACGTTATATGTCTTTGTCTTATGCAGTGAGAAAGACAAAGAGAAAATGGAAGGAGAAATATGAGAAAAGATTAAGACAAACGGAAAGTTTTGTTTATGGTTGGGAAGTAAGGTTAAGAAGAGTTATTAATTATAGGAGAGAAAATTGAGTTCTTCAAGTGCAAAGATTATTAGTAAAATATATAAATAGGAGAAAGAGCAGTGGGGGAAAAAAAATGAAAATAAGCAAAAGATAAGATAGATATTTACTATATATGAGAGACAAGAAAATCAAACAATCGAATAGGCAGTATATTGATATGTTGTCAAAAGAAATATAATTACTATTGTTAATTTAAATTACAAAAAGAAGATGTATTGAACACATGGAGATTGTATTCAGGCCTCGAGTAACAATAATAGGAATCATGGGAGACAAATCTACTTGTATTTATACATGTAAATTATCGATTGACAAAGTTTTTTTTATCTCTAACACGTGGGCAAAAAAAGAAAAAAAACAAAACAAAAGGTAAATATATACATAAATATATATAGCGTATTAATATTAGATAATATTTTACAATGTACTAGCCATAATAATAAGTTAAATTAAAAAGGGAAAAAAGAATATTAAATGCATTTAGCAGTACTGTAAAAAGTCTTTCTCTCTCTCTCTCTCTCTCGTTCCTTTTCATAACTCTTTTACGATTAATAACAATATAAAAGGGAGAAGGGAGAGATAACAAATTATACTAAATATATAATATAAAAAGTATCGTTTGACCACTTAACTATTTTTTTTATTCTTTTTTAATTAATTCTCCACTTGTTGGCCTTTGTTCATTACTAAAAAATAATCTGCCAAAGTATGTCAGGTACTTGAGTGCTAGATTGGGATTAATCATTAATGGGACTTATTCAGCTAAATTATCCTCTTCATCTTGTATTTCACATTTTATCAGTATTATTAAAGGGTTTTTATGCAATATATTGTCATACAATATTTAAAGTCTGTATTAAAAAAGGGAGCTATTTTTTCTAAAAGAAATAACAACAATAATAGAAAAATTTGTCAATCTTCAGCATACTATATTAATACTAAATCTATAACAGTTGTATATACTATATGACATATTTTTATGTATTTATTTATAAAATATTTATTCCATTTTATACGTTTATTACCATCATTTGAGGATGGAGAATAGAGTACCAAAAAAAATAGAAACGCTTTACATCTATCCATAAATAGACGGGGCCTTAAGATGATTCTTTTTTCATTTTTAATATATTCTACGAGGATAAAAACAATGTCTATTGAGGCTGTTCGCTATAGCTTGATCTTTTTTATTTTTCTTTTAATGGCCTGTTTAACATGAATTGTCACCTCGAGCGGTAGATGTCGGCTGAGGAAAGAGAATTTGTTTAGTTTAGTTCTTATTTTTCGATAGTATAAAAAAAAACGTTTAAGATTTTTGATATTTCTCCTCTCATCCGGTTGAAGAAGATGAAGATGAAAGAAAAGAGAGAGAGACAGAGAGAGAGAGAGAGATTTTCTCTATGTGAGATATCTAGAATATAATAGAGGTGAGCTAGAAATAACAGATCATACACAGTCTGTTATTAAACGCAAATTAACTACAATAAACATATAAGAAATCAATCGAAATGTCTAAGAGACGCTAAAGAGTAAAATCGTTGGCGTACATATAAGCAAATCCGTTTTAATTATTCTTCCTTTAACAGATTGTCATAAATCGATATTCATTTGGAATCTAATGAAACCAATTGGGATTTGAATTCCTTTGGATGAGGAAGAATGATTTAACGTTATCTCCTATACTATATACTGTACTTTGCTGTTAGGAGAGAGAGGCGGACTACGGGAAGTGGAAAGACGAGAAATAAACGATTATGTATAGTATCTCTTCTATTTCATTTCCATTAAATATAAAAAATGTTGTACTTAAATACATATTCAACAATTTAGATAATATAAAAGGAGAAAGACGAAGAAGAAGAAGACGGAGGGGGAGGAGGAGGGGGAGGGGGAAGGATCAAAAGGAAGAGAATAAGAGTAAAATACCGATTGAAAATAAGTTGGGTTTGTAATATTAAACCTTTGTATACATAGCAATGATGTATGTTTGGTAAAAAAAGCAGTTTATATGTTAATTAAAAGTGAAAAGGTATTTTTTTTATACGAGTTCTGGTTGTAAATCTGTTAATTGATCAAATTGAAACTGTGTAATCAATTATAGTCTTCACCTGTTCGTGTATGTTTACTTTGGCAAGAATTAGTTTGCTTAGTAATCTCAGCGAATTAGTCTAAACATTCTTGAGAGATAAGACAAGTTCCTGGTACAAATAAAATTTTATCAGAAATCAGTAAGAACTAGACTATAAACTTCCTAATGATTACTGCAGCCCTCTTAAGATAAGTTACAAACAGATAATATATATGACCAGCATATGGTTTTTCTACTATTTCTATAGCTTTTATCGCCGTTACCAACAATAACAAAGTTGAACTGTTAACAGATATATAGTAATTTTTGTGCTTTAATAGGAAATTCGGTAAGTAAAAGACGTCAACTGTGAACAGGCCATTAATTTGGGGACAAGAAGCTCTTTCCTGTTCTAATAATACTAATCAAAAACGAGTTATCTATCCTCCAACATGAAAGGATAGCTGTAAATATCTTTATATTGAATTTTTTTTCTTCCATTTAAATGGACAATAAAGTCTCTGAGAGTATGGAAATGAGAGAGATAGAAAGAGAGGGGGAAAGAGAAAAAAGAAATTGAAGGACAAAAACAATGAACAGATATTAAGGAGGAAAGAGAGAAAGAAAGAAGAAAGAGGAAGGCGGGAAAGGAATGATGGAGGGAGATAGCCGAAAAGTAATAAAAAAGTTTTTGTTTCCATGATTTATTACTCAGAGTAACTGTAAGGTCAATAAACGAAAAAAACAGAATTGGCCTTGCTAAAGGAATCGAATTAAAATTCCACCAAGGTTCGTTGAACAACCATACTCTTACTTCTACGTATGCTTAAACTCGAAAAGCCTGTTGAAATAAGCTTTATGAACGTTTTTTCATTTTCTCTAAAAGGCTTCTTCGAAGTGAAATGGGGTTGAAGATACTTGTCACATTCCATCTTCTAAAACCTAATGTAGCATAAAATAAGTGGAGTAATTTCTAAGCATTTTGACCTTGCAATTTTCTATATTTGTCACTTAAGTCTCTTTGGACTACATTGGCTTTTCAAATATTAATTTCCTCCAGTTTGATATTTCATCCTACACCAAAATAGGAATATCACAAATTATATTAACATTCAATTAGTTGAAAAAATTATGAGTGAATCAAACTTTAGAAGAAAAATGGTAGAATGTTGAGAAATCTTGAAGTTTTGTCTTTTTAAAAAAAAAGAGAAAGTATGAAAGAACTTTACATTTTCTTCTTTTTTTATTGAATTTTTTAATGAAAGTAAGCAGTATATATATATATATATATATATATACTTCTAAATGTTTTCATCATTTATAATTTTATTCATATAAAGTTCAATTAAGAAAAGAATATGCTAGTAAACACGTAGTTGCATTGATTATGCATTACGATGAAACGACTAGTGCAATTAATTAAGTACTGCGTGACTCGAATGTCATTGAGGATGAATGTAATTTGGTGGAAAATACCGTTGAAATTATTAACTCTTCAGTACTTTTTAGTGAAAAATTACACACCTTTTTTTTCCACAAGTCTGGCCATTAATTAGGTTATTTCTCTATGTTTTCATTTATCCCTTAAATTATAACAGAAATTAATTACTTGAAGGACAATATATAGTTCTATAGCAAGAAAGACATCCAACTATATCAGATGAGCAATGAATGAACGAATGAATGTATGATTGAATAAGTAATTTATAGAAATTGAATAAAAACGTAAAAAAGAGAAACAAAATAGAAAACGAAAGTAAAAACAATGTTAACATGAGCCTTAGAATGAAGGAAATACATTAAATAGAACATTTAATTTCAAGCACGCAATGAATGGAAAATAAAAGGGGGAAAGGAAATGAAAGGAGTAAATGAAAAATAACCTATATACTGTATATAGTATGTCGTATACTTTTTATATTTATATTTATGCATATCTTTCTATACAGTATATACATATTAATATATTATATATACAGTAAATGCAATAATATATAGTCTGTATATATTACTGCGGATCGTCAGGATTTCTGAAAGACTAGTCTTCAACTTTCAGTAAATTATGCAACATTTGAAAAATGACAAGAATGAAACTGACAATGTGTTTTAGTAAGGTATCATTTGTAAGTATTCGCGTAGAAAATACAATATACATATATATAGCTAGAGTATATATATTAGTATATACTTTCTTGTTATACATATATTTATACATAAATACACAGATAACTTCAAATATAAGCTATTTCTTTTTCAACAATTATTAAAATATCATACGATCTCAATTTTTTTAAAAAAAAAAAATATAGACATTTAATACAGTTTCTGCTTTTCTCCTTGAACTGGTAAAGAGTTTCTATAAAGTTTTTCTTCCTCTAAATAAAATTTTAATATGAAATGGAAAACTGATGAATTCTTTTGAATTCTATATTTTACTCTTTTGATTTTCTTGCTGATGTTATCCTAACGTTGTTAGAGATTCTCTTTTTGTTTTTCCTTTCGATTTTAATTTAGTAGAAAAAGAATAATATGTCAAAAAGAAATTGTAAAGTTTTTCCCCGATTCTTCTTATCTGTTTTCCCTTTTGCTTTTCCTTTAAAATTAAATAGTAACAATAAAAATTTCTTCTATTCAGATCCAGATTCTGAGGGATTGGAAGACACTTGATGCCTTAAACTATTAACCATATTAATAAGAGTTTTAGGCTTCCGTTGTTTATCTTTACATTTACAGCATAAAAGTCTCTGAAACGCAAATCTAAAGTCTTTGGAAAAGAGGGCATAAATACAAGGATTAATAACGCTATTACAATAGCCAAGCCAAAAAAACACATCGAATGCAAGAACGGGTACATTAACATTGAATGCTCCCAAAAAGTATATTGTAAAGAATGGAAGCCAACAAAATATAAAACATCCAACGATAATCCCAACGGTTTTTGCAGCTTTAGTTTCCTTATTAACTTTTTTAAGGTGAGATCGGACATTTTTACACCTTGGTTTATTTCCGTCACGGACTTTTTTCTTATTTTGGTGAGCTTGAGCTACTCCATTAACAACTTTATAAACATTATCAACGGCTGCAGGCTGATGAACTGCTCCTCCTCTATGTACTCGAAGTGTTACTTTTTCGTGAGGCGAAGAAGGTAAGAGCATTTTTCCAGCTTTTGTTATAAGAACACCTCTCTTTATTCCTTTGGCAGTTCTTCTAGCCGCAACATAGATCCTCCAGTAAAAGAAAGTCATAATGCACATTGGAATGTAAAATGAGCCTAATGCCGAATATATAATATAACCTGGCTCCGATGTTAAATTGCATTCTGCTGTTTATTGATAAAAACGAGAAAAAGTGAACATAGAGAAAAGGCCAACAACAACTTAATAAAAAGAATTAAGAATGAAGAATAGATCTTAATAGAGTTTACAGTAAATACTTGTATATTATAAAAGTATATATATATATATATATATATATACTTATTTATTCATACATTTATTCTTTCATTCTTTTCCTTCTTTCTCTCTTTTTCTCTCTCTTTCTTTCCTTCTTTACTACTTAATCTCTTTTTAATTTATCTATTGGGCTTACCTTTTGTATTGTTTCCACCATTTCCTTGAGAGTTATCTCTTTTCCAGCCTAATAACGGAGGGAAGCAAATAATAAAAGAAGATATCCATACTGTAAATACGAGAATCTTTCCTCTCCTCCAGTTGATAATAGCGGGATAGCGAAAAGGTCGCGTTATAGCAATGTATCTATCTAAAGAAATGGCACATAAATTTAATATGGAGGCTGTACACATCCAAACGTCAACAGCCAGCCAAATAGAACACCAAACAGTCCCGAAAAGCCATCCTTTAACAACTTGTTTTGAGATAGAAAAAGGTAAAACAACCAGACCCAAAAGAAGATCAGCACAGGCCAAAGAGACAATAAACATATTAGTTACAGTTCTAAGTTTGTAGCTTGTAATTACTGCTGCTATAACAAGACTATTCCCAGCAATTATTAAACTATCGATAAGTCCGAGTAGTGTAGCAGGAATTACATAGAAAAAGTTTGTAATATCCGTTGGAAAAGTTGAGTTTAACATCTGGAAAAGATTGGAAAATTTAGGAGACTCAGGAGAAAGTGTTTTATGTATAAACTGTACGGCAAAACACTCTGCAAATAAATGCGGGGAATTGATAAATGTACAGCAATACCGTGCACGATTGCAGATGGGTAAGATACATTAGGTTTTTATCAGTAACACGTGCTATCGGTAATGTATATAAATGACTGACAAGCCCGTTCTGTATCCACAAAAGACTTATGCATTTTTTGTTTTTTTGTTTGTTACCTGGTTCAGTGCAACCAATATTATTGACTAGTATAATAGCCTATCGTAAAATAATTTACAAGCTTCAATAACAAGATAACATATAATGATGCTCAATTGTTTTAATTATATTTCTTGTAATCTATATATCTATTATCTATTTATCAATCTATCTATTTATCTATTCTATCTTTTCTTCTTTTTTGGTGTTTATTTCTTTTTCAATATATTTCTTGGTCCTTTTCGCTCTTTCTTTTCGTTCTTTCCATCCGGTTGTCTGCATCTCTTTCTCTCTTTTCCATTCTCCATCAACTCTACCGTCTATAACTCTTTCATCGAATTCAATCAATCAACCGAAATTCTAATGAAACCACACTGTTACCTAACATCTTCAATAGAATGTTCATGTATTTTAGAAATGCTACAATCAACTGACTATATAGAGTAGTTTTGTTAAAGGCTTTTATAATATATATTGTATGTATAGTGCACTGTACAGAGAGATAGATATACTGTATTTACGACATATACTTTGCATATAAATATTAAATATAGAATAAGCTGTATATGTACATATTACTATACCAACTATAGGTAGGTATATATATCTATCTAAATACAGTTTTTACTCTTATATAGTAAATATTGCTGAAGAGCTACGTATAAAATTCTTGTTAAATGATAGAAATAGTTCAAGTCCATTACAACTGTTAATTAATTCTTTCTATTCCTTTTCCTTATTAAATTAGGATTCTTACAGAGTTATAAATAGTACAAATACGTAAAATTATACTATTTTCTCTCTTTTAAGAACATTATCTTATTTAATCTGTTAATAATTAATGCTCAATTATACGTCTATTATACGTATTGGAAACGATCGGATATATGAAATTTATCCTCACTCCAAAATTAGATTATCCTTTCATTTAATCCGTTCAATTTGTCTATTCAAGGAGATATGAAGCGTACTCGAAACATCCTCTTCATACAATAATAATATACGTATAAACTGGTATTCTGCAAAGCGCATGTCGGACGAAGACTAACGCGAGACTGCTTACTGTTTCCATATTTTTTTTCGTTCTGCTGGCAATTTCGTTCGAAAAACTTCAAATTTCTTCTCATTAGAACTTTAGACGAAAGCAAACTCTCTACAAGTTATCTAACCTATTATAGTATGATTTTATGGCCAACTAAAAAACAGGACTTCCACAGATTTCTAGACATATAAATGTCTGCAATTTAAAGATAATCATACGCCTTCAAAGAGATAGGCCAAAGATTCGTGATTACTGCCTCCTCTCTCTCTCTCTCTCTCTCTCTCTGTTTCTCTCCGTCTCGAACTCTCTCTCTTTCACTTTCTTCTCCATGCCTCTCTCTCTCTCCGTCTCTAATTCTGTCCCGTCAAACTCTTCTTCATTTTCTATTGGTTTCTTTCTCTTTTACGGTCTATCTCTGTCTTTTCTTTCTAAATCCCACTGCTATTTGCCTCATTTCGTCGTAAACGCTAGCAAATTTTGTCAGCTCTTCGCTTTCCCTCTCTATTCACGTCCCATGTCCCACCAGAAGTCTCTCTCTACCACCTCTCATTGGTAAGGGCCCTCCCCTTCTAATCACCTTTGTCCTTTTCTTCGCTTACTTCTCGTCTATCTATCTCCTTATTCTCCGCCTTGGTCGCTCAATATCTTGATTCAATATCTAACTATTATGTCTTTGATCCTGTCTCTTCCAATTTCGGCCCCTTCCTTTATCTTTTTGCATCTATCTCACACTGTCTATCTGCTTTCCAATGAAAGCGATCATGTGATTCAAGTATAATCGGTGTACAACGAACAAATGTTTGCTTTTTGTCTGTTTTGGCTTTATCGATTGAATAAGTGGATAAATAATAGTTGATTAAAGATTTAACACGAAAGAATTTCGTGAGTCCTTTACCTAAGGCGGCAGAAGATCTTAAGAATTTTAGACGAAGCGAAGCTAAATTGACTGTCGATACAAGATTCTTTGGGCCCAGTATAGAGGTGACTTACTGAGAACTACTTTAACCTAAAGTTTTTTAGGAAAACATGACCTTTATCTAGCTCTTTATATATTCCATACTTTTTTTGCAAATACATTCTTCTATCAGAGTTAAAAGGCTACTAATAAGAGACCGTGTCAGAGAAAGATTGTTGTTGTTTTTATTTTAGTCTTTTATTTAACATTTTTAAAATAAATATTCATCACTTGATGCTTTTTAGAAGAATCAAAGAAGAATGCTCCTGTCTTTAAATAGACGCTTAACTATTCTAATATTGAAATTCAATTATAAAACCAGGTTAAAGAGAAAAACTATAAAAAAATATAGATTATAATATTGTAGTAAAAAGCAACTTCTCGTTTAAATCAAAGTTGTGTAATAATATTCTTAAAGGTTTCAGTTATTATTAAATTCTCATATGTTCCAAACAAATATAGCGGAAGGGGGAAAATGTTTGGTAAAGAATCTTCAACAACCAAATAACGAAAGTTTTTATCCTACTTTGGGCGATAATAAAAAGAAAATAAATAAGAAACGAAAAGAAAACAAGACAGAAGATTGAAACTAGAAAATTAGTAAATTAATTACAAATATCGGCGTTAAATTAGTTTATATTATCATTTTAATTAGGGAGCTTAAATCGTTTAAATCGGGTAACAGAAGTCGATACAAAGAATAAGCAAGAGGCATAGTGTTCTGTTTACCGTGTGTTTGATTGTATTATTTCTAGGAGAGGTGGATTGGGGAGGAAAAAAATAAAAAAAAAATAAAAAAAAAAGGATTCAGCCAACGGTAAAAAACAGAAAAAAGAGAAAATGATTAGATAACTTGACTAGATTCATTATTATTTAAACAACTAGAATCTAATTGAGTATTTATCTGTAATTTCTTAAATTAATTAATGAATATAGCCCAAGATAAATTTATAGAAAGATAGAGACATAGGGAGAAACCGACGTAGCGCAAAATGATAAGGAAAAGATGGAAATAAGAGAATAAATTTAAAGTAAAAACTAAGAAAATATACAATAGAAAACTTTATCTAAGCTACGCACAGCTTAAAACCTTTCCAGTCGTATTATATTACTTTATTCCGTAAATAAAACCTTTTCCCCCTTTTTCTTTAACTTTATGGCATAAGACGAGTATTTCTAATAATTCAATTAACTGAATTTAACGAGGTTTTCGTTAATTTGAATCATGGGGGCTCTAGTATTTTCATCTAGCTGCAGGAAAGTAACTATTTCCTTGTAGAAGATGAGGAAATTTTCGAAAATCAATATAGCAAAAAAAATCGCATTCTAAAAATAGGTGTTATTAGTATTATACAGAATATTGAATATATTGTTAGATTATAATAGTAAAGTTCTGCTTTCTATTACGTAATAAACCTAGAGTCATAAAAAGAAAAGCTATTTAGAAATGAGCGAGAGAGCTAATTAACTGACAAACGTATTCTGTTAAGTATGATGAAAATCTAAAGGCCTAATTAAAAGTTCTAATAGTTGTTGGTGTTAATAAGCAAAATAATAAACAACTTTTTACAAATGAAATGCAATTGCAAAGGGACAAATAAACTAGAAAACAAGTAATTTGATGATATAAAAACAAACAACTGAATGGTTCAATATAGTATATATATTGTATATTTGTATATCGAAAGGAAACGCCACCTTCAACACCTCCCTTTATTCTCTTCTAATTTCTTTTCCATCCGTCTTGTCGTCACTGTTTCTTCCGTTTCTTCGTCATAGACACAGGCACATACACCCACAAGCTCTCTCTCTCTCTCTCTCACACACACATACAAACACGCATACTGTCTGTCTCTCACTCTTTTTCTTTTCTCTTATCCTCTAAAAACCCGAATTATAAATAGCTTCAAATAGCTTGAACAACGGAGCGTTTTTTAGTACATAATATTTGAAATTAAATGAGGAACGTGCCTACATATCTCATAATGTAGAATTTCTTAGAGCAACTGACATTTATTGGTGACAAACTCATTATATTGAAGTGATTTTTTTCTTCGGTCTATATGCATTGTAATCAACGTCGTCAACTGCCCAATTGATCGTGAATATCTGACAAACTACTTATTGATTTTCTAGACATAACTTACGTGTAATTGATCAAAATCAAGTTATTTAAGAATATTAATTTGCAATTTATCATTTAAACATTACTTAAATAGGATTAAATTATTGTTGATAGATGAAATTTACGTCTACCTGGCTTAAAATTAATTTAAATAGAAAAAAAAACTTTTTTTAATTAAACATTCGTCAAAATCGGAATACGTCGATAGAAACTTTTTCTTTCGTTTAATGTTTGTTTATTTGTTTGTTTGTTTGGGAAGAAAGAAAGAAAGAAAGAAAGAATGGAAAAAAAAACAATTAAGACAAAATATTAAAGATCAAATATAATAAAAGGGAATAGAACTTTTTAAATATTAAGATGAATAGATAAAAGAATATTTTGACCTTTTATTAATCTTTTGATATTATTTAAGAAAAAGATTACTTTTACATAGATTTTTCAATAAAGAAAACCAATAGAATCTAACTAAACTTTTCTTTTCTCTTCATTCTCTTTTGGTTGGTTCTACTATCTAATTGCTTCTTCATTTCTCAACGTAACGAACCGGAAATTAGTCAAGAATTTTTTGATCACAATTATTAATTGATTAAACAACAGAAATGAAAGGAAACTAATAAAAAATATAATAATATATAATAAGCATATCATGGCTTTATACGACTTACGTCATAGCTTTCTATCATACTTGTAAAAGAAAATCCGATACTACGTTACGCTTATCCAAAGGTATATATTGCCCTATGCAAAAAAAGAGAGAAATACCATGGGAATTTCAATCAAGTTCAAACTTTCCCTCTTAGTATCTAACGTAACATTGAGTTGGCGAATTTGGTTGGTGGTAAGAAACAAAACAAAGGGGAAAAACTATATTTTATATAGCCAACTGCTGAACTTTTCCTCCTCGTTTTCCCTTTCCCTACCCCTTATTGCTTACTGTAACTCGCTAATCTCTTTCTCTCTTCTCGCTATATCTTGCTTTCTTTTATCTAGAGAAAAAATAGATAATAAATGGGAAAATTCTGAGAAATAAGCTGCCTTTACTATATTTCTGACCAAAGAGAAAATCAACATCGGCTGATAAACGATAATCAACAACTGACTAAATGATCGAATCGAGGGCGTTCTCCTGCCTGCTTCGAGTAATTTTTCCCCTTTTCCTCCTTTTCCCAAAAAACCGTTTAAAGAGGGGGATACCAAATGTAACGCTTTATTACATATGTAAAAAAAAGACGTCTCTTAGGTTTGGGCAAAGAGACGGGAGGAGTGATGAGAAGTTAAAAGAAAGTTTTATCCTTGAAAATGTTCACAGCATATACGCGTTTTTAACTGAAATGATTCGTAATTATCACGCCTTGGGGCCGAGGAGCTGTATGATTAAAGTGAATGATTATTGGATTGCGTAAAATGCGAAAAAATAGGCCAAAACTAGTGTTAAAAATTCAGAACAGGATTATCTCGAAAGTAAAATAAAATACCAAATATTTTTTTTGATTAAACAAGCGCCCCAACAGGCAAACTTTACGCTCAATGACAAACAAAAAAAACTAGGCAACGATAGTCCAATTTGTTCTATGTGCTGTAGAACTTACCTTTCTTTTAGTTCACCGCCAATTTTGCAGTTCATAAAAAATATGTTCTGATGAAGCCAGTTTACACTGTTTGTCCAATTATCCCAGCTTTAAATGACACTTAAGCTTATCCTTTTGTGCGTTACTACTCTAGTAATATTCCTTCCAAACTACTCAGCTCGTAGCCAATTTTTTTCTCGACAAATACAATACCCAGAAATAATTTTCTCAGGCCTCCTTTTACTGAGTATTCCGTGATAAATTGGCCAATGACAAACTATATAGCTTGTCAAACGCTCTTGTACGAAATCGGCGTCGACTGAGCAAACAATGGAGGCGTCTAGTCTGGTTAGAAAAAAATCAGAGCGTCACTGGCGCCGGAAACGGTGATATTATTGACAAAATCTTTATTCTATTTGCATAAGTCTCCTTCAAAAGTGGAGTTTTCTGGTATGTTTGCGAAAGTATTGCTCTGCATGGCTGCTTGTTTTCTGTGTGGTCAATATACTTTTAGCGGAAAAAGGTGCGAAAGCAGCGATAACAAGATTAGACTTGAGTGATAAGTGCTGCTTTTAGAATTTCTATAGTTTCAAGTTGGTATCATTTTCTCTCAAATTTACGCGCAGTCTTAATTCATTCTGTATATACTTAACCAGATATTTAAATTAATGAATTCATCTAAACGAAATACAATTATTAATATTAGACGCCAGCTGATGACGCTAAGTGCTTTAAATTAAAGATAGTGGGTTAAAAACTCTACCGATTATAAGTGATTTATTTTATCAGACTCCTAAATCTGGATATACTGTACAGTATAACAGTTGATTTATAGATAGCATCACATTCTGTATAAACTTTTTTATACGTTAGAAAAGTACTTATATCAGATACTTTTCCCCCTCCTTATATTCCTTTGTCAACGGCCAATGATGCTTATAAAATAAGTCAATGGAAAGAAAAATAGGAAAAAACTAGTTGAATCCCTGGATTTTTTTCCTTTTAACCCTATCAATTTTTATATTCAACACGAATCGTTTTAGGGGAGAAATCAAAGCGATTTATCGGAAATATTTTCCTTCACTTATTACCCATTCTATCCATTTAAAGTAAATAAAGAAAGCCAGAACGGGCCTGTTAAAAGCGTTAAAAAAGCGTTACGAGGGAAAACAGTCGGATATTAGAGGCCAGAAAGGTAATAGCGTCATTGTTACAGTTAAATAACAGTAGATATACATACACACACACACGGATATATATTCTCTATTTGTAGAGCAAAATAAATTAAGTAGTCTTTCGATTATGTAATAAACCTTTCTGTCGATCTAAATATCTTCAATACTTTTCTATATTTTATCAAAAAGTCTTCAATTAAATAGTCAAACTATTTGTATTGTACTATTTAATATTTATCGTGTTTGCATAAGACAAGTAATCCGAACTTTTACAATTATAGATCAATAAAACATTAGAAAGATGATAAAAGAGTCAAAAAAAAACGATAGTCTCTTTGCTCTTATAAATGAAATGTTGGGAAAAAGACGAAAGAATACCTAAAGATACTCTTTTAATTGGCTAGCTTGATAATATTCACCAAAATTTTCCCTCGTAGGGATTACCTCAACCTCTTTGATCAATAAATGTCCGTTGCTTTAATGAAGAATGCACGGGAAATTCGAGAAAGTACAATCTCTCATAGTTTATCTGCATTTTTGTAGCCTGCATTGTTCAATATATTGATGCACCAATGTCCAATGGAAAAGAATATTATATTTTTAGCTAATAGTTCTTTTGAAGGAACCTATCATCTCTATTCAAGTAGAAAGTTCTCAAAAAAAAATATCTCATTAAACAAGAATCGAAAGAGAAGGAGAGAGAGAGAGAGAAGGAGGGAAAGAGAAAAACGAGAGCAGAACTTGAGTATTTTCTACCAATCGCTACATTGTTCCAATAACGAGCTGCGCTAGTATTAAAAAACCCATATTGTAGACCACCTAACGTTCATTAGTAAGTATTACCTCCCGGTGTTTGTAGATTTCAAAACCCTAGATAAAAAGACTGTGGGCGGAAGTTGGCAAAATATTATTATTCTCACCAAATAAAACACTTAAATCGTTGAGAAGAATGTAGTACTACTTGAGCCTTATGTTATATATACTTTTTCTTTTTTCTTCACTCTCTCTCGCTCTTTCCTTCTCTCTCTCACCTTCCCGCTTATTTTTTCATTTAACTCAACATTTTATCAATATTTACGATAATAAATTTAACCGTATATATGCCTAAATAGTATTTTTTCGTTACGCTCTTTAAAATATAGATTGGTTGAGAGTTTCGTGAGATTTCAATGTCTAAAATTTCTTCTATTTAAAAAAAGCTAAATTCCTATTTACTTCTACTGAAATTCAATATATTTCAATGAAAGCTTCTTTAATGAGACGTTAAAAACTAGTATATGAAATAACAAAGTAGTTTGTCTTCATGGTATAAATAATCATGTATATTCGGTATATTTAAATAAAATACGGACACTAAGCACATAGCTTTATTTGTAAGAAAAGAAAAAAATTACATATTTACATATCTTTTATAAAAATAAGAAGAAGAAGAAGAAGAAGACCAAGGAGAAGAAGAAGAAAAAGAAGAAAAAGACTTTGTTTGGAATTATTTAAAAAGAAAAAAATATAACATAAAAGACCTAAAAAATATAGATAATTTCTTTTTCGTTATCTTTTTAAAGCCAGTGTCAAAAGAGTTTCATTTAAAAATAAAAAGTAAATAACTGTCTATTCAATTTATCTATAGAATAGCTACAATAAATAAATAATGAATAATTGGATAACTTTTGGTAAATCGTTTCTTTTTTTTATTCTTAATATATAAAATAAAAAGAGAAAAAAAACACATCTTTTCATTTCGGATGGTTAATAAATTTCTACTCTTTTTTTTTTCTTCTTTCGTCTATCCTCAACTCAACTATTCTTCTCTTCTATTAATTATATACGAACTGCATACGGGTTTATAGTTATGCAAATTTATGTACAGTAGATATACCGTAGATATGTGTAATGTATATATTAGTATATAGCTTTATATACCTTTTAATATATACCCATTGTTCTATCCCGCAGAAAAGAGATAGGAAGCAAATGGAGGTGAAAGAGAAAGAGAAAGAGAAAACGAGAGAGACGAGAAAAAAACATTTGGTTTATTTTGAACTCAACTTATGGTTAATTGATGCTAGTACGTCACTAGATGCTTTGTTTTCAATATTGAATAAAAGCGACTAAACACGGTCTTTGAAAGCGTCTATGTCGGTTTACAAACACAGCATTTTACGTGTTTGAAAAGTGTTATAGTTTTTTGTTAAAGATTCCAATAATGGAATTTGTTTGCTTAATTTTCATTTTCAATAACCAATAGGTGGCGTTTGAAAAGCGATTATAAATCAGAAAAATTATTGATGTATTTCATACGAAATAATAACAATTCAATCAAAGTTTCATAAAGCACAGATATGTAATTATTAGAAAGATCAATTAAAATTACTTTTTATAGATTCAGTAATGACCACTACGTAGCTTTTTTTTCTCTTTTTTGTATATATTTTTGTCTTTTTCAAGGTTTCTCAACCTTTCTACGTACTCTAAAGGTTAAATTGCGTACAAACTGGTTCGCAACTCCTTTAAAGATAAAGTATCAGGTTTAATTGAAACGAAAAAATATTCTTAGTTTTACTTGTTCCCTTCAACCATCTATGTTCCTTTTGTAAAATAATAATAGAAAGGTTGTCTTTAAGCGATAACCACTATTTGAGAATAGTTATTTTTAGAATTAACTTATGAATGAGAGAATGAAAAATTGGAAATATGAATATATATATTTTTTTGCAGTATACTGCAATAGAGAATTCTGTTCAACAGTTATTTTAAACATTCCTCTCATTTTTTCTCCCTATAAACAATATCTTCTTAGAGCTTATCTATAAATATTTGTATCTTTATATGTTTAATCAATTAATAATAATAACATTTCTCCAACAAAAAAACCTCTTTAACATCATTTGCGCCTATTTTTTATATCTTGTATATATTTTTCTCTTTCCATCGCCTTATCTCTCTATTTTTGCGTTCATATACCGCAAATATTCTAATCTATTCTTTAAGCCTATATCACTAGAATAAATAGACCTAACTTGCATCTCTAGAATTGTTTCTTTTCCCTTATTTTTTTAGCAGATTCAGCTAAATAAAAATTATTAAATAGAGATAAAAATTTCGTAATTGATACGGTTACAATCATTATATGTGCAGATAGTGTACATGTACCCATATACAGTAGAGTTACCTGTAACAATATCATGTATTACACATCACTAATATACTAATTTGGAATAAAGGAAATGTTAATTAGACAATAAAAAATAACAGATGGCGCATTGAATCGTTATAATAGTTTTAAAATAGTCAAAGAGTTGTTGTATTTTCTCCTTTTACATAGAAAATAATGTATTACATCACATATTTTTACCGATAGAACATTAATTGAGTTAACAAAGAAAGATATCACCACTAGCTCATTGTAATGATTTCACCTTTATGCAGGAAGCTAAATCATTATCTGATAGAGCGAGGAGAGTTTTGAACATATGAATTGCTATTAGCATCTGTTGCGTTGTTCATAAAGAGTTTTACCGACAAATTAAACATATCATTCGTCAACTGTTCCGCGTTACAACAACAAGTTCAGTTTCTGAATTTTGTTTCTTCATTCCTAAAAGAGAGAAATATAATTTTTTTGCATTAACAAAAATGGAAAGGTGGGCCGGAAAAGTTGCCGTTATTACTGGAGCTTCGTGTGGAATGGGAAAACTCCTTTGCGAAGAGCTCGTTAAAGCAGGAATGATTGTTATCGGGCTAGGGAGAGATACGAAAACCATTCAAGTAATGCACAGAAAGAAAGAAAAAGAAATTTTGACTAGATAATTTATTTTCTCTATTCTTTCTATTTATAGAAACATGCAGATGAGTTGAAAAAGGAAAAGGGTAAACTCATTCCAAAGGCAGTTGACTTTTGTCCCTTGAAAAATGATGGAAGTAAGGAATCTACTTTTCTTTTTGTTCTTTATTTATTAAAGAGTGTAAATTCTAGTAAAAAAACAAACAACAACTGATATTTATGCTTTGTTTGTTGCATCTTCTTTTAAGGTCTTTATCCCGACGCAAAAAAATATAACCATCAAGATATTAAGGAGGTATTCGAGTTTATTGATAAAACATACGGAGCTGTTCATATTCTATGCAATATGGCTAGCCAAGGAACTTCGCCTTGTCTATTGGAAGATGAAATTGGAATGTGGAAATATACAGTTGAGGTAGATGTCGTCTTTTATTTTAATGATATTAAATAATAACGTTCTAATAGAATTGTACACCTTTATAGATAAATATCATTGGTCCTGCCGTTTTGTGTAAATACGCCATAGCTAATATGAGAAAGCATAATGTCAAAGGACACATTATCAACGTCGGAGGGTAAAATGATATTTTTTCATTAAAAAGTAACTAATATCTTTAATTACGTTTAATCAAAAAGAACGGCCAGCTATTATACATCCATCTTTATGGACTGTCACTTTTATTCCGTTACGAAATTTATTTTAAGAGCTATGGGAGATGGACTTCGTATGGAATTCAGAGCTAACAACATACCAATTAGAGTATCTGTAAGTTTTTGAGACTTATATTTATTCCCTATGTATAATTGCTAATATTCTATTTTTAATATATAGCATATTGGACCTGGTCATGTTTTGACTGGAGCTCAGGATAGAGGAGAATCGAAGACTTCTGAAGTCTACGAAGGATTTTTGGTACAGTTTCTATTTAGTTATTGACATTCATTTACAATAATCTGTATCGTTATATTATGTAGACTGTTTATTTATTCTTTATATATTTATCTCTAAACATTTTCCAATAGGAATTTGCCAAAATCTATGGAATGAAAAGATCTACCTTCCCCAGAAGATTACCAATTGATGCTACAGGTGATAAAGTCTACACTAGCGGCCTCTTACCCGTAAGTGTTTTTCTTATTATATTGACATTCAACCTAATTAAAAATGTTATTATAATGTATTTTTTGATTATTCAAAACTTTCTCTCTAGGCTTTGCAAGCTCAAAATGTTATCGATCAAATTTTGGGTATGATTGCTGCCGACGATGGCGCTGAGGTACGTCAAATTATCTTTAATATATCTTTCTAAGAATGCTTACTCAATTAATGATCGTATATAAAAATGTCTATTTTAGGTAATGGACGTAATAATGAAGCCAACTGACAGGTAAATCTTTTTAAATATCAGATTGTAGGGTATAAAGAAAAAGAGAGAGAGAGAGAGCAGAGAGAGTAGATATTTTTACTCAATATTCTTAAATTAATGAAATGTTAATTGTATTTGAAAACAGAAAACACACTGTTCTTGAAACTGACTTGTACTGGAGACCGTGAAAAAACTAAGAGAAAGACTATAAATCGAGAATTGAGTGGTTGTGGTCTTTAACACTCCTCTAAATGCTTTTCTCTTATATTATTTCAACTTTCTAATATCCAGTTGAATAAATAAATGAGAAATTATGCAATTGACTTACATTACTTGCTATTGTTAAATTAATTCGATTAAATTAATAGGATGAAAGCAAATTCGGTACAAAAGACGAGTTGATTAATATCTGGGAATTGACCTCCAAAGTGTACTAAGCCTTACACTTGATCGATAGTTAAAGAATAGAATTAAATAAACCAATAAAATCGAAGTCGCCTACTTTGATACTATTACGCAATTGTAGAAACGATTCAAGGAGAATTTAATTTATTATCGCTCGTATTCATTTTTCCTTATTATTATTTTATCTGTTTAGAATTTAGCATTTCTTCTTTTACTATAATAAATCTATTTATCTTTATCTTAATTCCATTGGAAAATTCTCTCTAACATTCCTTTGTTGTCTCCGCTTCAATCTTCTTTCTCTCTTTCTCTCCCTATATCACTCTGCCCTTCTTTTCCCTCTTAAAGTATAGTACGTAGTGTATATAGCATAATGGTAATAATAATAATAATTATAATAAACACATCTTTCCATAAAGTTAAGCGTTTCTGTATGTATAAATAATGGAATGTACACAGTTTACAGTATTTAAATTTCTATTCATTTTACAGAATCACTTCAAAATTCAAATAACTCGTCTTTGAGTTTAAGAACGATGTTCTGAAATGTTCTACAGCTTCAATATGCGTTTTTTCCCTTAGATTAACCCCATCAACCGAAACGATTTCCATATTTTCCTATTTTCAGAAATAGAAACGTAATAAATATCATTTTTCTTCTATTCTAATAGGAATTTTAATAATTTACTCTTACTTTCAATTCTCCTGATGCCTCCGCTGAACCACCTTCGTATATACGCTGTATTCTTACTTCCGGCTGTATTTTACTATCTTTTCCTCCAGAAATACTTATGCCTAGAAGGAAAAAAGCCAAATCTATACATTTATATTTATATATAAAAGTTTATAAATATACAGTATACTGTATATATATAGTATATATATATATATATATATAGTATATACTGTATATGGTATATTTAGTATACGTAATTCAACTATTAACAAAGTTACTAAATCTTGTTAGGAACGCACCTAAAGTTGGCTTAATTTTCCAGATTTGTATTATCCTGGAATTGGTGGAAAATTTTTTAGGGCAGTGTACTTCGACTATTTCATTTTCTAGTGTTATTTCGGAATTTGCAGACATATTTGATAATCTTTGCTTTGTTATAGTATTCTTTTCATCCATTGATATTTTTTCAAAATGCTCTTCTAAATCCCTCTCTATAGAATTATTTTCAGTTTTAAATGTATCATTCAAGAATTTAGGTCTCCTTTTCCCCCTTATCGCCCTAAGGGATGTTACTGGTTCATTTTCATCTAGACCTTCGAAAATTTCATTTGGAAAATTATTTTCGTCGCATTTCTTGCCATTTTCAATTGGAATATGATTTTCTATAGTTGCAACAGTAGTTATTCTATTGGAATCTTGAATATCTTCATAGATGGCGTTAACCGATTGGTCTTCTATAAATATATCTTCTGTATCATCATCAGACTGTGAAACTAATGCATCTAATAATTCGTTGTATGTAGGGTGAAAGTCATCCGCTGTCAGAGTTTCTGTAAGGTCGACGCTGGGCGTTGGGGATCTCTCGTCGAGAATAGCAGTCTGGCTAGTGTCTTGTACGTTGTGAGCTCTGTAATACTTTGAATGACTTTTCATTCTATCAATTTCTACGGCGTGTTTTGCTGAGGAAGTGTCAGGATGAGATATGATTTCAGAGTCGTTTAAAACGCTTAATCGCCTTTCCCTTAATTTAGGTATTTCAAGTGGAGAGGTTGCTGAGCCTTTTCCGTGTGACGATGCAACATCTAAAAGATCATTTATAGGAGATGTTCCCCTATCTAGAAACGAAAAGAAAGAAACAAAATAGATAATAGCTTTATCAAGAGATTCTGGAAGAGAGAGAGAGAATGAATGTCAATTAAACAATTTATTATTTACCTTCATAAGTTAAGTTGTTATTAACGAACTTTGATGAATTTCTATCCTGTTCTATAAAGAATAAATAGCAAAAAAATATTATTTTATTATTGAATTTCAACGGGGGAAAACGGACTTTTTTTTAATTTAAGAGAATTGAGTAATTTCTTTTTTAAAGATTTCTTTCTAACAGGTAACCTGTTTGTTGAAGCTGAATAAAGAAAGAAAACAATATATTTATCTTGTACATAAAGAAATAGATTTCAAGCAAAGCCTATAAACGTTTAGCCAAAATAATCTATATTCTATATTTATTTAATAATAACGGACCGTCTAACGCTGCTTGATGACTTGGAAGGATATTAGATGACCTTGTATCCAGCCCATCAGAACATACAGACGAAACTGAATCTACATAATCGCTATCATAATCTCTTTTAGATAGATAGAGTCCGGAATCGGTCGACTGTTTAAATGCTTGCTCATCTTCGCCTATTTATTCAGTATCAATTATCAATTAATATAGACGTGGATTAAAGGATATACTATATTTAGTATTAGATATGTAAGAATTATACTTTTAGGTGTAAATAAGCTAAAGTCTTCGTCGCTTGTCCCGGATTCGTCCCTGGGTTTGATTAACGGCGTAAAAGACTTTAATGATGCCAGTTTTTGTGATGATGATGCTGAACGAATTTTATCACTTCTCTCATTGTTCGGCGTTTGTACAGGGATAGATTTAATGAATGAACCTTTAAAGAGAACATAACGTATAAGAATTTTTACATAGATTTATCTTTTGTTGTATATAAAACTTTAATTTACAAAATATCCGAAAGGGGAAAAGCATTTTTTTTACTTTATACTTTATATTATAAACGCAGCTGTTGATGGTTTATTAAAAGTATTATCAACTTTATGCCTAGTCAATAGAAAGAAGAGAACATTTTTTTTTAATTTTAATCAATTAAAGAATGAGAACGAGAATAAAAATGATGATGACGATGATGATATGATGATATGATGATGATGATGATGATGATGATGATGATGATGATGATGATGATGATGAGGGAGATAGAGGCGAATGACAAAGAGGGAGAAATGAGACAATAGAGAAAGATGCGAATAAATATAAAATGTAGAGTAAAATCATTATTTCTTGAACTATTAAATGAGATAAAATTAAAAGAAAAGATTATTGTAAATATCTTACGGGATGCTGCCAAAAGCCCATTTTCGTCCAACCATTTATATTCGGTATTTACTTCCTTATAAATAGGAAATCGACAGGCTGACTAAACAGTGTGAAAAAAGAGAGAAAAAGAAATCTATAAATATGTCAATTTACTCTTTTTTTATCTTTTGCTATATAAACTTACTCTAACTCTAATAACCAATTGACTTTGATCTCTCAACAGTAAAACGGCATCCCTGTGAGATAAATTATCCGTATTAATACCATTCACCTCCAATATTTGATCGCCTAATCTTAGTCCTTGTAATTCGGCTATTCCTCCCGGATCGATTCTAACAGCAATCAGAAAGAGATAGATTAGGAAACTATAAGTTTTTACAAAGGAAATATTAAGCTTACTTGGAAACAAATATGCCAATTCCATATTCGCTTCCACCCCTAATATTAAAGCCTAGATTGTCTTCACTCGTTGGATGGTGTTTTGGATTATGCAAATGAACCCGTTTTTCAACTTTACTTAAGACTTTTGAAAGATTTTCTCTATCTTCTCCCGCATCGGCGATTATTTTATTAGATATGGTATCAAACCTTAAAAAAATTCAATCACGTTTTTCAAACACTTCCAAGAATTAGTTAAATAAGAGTTGAAATATAAAAAAGAAACCATACCAAACAATTTTTACTTTACGCTTTCTAAACGCCGGAACTCTACCAGTTCTACTAACTACCATACGCAACAAATTGTGATTTGTTAGAACGTTAATTGCCGAACTTATGGTAATCGATTTAAAGTTAATACCATTAACCTCTAATATATGATCGCCAACTTTTAGTCTCGCTCGTTCTGTACGGATTTTTGTTTTCATTATTTTTTACAATTAAAATTATTTTTTTATAAAGTAAACTAAGTATTATATATAAATTTATATATAAAAATTATATATATATATACAGTATATACAGTATATATTAATATATGTATGTATAAAAGATTTTTTTAACCAGCTGCTGAATCCTTTTCCACTTCACTTACGTAAATTCCCAGATGTTTTTCAACACCACCGCGTATACTTATGCCTAATATATCATTATCAGGTGTTAATTGTATATTAAACGACCTGATATCGTTATCACTAACAAGATCAGCGGGACCTGGAAAAGAATAAATTATTTAATAAATAGTAATATTAATAATAATATTGTAAATTTATCCCAGAGGGAAAAGACTTAATCAATATCATAAAGATATATATATATACTATATATATATATATATATATGAGTATGTATTTTCACATTTTTCAATCATAATTGTGTAATTTAATATATACACTACTATTAGATTTTACGAAAAATATGTGACTTTAAAGGCAAAAGGTTGAAAATTAATCTTAAGTGGGAGTGAAGCAATAACCTCTAAATGATTTAAGTTTACATAAAAGGCTATAATCTTCTACAGAGAATGCAAAAAAATTGAAAAGACACGTAGTACTAATACACTGAAAATGCCCGTTAAAATGAACAAAGGGTATTGGTTATTTTTTTTAGGATTGGAATAGAAAAGAGAACAGAAAAGAGGTGTAAACTTGCTGTTAAGAAAGGTAAAATAGAGGAAAAGAAAGAGAGATATTTAGATAAATATAGATATAAAGAGGAAGAGAGAAAGAGAGAAAGAGGAGAAAACAGACCGATTAGTAATATTTCGATCATAAACCAAGTCGAAAGATATCTATCCTTTTTTTTTATTTAAAGGTTATTTACCCAAGTATATATAAATAAATATAAATACTTTATATATATTAAATAATAAAATGTACAGATTCTGATTTATGACCTCTTTATTCTAATCCATAGATATACAATAAAAAAATATATTTATGCTGTATACAATACAGTATACTGTATACTTTTACTTTTTGCAGTTTTCTCAGTACAGTATTTTATTATGCTGGATACAGTTTTATTTTGTGAAAATTGTTTATATTAGTCATTGGAATGGTGTTATGGGGCTATTTTTAATTATAAAACTGTTCTGATTGATATATACAGTATATATATATATATATATATATATATTAGTATATACCAATATACACAGTATAGACATACTGATAAATACCAAAATATATAAAATATAATAAGTGAAATTCTGATGTTCACATGTGGCTTTATAATTAACTGTCACTTATGTTATATTATACTGATTCTATAAATTATTATTATTATTACTTTATATTAAGTGTTACTGACCATTAGTTACAATTTGTCGTAAACTATTAAGCCTATTCTCATTCCTTATTGGCAAGGTGTCGTAAAGTTTATCAGCTTTATTATTCCTTCTTCTCTTACTGAATGATCCTGGTAAACTTCTAGGTACAATTGTTTCATTTGTAATGGGGCTTCCTTCGATCGAATTCATCATTCTTTCATAAGGAACTAAGGCATCGAATTCTTCTATTTTCCTCAAGGGAATAAAATTTCTTATATCCTTGAATAAGTCCATTTTAGCCGGTGTATCCAGTAAATCGCATAATTCTTTAACGTATCTATTTATATTATTCATTGAATGATGCCTTTTACTTATCCGTAACAGTTTCGAACGTTCGTGATCATTAAGTAAGAATTTTGCTCGATTCTGGAAAATTGCCAATTGTTGTTGTTTGATTAAATGTTTATCCCTTGTATTAAGAGTATCCATTATACAGAATAAGAGGGGAATTATTATCCGAACAATATAAAATAGTTAGAAATCCTTTCCGTATTTAAGTCAACTACTATATGCTGTAATTCGCTGAATTTGGCAATCCTTTAGCTCCATACTCAACGATAAACGACAACATTTCTAACTTGGCGCGTGCACAGCAACAACTGCTCATGTTCAATAAATCGATTTCAATTCGCATTTTGAATAAGGTATGCAATTATTGATTGTTAAATTCGTCTAATCTGGCAGAAAGATGTAATTGTTCAAACTGAAAAGAAAACATTTTGATTAAGTTATTTTAAAAACCTTTCTACTGTAATTGAATTATTACTACTTTTATTGCTATTATTCTATATACTTGTTGAACTTGAATGATAGACCTATCATGCAAATCCCATAATCTTCGAATGAGTTCTGATCTATAGGCTAAAAAAAAGAAATATTTTGTTAAAATACTAGTAAACAATGTAGAAAGAGATAATTATAATAATCTAAAAAATGGAAATATGATATAAAGAGATTATATTTATTCGTAAAATGAACTGTACTTGTTAAGAAAGATATAAATAGTAAGAAAAAGAAACAAACAAACAGAGAGATATGATCTTTAACTGTTAGACTTGTAGTACGTAGAGCAACAATATCTATTAGCCAAACTCTAAAGTGTTTCTGAACGTTGTATAATGTTCATACGCCTATTGGAAATCTAGAAATATGACAGCGAAGGAATGAACGGACGGACAAATGTGTAAAAATTAATAAAAGACAAAAACAACTGATAGAAATTTATACCAGATTGATTTCTATTGGTCTTTAGGACTAAACGGTGTCATTCAAAACATAACGTAGCCTATGGAGTTTATAGGTGCCAATATCAATTACTAACTAATATTGAATTGTATTAGATTCAAATTGTTGTTTATTATAAAGAGTACAATTGACATAAATTTTGTCTATTTAAGCACTTTAGTTATGAATAAATCATTGTTATTATTCAAAAACGAAAGTATACGTATTGAAAAAAAAAACGAGCCATTTACAACGAATTGCAGTTTTATTTTCGTACATTGGCGAATTATTCAGAAGTGGTATAGAGACAAAGAGAGCTAGGTAAAGGAAGTAAAAAAGTATTATCGTTCACCTTTCATATCAACTGAATAGTCGTGACCAAGAAGAACCATATAGACTCTGTCTAACTTTCGTAAGTATTTACAATTAAATATAGTATATGTTTATATTAGAATATTTTTGCCATCATTTCATGATAATTTTACATATCCGTTCTTAAATAGACTATTTAACGTATATTTTAAATATATATACGTATATATAACTATTTCTTTCAATAAAAACAAGAACATTTTTCATTCTAGTATATAGCTATACCCAGTAGCATAGTATTTAGGGCTAGAGGAACAAATTAAGCCGAAATGAGTCTTATAATACGGAAACTATATGTTTTTCCCTCCCGTTTCTATCTATTAGTCTATGGAAAAATATTCATTATGCACGGTTTATACTATTATGAATATTCTGATAAAACATTTACTAGTTTGTGGAAAATTACATGAAGAGAATGATTAATTAAAAATTAAATACTCTAACCATTTCATTAAAATTTAACTATCTATACATTTTATTCTATTTTGTTTGTACCTTCGTCTTTGGCTTAACTAAAGATCTAATGCAAGATTTCAAGCATTTAGTATAAAATCTTTATATCCGTTTATGCATCGTTGTATAATAGAGAGGATTGAACAGTTAACGAGAAAATAAACTGGGAATATAGATCTAAAAATAGAATAAAGCTACGTAAACAGGTAAATTTTACTTAAGTTTAGAGAATTAAGTTATTATCTATTTCTTGAGTGCCTTTAATTCTAATGTATGACAAATATATTGTACCTGTAAAATACTATACATATTGAGAGTGTTATAGTTATTAGTAATGTTGGTGAGAGAATCACGCCCTTTAGAGATAGAGATAGAGATAGAAAGAAAGAGAGAGAGAGAAAGAGAGAGATAGAAAGTAGAAATGTAGGTAGAGAAACTGTGACTTTTATCTCAATAATGTTTTTTTTTCTTAAAGTAAATTGGTACTAGGAATTTTGTACTTTGAAAATTAAAAATACAAAAAAATTAAAGGCTTTCCTATCATCATAAAACAACTGTACAACTTACAATTGCCTATAAAACAACAAACTTTTATAGCGTATCATCGATCAAATGTATAAAACGCGTTGCCATAGAGATGCTGTGAACGCCCATTGCAGGTGTTTACTACACTCTTATTAGCGAAAAGTGCGACAGTACAGCTGAAAAATGGCTGAAAACTTGTAAAATTAACAGTTAAAGCTTTCAAAGTAGTAAGTAAAATAGAAAATAATCGATTAATTAAAAATAAACTTGAATGGTGAATAATTCTTAATGACTAACAATGTCAAACATATGTATACATGTGAGAGTAAGTATTATATATATATATATATATATATATATATATATATATGTACGTATGTATGCTTACATTTTTGGCATATGTTTCAATGTATATTACGTAGATATGTGTGATTTGTTTTTCTTTTTTCACTTTAGATGTAAGAACTGGAAGAGCAACGCCAAAAGGATAAATAACCAAAAAAATATATACCTAAATATTATATATATATATATGTAGATGTATATATAAATATATATGTAAAGTATATACATATACATATATATATATATATCTATATATATATATATATATATGTGTATGTGTGTATGCTAACATACATATACATATATTCTGACAGAGAGCATAATAAAGACTATATTATAAATATATACATAGATAGAAAGATAGATAGATAGTTTCTAATATAATTATACATATATGTATATATAACAGAATATATATATGTATTTGTATATTTATATATTTTTGTATATGAAAACAACATGCCTAGGGATATTTCAACACCTGTTATGAGGAAAATTTATACTAAATCGGCCATCCAAAGAGCCTGCGCCGGTTTACAACCAGTAGTAATAAAATCTACAGGAAAATTAAAAAAATTCTATTCAGGATTTACGCAAATTTCAACTGTAATGGCAATAAATATTTTCCTAAGTAGCCTTACGCTCTTAACTGATTGGTTAATTTGGAGAGAGATGAATATCAGTCAAATGTTAAACAATAGGAGAATGGAAGGAATTATGATGGAATTGGTGATTCTAGCCTGTTGCTTCTCGGCAATTTGCTATGCAGCAGATTTTGTATGGAGTATTTGGGTTCTATGCGTCTATAGGAAAAAAGTCAGATATGAAACTGATGGACTTGCTTTGAAAGCGAATTTCAGCCATAAGTTTGTAACTTACCTACATTACATGGTATACTCTCTAATTGGTCAGTTGCCTTTCTATATCATCCTGATAATATCTCAAGCTCTTTATGGATGTAATTTTATATGGTTCCAAAAAGAGTTTATTTTTACGATAAACTTTGCATTCCTATGTATTAACGTTATTTGGAAGATATGCATCATATTTTACTATCACTTTGAAATTCTACAGTCAAAAAGCCATCAGGTATGGTTGTGTAAAACTTTAACCATTCTACTTCTAATGCTGGTCGTTGGAGTGGCTTTTTTCAACCTAATATTGTACACCAGCGTTCTTAATGATAAAATATCGAAAAGCAATCAAAAGGAAAAGATATTCAAAGCGATTGCTTTAAGGAAAAGGTTGAAGGATGAAAAACTTCAACTATCAAGGGGAAATGTAACAAATATAGTTGATTTTGAAGAACTAATTAAACACGATGAATATATAATAAAGAGAACATGCGATAAAAATATGCAATCCTTCTCTAATCTTGAAACATGCCAATCAGTCACGTTTTGTTTTAAACTTCATTTTAAAACAAATTTATTGAGTATCCATTACTCGTATTTGATTCACTCTGAAAAAGCAGATGAACTGCGTACAAATGTTCGAGAGTCAAATTTGCACTATTATATGCATTGGAAATTAGGTAATGATGTGACAAACTGTAATACTGCATTACTATACAACGAAAGTCTAACAAGTAAATTATGCACCACTGATTTATTTTGAATATCATCAGATTTTCAAGACATGCAGCGCATGTTAAGTTATTCTTTCAAGTCTTATGCTAATAGAATTCAAACTATATGTTCACATTCTTTGCTTTATTCACTTAAATAATGTATAACAAAGGATTTTTAGTTAATATTTAAAAGTTTTGTTGTGATTTAGTTCCATTTCGCTTTTACTTTTTGCTTTATCTGTGCTAAAGGATTTTTCTCTCTCTATCTTTCTCTTTTATTCTTTGCAATTTGTTGCCTTTCTAACGTATTAATTTATTCTCATCTGTGAGAAAGATACTTCTTTGTATTGAACAATTCAACTATTCAATTCTGTGTCATGTAAACCTTAGTTATAACATTATTATTATTGTTATTGTTAATATGACAAATATGAATTAACGAAGCATACATATGTATTCATAATTGAATATTCTGTGTGCTATTTCATTGTCAATTATCACTTTGTCCAACACTATTTTTTTAAATAAAAAACGATGAAGCATTTCTATTCCATCGTTAATCGTCATACGAATCTCAATGAGAGATATTGATTAGAGGATCAATATCGTTCTCTTTCTCACTCTCAAATTTTTACACAATGTAGTCGATAACTGATTTATTGCAATTTAATAATAACTATGAGCCGATAACGCCGATAGCGATCACTTTTCGTCTGACTGATTTAAGGCCAAAAAGGCTTTATTATTGTAAAATCTGTTTGATAAAACTCTTTTATTCGATAGTAATAGCAAATTATTTTTGTCCAATTACCCCTAACCAAGGTTAAATTTATTATCCCTCTTTAAATATTTTCTGACCCACATACGAGTACAACTATATACATATATATATAACGTTATATTTGTTGTAATACAGTTGTATAAATATTGTATTCGTTATATTATACTCAAAGGAACATATGTATTTATAAAAGTGTTGTACACAATATTATTGTGAATTATTGATAACAAGGGCTATGTTATCAAAATGGTTATAAACAATAGTTTAAGAAGAGAAACAAAGTGTTACATACTGAAATGATCGATTATACAAAATGTTATTTTTCTAGATACGTAAACTAGTATATTTTTAGTGTCGATATGACAGATAATTAAAAATATTTCCTGCAAAGTCGCATACATTGTTTATTAACGTTCTTTAAGGTAAATTATTAAAAACCTTTTAATCTATTGTCTAATATATCTATGTATATATTGCATATATAGATACATATCTACATATATTAGTATATATAACATAAAGAGAGATAGAGAAAGAGAGAGAGAAATGCATAAACGCAGATGCTTTACTAATCACATAAAAACGTAAATGTCGTCGAAAATCAAGAGAATTAATTATCTGTAGCTTTCTCAATAGCTGTCCTATAATTACAACAAGAAATTTGATAGTATTTGATATTGGTATATTAATCTTTTTAAAAGGAATTCAACGCAAACATGTAAGCTTTGAATCAAATAATAAAGAATAACTCTTGATTTTATTTTATACCTATTAATTTATATTCTTTGGTTGAATGGGAATTTTGCCTTTTCAATTTTTCTTTTATATACAAAATATATTATATTACATATATTCATAAATGCTTTATAAAAACTGGTAATGTACTTAATACACAGTTTATACAGTGTATGTTTGTATTGTAGATTGTTTTTCGTTTGAAAAATATGCTCTCGTTAAAAGAGTACTTTTACAAAGCATGCGCTGTATAATACAACGTGTACTAATAATCTGGCTCTATTCAATTTTCTTGAACATAATACACTTATATTACTTGTAATACCTAGTACTCATGCTCTATATACCTAACGTGTTATATGAATATTCAAAATAAAAAAAACCTCTAAAATTGATAGACTCTTTATGAAAATGTTTCTGTATGCTTAAATTACTTATTAACTAACAAACTCTCACTTTTTCTTCTCTTGTGCTTCTTTCCGTCTCCCTCCCATCTCTTGTCACCATGTAAGCTATTAATATTTAATACAAATTGGCTGTTTAAATCTAAAAATAGCTTGTTGATGGTTCATTTCTCCATCTACTATCTAATAATGCGTTTCTTTGTTTTTGTACATTTTTCCCTATCTGTTGAATATTCATTAGAAATTGTATTGCAACTTCAAATAATTCAATGTTTAGAACTTTTTTTCTTTAATTATGTCTTTTTTAATGCAATATGATAATAAATAAAGGGGAAACTTAGTTATTTAATACTATAAACTATTTTTAATATCATACCAAATTAATGTAGACTCTATCAGTTTTCAATATGTTCCTCCACTCAAAAATCGTCATTTTATTTAATCTAAATAATTAACAAACAGACAAGAACAGGAATAATACGGTGGAAAAGATTACGTTTTTCTAAGTGTTCATAACGTCATATTAGTGTTTTTCTAAGGTTGCACATATACATATACACATATAGATGGTATACTTGGCTTTTATCCATATACAGATGGTGGTTTGAAGGTAGCATTCTACTTCAGAAAACTGATGTTTGCTTCATTAGGATTTTTGCAGTACGTCAACCATTCTTTTGTATTACACTTATGAACGCAACACTCACAGGTTATTGACCCTTTTCTTTCCGCTTTTAACAAAGCAAAAGCGTTCGATTTCTTTATAAAGTGAACGTTGGAGCGTTTACTAACGTTGTTTGGTCCACAAATTGTATTAAGTGTGCTAGCAATCATCTTGCTACAATCTACTCTTTGTTCAACAGACAAAATATCCGCCACAGTACACTTTTGTTCATAAGCGAGAGCAATCATAGGTAAAAAGAGTAAAAACAGCTTAATCCCGATCATGATTTTCCTCTGAAATGTTGAGTATTTAATAGATTAGATAGAATAAAATTTTATCTCGTATTAATAACACTTCTTTTACAGTTTTCTTCTTGATATCTTCTTTTCCGTTGTTTGTTGATTATAAAGTATGTATTTATTTCATATGTATATACAGTATATATAAAGTATATAAATATTATATATAATACTACCAAGTCTTTCTATCAAAAACTTAAAAGACTAACTGAACGAAACTTCTGTGCAACTATAAGCTTATATTCATAGTTGAGTAGTTGTCTTTTTCAGTCTGTATAATTTGTAACTGTTACTTTTATTATATATACTTTATATGTATTTAATATATAAGGCTATAATACTGAATTGAACTTTGCACTAGAAAAATGTTTTTAGACAACAAAAGAAAAATTATCATTTTTTTTAATCTTTTTTTTTATTTAGTTTTGCAAATCTCAGCAAATTTTTTTTCAGTTAAACTAAAAATATAGTAATGAAAAATTTTAATAAGAAAAGGAAATTTAAAAAATATCCTCTTCAATTGAATTCTGTAAATTCATGAAATAATAAATAAAATAGAAATTACTGTCCAACATCATTTTTGATCTATAAATTGTTCTTACATTGTATATAAAATAATACTTTTGCTTATACATAGTACCTTCGAAAAAAGAAAATAAGAGAAAAGGTACAAAAATGCAGATATTGAGAAAGACTAACAGAGAGAGAGAGTTTAAGAAAAGGAATAAGAAAGAGAAAAAAATGATTAAAAAACTATACTGTTGTTCGTTTAATAACCGACTGTGATCTCTTAATATAGATTTAAATACGCAAAAGTGCTAAAGTAAAATGATGATAGATTTGCTATTACTTACCAATAAGGTTAAAAATGTTGACAGGAAATCAGCCGGTTCTAAAACTAGAAAAATATATGTACAAAAGTGCTTAAAGAGATATACTTAAATATTATATATATATAATATATATATATATATATATATGTATATACTGTATATTTATATATAAACTATACAAATGTATTTAAATATATTTTTATATATTCTCTTAATTCTACTTCTTCAACAGCGCCTCCTACAGTTTTTTTCAGAAAAAGGATAAATGTATACTTGTTAAAGAAAAAACAAAATTAGAAAAAAAAAAAGAGGGGATTAGAAGAACATAGGAGACGACGAGATGGAAAGACTATCTTAAAATTTAACAAAATAATAAAGGAAAAGAAGTGATCATAAACATGTTAACAATGCTTTGTACAATATATACTGTATATACAGTATAATCTATTTCTTTTAATTTTAAAATAGAACCGCCTTGGAAAGCCTTATCAAAGCTTTTAAAATCGAGGTATATATTTGTAAAATGGGATATTTTATTCACCTTTTTTCTGATATGCTCATCTACTTGTTTATCATTATTCTTTATAATAGAAAACAAACTCTAGCTACTTCTATATTCTATATTTTCACAGAGGTACTATTTTTATAAACTATGGGATATTTATGTTTAAAAGGTTAAATATACCATTGTTTATCATGTGAAATCCGTTACGTAGATGTTAATGCTATTTTGTTACTTTATAATTTGACAGTAATTAATCAAATGCAAGTACAATACTGCAAAATGTAGGTTTTTCCTTTAAATATCGATAATTATTATTATTTTTATAAAGGTTCATTTCTTAAAAACTTCATCCACATATCATATGATGGGACTGGTTTGTCAGTTGGAACGAAATGACCAGCTCCTTTAACTGTAGCATAGGTTAGATTACGATAATGCTTTGAAAAGCCGGCAATTTGTTTCGTATTATCCTCGGCAAGTGTATAGTGCCACGGTCTGTAAGGTTCAACAACCTACCAAACAAAACAAATTATTAATAACTAGCAAAATAATGTCAATATTTTATAGTAATACTATAAAAATATATATATATATATAATATGTGCATATTTGAAAAAATAGGAGGAAAGGTAGAGAAAGGGAAGGGAGAGAGAGAGACGAGTGTTAAACGCGGGTAAAATCAGATCGAAGAGGAGGAGTTAGCCGTGGTAAATTTCAATAGAACGATACAAAATAGTCTAAAAAGTAAGCAATTAGAAAGCAATTTTTATACCTCTAATCCGAGATCTTCGCTGAACCATAGATCTCCCCAATGATTGCAAGCCATATCCAAATCACCGCTATATTTTAAAACTCTGTGTCCCTAGTCAAAACAAGTGTTTTTTATTGTTATTATTCATGTAGTTTAACAGTCAATAGTAAAAAAGGATATAAAAGAAGTGATATCTACCTTTTCCAAAATTTCCATATGCTGAGGTTTTAAATCCGTATATTGACGGATATATTGCGCACTTACTATAGCACTATAGGAGGAAAGAATATCTTTATTGATAGGTCTAGTATAAATTTATATGCAATAATTATATTTTTAGACGTTATTGGATATCAAAAGACAGAGAAAGAAACTTATATTTTTTTAATTGTACCTGCAAGGCTGCCACTGCGGTAAACCATCTTTTACATGCAGTGCTCTTCTTACTTCTACATCATTCAAAAATGATTCTCTTCCAGATGAATCGGAACATGGTATTCTCGAGCGGACTTGGTAACCCTTTTTTATATAATCTCTGATATTCTAGATAAAAAGAAACACGTCTATTATCAACAAATTATTTAATACGATAGAAACATAATACATACCTCTTGATATCTATCAATATCGAAATCTGGAGGCAGCATATCAATTGGTGCTATTTCAATGATATTTCCTTCTTTTTTTAGAATACCATCATCATGAGAAGGGACGCCCCCAAAGCATGTATCATAGAGATTGTAAGGATTTAAACCATTTCTCCAGATTTGTCTATTTACTTCACTCGACTGATAGTGCAATAAATACAGAATTTGAAAACGAGATATTTTATCAAAATAAGACGAAATTTTCTTACAAGAACAGCGCATTGATCATCCTCACTCCTATAGAAGTTGCAGTCAGTAGCGTTTCTATCCACGCAGCAATTGTCTAATAGGTCATTCCACATCCTACATAAGGAATTTAATTAATTATTGACAATAAAATTTATCGTATTAAAATTTCAGTCTTGTCTTACTCGACACCAATTATTCCCCTTGAATACGCGAAATAGGTTAAAGAATTTGTCATCATTCTTCTGTTACTTACTGGATTTCCAATTGCCATTCCCTTAATTTCATTTGAAAATAATACGTATAATAATAAAAACAGACTTATTATACGTGTTTTGTAGATAAATGATACTAACCTTAAAGTTTAAGCTTGCGTCGTTAGCTAAAAGCACGGATAGAGTTGGTACATATACCCCAGCGTAACTTTCACCTGTTATGTATAAGATGTTATCAACCAATTCGGGCCAACCTACAAAGAAATCTTTCATTGCGTTGTAATTATGTTCGGCAGTTTCGTCGTCGCTGGTTGCGCAATTGCTGTCGTCGTCGTATGAAAAACCAACGCAAGCTGGACTTTCCATAAATATAATATTTGCGTGTTTATTCCATCTTTCTTCGAACCAGCTTAAACGGCCTTGTTTATTGACACGCCATGGACCCAATTCGATTAGTTTACCAGTCATGGAACTGCAACCTGGACCACCATTCAACCATAAAACAACAGGATCATTCTGTGGATCGGATTCTGATTCTACGAACCTGAATTGTTTGATAGGCATTAATTATTAATGGAAATTGAATGTACTGGTCATTTTGTATTGCTATACCAGTAGAAAAAATTTCTTTTATCGGTGGCTTTCAAATAGCCGGCGTAATGCCTGAACGTAGGTTGAGGACCGTCCAATCTAGGCAGGAAGGTGACCCTATCATCTTCTCTGGCGGCAAATATACCGTTGATAGCTATGAATAGCAAACAAAATATATTGAAACAATTCATAATATCGGTAGATAAATGTTCCAAAAGAAAATCAAACCTTCTATATTAAGTATAAAGTTAACGGAGCAGATGTTTATTTCTCACGAGATTAATATTTGTATCATCGAAAGTAGAACTTAAATATGACATTGTAATAAACAAAGACCTTGTCTAAATTTGCAAAACTGTTTTGATATTCAATTCCTTACTTTGATGAAATAGAAAGTGGATGAAATAATGAGGGGAATGCTTCGACTTACTGTATGAAATGTATCTGTCAATTACATTATTAAAATATACAAGCATCACCAAAATCCTATATGATCAGACTAACTTTCGGTTGTTTTCCGTATCTAACATATCTAATTGCGGAATGTTTTTACCCGATACCTTATTTACCATGAAGCTAGTCGCCTTCTGTATTTCACAGTTCCTTCCCTTACTTCATCAAACTAAATATGTATTTGTAGATACGCTGTACGCATACAACAAAGGATTACAAAAAAAGAATTGGATAATCTCTTCATTATCATGAATAGAAGAACAAATTGAAGTAATTTTTTGCAGGTTGAAAATGTTACATATTCTTTGAAAAATACAAGAAAATCTGACAAATTACATGTTATTTTATATTCAATATTCTATAACAATTATATTCAACCTTTCAAGATAATTTCAATCTTTTTCAGATTATCAAAAGTAATTTTAATGCTAACAATGCTTTGATGTGTTATTATACTTCTATAAAACTATTAATTAACCTATTAGATAACAAGTCAATTTCTAATAGATTTACGTTAATTAAACGTATAAATGTAGGTATTTAATTAGAATATTGTCATTTTTTCATGAATGCTTTTAATGTAAATGATAGTTTGAACTATATTTTCCATCTTAAGGCTGATATTTTACTTCAATATTACATTGGCAATAGTAAAGTTATAGAATTCCTTATCTCTTCCTCTTTACATAGAAGAACATGGAATTGAATGAATTTGGTAAAGTAGAATGCTTCTTTTTCTTTTATACAAACAACACTTTATTTAAATTATTCTTTCTATCAATTTGTCCTTGACAGTAGAAAATTCAACGGTTCTGGAAGAAAATTCTAAAGATGTTATATATTTGGATGAGATTTCGGCAGCTAAATTATTATATAAAGAATCTAGTAAAGCATTGTTAACCATTGTTATGCCATTCATCCTGGGATTGGGTTTAGTAACTAATCTATCGTTTATATTCGTATTCGTAAGAATTCCTAGAATTCGAAACGTAACTACAATGTATCTTATAAATTTGGCTTGCAGCGATATGACTTATTTATCATTTGTAATCGGAGATAAAATTCTTAGATATTCTTCATCTCCTTTTTCGGCAGATTATAGTGCTTGGGGTGAATATGGTTGTAAATTAATAACGGGCGTTATATTTATTCCGCATTATATATCTGAATTTACCATTACCCTTTTCACAGTTGAACGTTATATAACGATTTGTCAACCATTAAAAAGAGCTTACTTTTGTAGTAGAACCAGAACTTTAATATTTATTGCATGTGTGTGGCTATTATCGTTTGCATTATCAATACCGTGTCTGTATTTTATTGAAGGGAGAATGTTTAATATTATATGGACATCTTCAAACACTGATTATGAAAGACCGTCAAAATATCTAAAATGCGGTGTGAGACCAGTAAAGTTCACTGGAGGTTTAACATTACAATGTTACGCTCTTCAAACTATTCCATTCTTTTTTACCTTTATCGTTACCGGAATATTAAATATAATAATGATAAGAGAGTTAAATGAGAGTGCGAAAACGTCTATAAGCTTGGGAGCTGATAAAAAAGCCAAGAGTGTTACTGAACGAAAAGATATTATTAAAATGTTGGTTGTTACGTCATTAATATTTTATTCCTTCGTATTACCTTACTTTATAGATGATCTTATTAACGCAGTCACGTATCTAGGTGATTGGAAAACAATTAAATTACCAACCGATTTTTTGCAATTGGCAAGATTCTTAGCCTATACAAATTCGGCAATAAATCCTATTATTTACGGAGCTGTTAGCTCAAGATACAGACAAGCTTTTATGGAAGCTTTCTGTCCATTTTTATCATCGAATTCAACTTCTACAATTGATAATAGAGTCAATACAGTACATGATAATGATACAGCGGACAATACTTATATGTAGATAGCTGTATTGTACTGTACACACTGTATACCTTAAGCAATATACGGTTAAAGGTTAACGTTATTCCCTAGGTAGTAGAAACAAACTCAATGGGGTCTCCCGACATTATTATGTAATGTATGTAATTACAATTTTGTGAGACATATAAAGATATTTGTTTACGTAAGATTAGTATATTGTTTGTCACATAATCAGAAAGAAAAATACATTTAATAATAAAAAATCGACCAAGAAATCAACGTTTAGTGAATAATAAGAAGACTAGAAGGAAAATAAAACTCTGATAAAAAGAACTTTTATAGGAAATAGATAAGTAATAAAATACTAAAATTTCTAGGTTAGATGTTTATAAAACGCAAAAGATAACAGACAACCCTGACGTAACATGTCTGTCCTTTAACATCCTGGAACATTTTTCAAGATAAATGCATATATATATATATACTGTACATTAGTGATATTTTATACTATATCTATATATGTATAAGAAGTTACATGACAAGCCAAATTGACCATTAACGTACCTTAAATTGCCATAGCAAATGAAAGTATTATATATGTTTATATATATATATATATATATAGATATATATGCAAATTTATATATATATATATATATATATATATGTATATATATCTTTGTTAGTAAGTGTGTTTTATGTGTTTACGTAGAGTAAAGCAATAAATGAATTGAATAATCATTCAAACAGCCTAATTTTTACCGGAACTTAGGGAATAACGTTCAAGAACTCCTAGTTTTCATTCTATATAGTTGGGTGTGTTCGTTTGCTGTTATGTTTCCTTCTTAGATTTCTCTTTTTGACTTTTCTCTAAAAGTTTCGTCATTAAAGATGTATTGCTAACTAAATAAATGATAGTTTGAATATTTTTGTTACTTAAAAAGAATGAGAGAAAAGTAATAAACTAATTGACAAACAAACAAATAAACAAACAAACAAACAAACATTTAATATAAAGAGTTACAAATCTGTTGAAAGAAATTGAACTTATTAATGAATGAGATCAGAAATAGGACAACAATAATTATTATTCATTTACTATTTTTTCATTAATATTATTATTTTATACGTAACGAACTATAATTACTTTGTCCAGCTATGTGGAGGAGAATACAAATAATTCAACAGTAGTTGAATAGCTGTTTATGACTAGTGCAAATAGGTAATAAGCCGTTTAACGCCATTACGAATCAATTGTATTATTTATATTGAAACGTTATTGTGAAAGCAAAAGTCGTTTCAGCTTGAACTCTCTGATCAGTTTTTACCGAAAAAAATAGGATTTTGTTGTTTATTTAAATATATGTTAATTTTTAAATATACCGTTCAAACGGGGTTGTTTCTCCATTAAAAATTGTTCACGATGGCTATGCTACAACAGGTAAATTGATAATATAAGTTTGTTTAATTCAAGCTTTAATGTTTATTATTCGTAATGTTTACTATAGTTTGGTACTAATGGATTACAAGCTAAAAGCTTAATGCGCGAAAAACTTACTGAGAGAGCTAGACGACATAAATTAAATTCAACAGATAAATCAGTTCAACATCTTAACAAATTCTATTTAGCTGCTATGTATAAGAATATGATTGTAAGTTATCATTAACTCTAATTATTCCCGAGATCAGTATACTCTTTTATCATTGTACAAAGGATATAGATAAGACTAAAGGAAGATCGGAACATTCTCTACAAATGGAGAAAAGAGATTTTGTCTCGAAACGAAGAAAGTCTATGGGAACTGTATCGATAATTGACGAAGGAAAGCTAGTTAGCCATAATATGTCACCTGGTAAAAGTAAATGTGATGGTGCTCTTCAAACTATAATAGAAAGGCAAGCTCAACGAATCGTTTCTGTACTTCCCTACGAGACAAGATCAACTGAATTTTTCAAAAATGAGATTTTACCAAATCTTGGCATTTGTTTGTCAAAAAACCCAAAAAGTAGTAAAAAAAGACATAATTTACAAACAATTAATGAAGAAAGTGGCAATAATAAGGAAAAATCTATCACTTTACCACCAAAGAATACTATTTTACCTCCAATTAAAACTTCTAAAACTTCCCCTACTGATCAGGAAAATAAAGAATCTGCCGAGGAAACCGCCAACATTGAAGAAACGAGTTCCATTTTAAAGGAACAAAACTCTATTGAAACTAAGCAGCAACAAGTAAAAAGTAAAAAAGGAGATTTATCTCTAAAAGTTAACTTTGCAAGACGTCACGGTACAGTAAAGAATGAGTATATTGAAGAAGACACATACGTTACAGTTCCTCCAACTGCTTATTGGGAAGAAACTAATAGATCTCGCGAAATTGTAATGAAAAGTTCGGTTAATAATAGACTAAATATTGCTAAGGAGAAATGTTTAAAGAATATTTCGGAGGGAGACCTTCCACTTATGTTGGCATTAGATCAGGCTGAAGTAAACGCTCTCGAAGAAAAGCAAAAAAAAATTATACTACAAAAACGCCTACTAGATTCAAGATCGAGATATAAACAATGTCAAGTATCCGTAAAGGATTGGATGAGGAAATGGGATACTGACCAGAGAAAAGCGGAAGTACTTAAATCTTTAAAAGAAAAGGAGGAGAAAACAAGAAAGGAAGAAGAACTGAAAAAGAAAAATAAAAAAAGAGGATTACGTTGATGTTCTCTTTTTCCTAATGTATCATTGTTCTTTTCAATCTGTAATTTTTCTACTTTTTATATTGACTATGTAATGTTTTATAGCAAAGAAAAACAAAGAGATAAATCGTTTATTTCAAAAATTCAATACTCGTTCAAATTGTTTGAACGGAAATGAGAATTAATTTGCTATTTTCAATATTAATCGTAAGAATAAATACAAATAAATAGAAGAAATAACTGAAGTATAGTGTATACTGTATGCATTTATATATATATATATATATATATATATATATATATATATATATATATATATATATATATATATATACAAGGTTAATCTTCCTATTTCATTTAATTCTACTATCTTTAATTGTTACCTTTATTTATATGTCAATTTTGTATCATATTCCTTTACTTAGATTACATCATTTCTGTTTTTCTTCTTTTACAGCTTAAGATAGAATCCAGAAATATAATATAAAAACTGAAGAAGAAGAAGACTACTGTTACATATAAAGTATAATCTCTCCAGTATTTTATAATAATTCTATCCTTGTCTTGATTATTTTATAATAGGTATAGATATATTAGTATGTATATATATATAGAAGAAAAACTAGGATACGTAGGTGGTATTCTATTGAAATTCATAAAATATTAAATATAATATCTCTAACAAAAGTCAAGTAGTTGATAAATTATTCAGCATCTTTTAATAAATTGATCATTTCTACGAAAAATGGCTCGTTACCACACGAATAGTGATATTTAATATCATTATTATCCTAATATAATTGATAAAATAACCTTGTCATTGACATATATTTCCTTTATTATCTTAAATTCAAGCAAATGGTCCAAGTTAAGCAATGGTAAACAAGGATAAATTGCTCCACCATTGCACTTGACATCCCTTTATATATCCTAGTTCTGTATATATATATATATATATATATATATATATATATATATTAAATAGAATTTTCTTATTATCAGTTATTTGACCTTTTTTCATCAAAATAGAGTATTTCTTTATTCATACTGAATTGCACACTTCCCGGTTCAACAAAGATCACTTTAAAATCTTTTAAATAAATAAGGGCTATATAGTGAAAGAAGTGTCAACTCTCCATCTCTAATCAATAAGTATTCTGAAAAGAGAACCTTAAATACCAAAAGTAATAGAGTTAATAATAAATATTAAGTTCTACTAGAGGAAAAGAGATAATAGGGTGAAAAAATGTGATGATATAAAAATATCTCTTCTGTTAAAAGGTAAGAGATTTTCTTTTATTCATCAATTTAAAACTATAAATAAATAGTAGCCATTTATTTTTAGTTGCAAATTGAAGTCTCGAGAAGTCGAGTCCTTGTAGAAAGATCAAATTTAGTAGACGATTAAGCGTCTAATGCCTCAAAAACAGAAAAAAATTATAAATATAGACTTCTATTTATATTATATTAATGATATATCTTTAAATTTTCGAATATACGGAAAATATTTTCTGGAAAACTAATCATCTTAGTCTACCTGTAGGATTCAGTTACTATTCAGCGCCCTCTATATTTCAAGATTAAAACGATCAACGGTTATTATATTCCACAAGTAGTTTTACTAAAACTAAAGTACAAACAGTATTTTTAATAAATAATATACCTTATTGGCTGTCATAGTATACAATCGGGTAGATTTTGACGACAATTCATACTTAATACTATCCTCAGTTTACTCTTCTAAAGACAACATATAATAAGATTACTAACTTGAATAGACTCGTATTTGACAAAGTTTGCTATATTTCCAGTATAGCTGTTCCCCTAAATAGACTATTTAAAGTATAACTTTGTCTAAAAGAGAACTTGAACTATTTCATTGAATTGATGCTTTCTTTCTTTATCTAAATAAATAAGGTTATAAGAAAGAGAAGCGTTATTGCAATTTATGAAAAATTAAAGAGGAATGGATTACATAAGTAAATACCACTGGAAATTTATCGTAAGATTCTCTACTCTATTTAACCTTTTTTAATATTAAATTTACGATTTAAGTGGCAAATATGAAAAAATCTTACTCCACTCTACTATATTCACGGTTAATGTCGCCTTTCTTTATCAGCTCAGGCCTGCTATAGAATAGGAAGTCCATTATTACCAATTTTATTCACTCCCATGGATGGCTAACATGAACAAAGGCTTAAGCCTATTTAAGGCCCCGCAATCTTTATTAAAAACTGGGTGTCATAAACTACATAGCTGTTTACCTAGTAGTAGTTCCTATGTAAGTATATGATTTGCATTGAAATATTATATTTAACTGTAACTAATATTAAGATATTAACTAATTCAGATTGTTCTATAAAGTTATAAATTGATGTATACATTTTATTTACTTCGGAGGTTCAAGTAAGGATATTAATTAGTGCTTAGTTAGACAAAATAGTTGTTCTAATAGTTATAACTAACTAGTACTGCCGTAAAAGTAATCGTTAGTTGTTTTTATTAAAAGAAAAGAAGTGTTTTATTTATAAAATGATAGTCATTTTATAATATTAAATTGTCTATTTCTTAAAAAATTTAAAGCTATTATCCACCTTGCATTAAAAGCGCTGCCATACAAATAAATTTTAAAGTTTCACTATGAATCTATTTTAAAACGAACTTTGCTATTCATAAATTAGAAGCTATAACAATATATTTAACAAAAAACATATAATCATTCAATTGTTTTGTTTCTTTTTTCAGCTATCTAAAAATGATAAAAAAAGTCAAATTTTGTCTCTTTCTCAGTGTATTAGCTTTTATGTGTTTTATAAGTGCCTACCGATTTAGAACAAAGGATAAAGTTGTAGTCGAAACTAAGGTGTATCCTGAAAGCTTTTCAGAAGAAAGAAAGTATATACCTCCGAATGAAAAAGAGGCCAATTATAGATATGTTGTTTATGAGTGTACAGGATGGTGTACAGGATGGGGAAACAGATTATATGGAGTTTTTGCAGCCTATTATTTAGCAATAATATCAAATAGAGCATTTCGTATCCATATGAAATTACCTTGCCACTTGGATAACTTTTTAACGCCTAATCGAGTAACTTGGAATAAGAAATATCCTCCTGTTGATAAATTTATTACCAAGCATATACCAGATATGACATATTACGAATTAAAAAATTTATATACATCACTACTGAGTGACAATATTAAAGTCATTTCTTACAGGCATCATTCGAGTAAAATAATCAATTTTTTAGCTAATCAAAAAGCGTTCCGTCAACTCTTTCTAAATTTGGGTTATAGAGATGAAGAATTGAATGGTTTTAGTACCCATTCAATACCTTTCAAGGTAAACTATTACAGAAGCGCGTTAAAATTACCAATATTTTATTTTTATTCTGTTTTTTTTTCGTTTCTTTTCCCTTCAAGTACAATATATTCGATGTGCTATTTACCTTGAATACGGAACTAAGGGAGGATAAGGAAAGACTAACTAGCGGTAAAAATTTACTGTGCGCTCATGTGAGACATGCCGAAACTGGAGAAAAGCCAAAAGCTTATCATCTAGAAGCCAGAAACAATACTCAGTTTGTGTGGCAGAATCTTCAGAATTTATTAAAACAGAATAGATATAAAAATCATTATATATATATTGCAACCGATTCGGCAAAAGTCGCTCGTCAGAGCTTAAAAATCTTCAACAGAAAGCTAATCCAGGCCAAAGGCTCTTTAACTAATATACAAAGATGGTCTAAAAATGGAAAAACACCTGAAGTTTCAGACGCCTGCAATGGTCTTCGAAGAGTTATATTGGATTGGAAAATCCTATCTGAATGTCGTCTGGTCATTAGATCACCCGGTGGTAGTACTTTTTCTGGTTCAGCAGTCTCAATGAGTATTAATAAAGAGTCTTACCATATTTATGGTAAACCGAAAAGGCTTGTAAGCCTTGGAAGACGCTTTCATATCATAGCAAATACTAATAAATATCCACTTCTCAAGTGTAGTTTCAAGGAAAAGGATAGATGCATATAGTAAAATTTTGTAACCTTTTCTCTATTGCTGTAATGGATCATAATATATTATCATTTTAAGATATTAGTAATATTAAATTATTTTGATCAGATTATTTTAACCTGTGCTGCCCTCTACCGCTAAATATCAATATATTTTATTTGAGCGTGTTTTTTACGATAAAGAGTAAAAGTTAAAAATCGTTGATATCAAATTTAACATTGCCTGAATTTGACTTTAATTCTATATGTATTATTAGTTGTTGCAGTCAGATTAATGTATATATACTGTATATATATGTATACTTTATACTGTAAATATTCGTATGTACAGTAAATACTCAACAAGTCTCTTTCCTGCCCAACATTTCTTTTCTATCAAAGGTATTTTTAAACAATTCGATAACCGAAGAAAAGAACATGTTATCAAAAGAATGTATTAATATTCGTGTTCATATTACATAAATATAGAGCGAACATGTTAGCCCTATTCTTCGAAACTAAATATATTATACGATAGAATAGGATTATATTTTAAGGTGCTTTTAATGACACCTTGAATAGAGTGGAAAGCTTATGATACACTTCTAAGAATAGTCTATTCTTTAAGCCATACTTTCAATTTTCTTCAATATTTCTACGTATTCAGTGAAAATTATTTATTTACTTAATTTACATATAATTCTATTACTAGTATACAGCATATAAGTATGAATACATGTAATCTACAACTACACCGAGCTAAAGAACAATTGCTGCACTCTTCTCACAAAGATTTAGCTACTTTTTCAAAGTTATTTTAGTTACATTTCGGCTTTTTTGGCGTAATTTATATTTGCTGAACGTACTAAAGAAAAAGTGTAATTGAAAGTTTCAAGAGAGTGAAAGCGAGATTTCTATATCAAATTTATTCAAATATTTCGTAAGTAAAAAGAAAATATATACATCTATATAAGTTTATTTTGTGTAGAACTAGCTCCATTTTTGTATATATCTTTGTGATAAAAAGGTGAGATATAAACTAAAGAGATTTTATTCAATATTTGTTGTACTTCTTAGAATGATAATTATCGTATAATACAACATAAAAAGTTTATTTTAGATAGTAAAAAACACAAAATACAGTAAGAATCAAATTTTATAAATGCTAGGAATATACGTATTTTTGTATTAAAATAACTCGAAAGTCTATTCAACGTTCAAGAGGATAAGGAAGCATCTATACAACTTAAATGTGTAAGGAATATCACATCGCGAAGAGCTGTCAAGTTTTATATACTCTCTCAGAATTAAAAATACATGGACGTTTTTGTTGATTTAGATATAACTACCTAACAGTAAATTTGTTCAAGATCAAGACTGTCAATAGTATAGGCCGTAAGTTATATATGTTAACGATTCCTGTAGAATATTCTCATACTTGAGGTATTAAGACTCTAAAAAGAATTAAGGCTATATAACATTTTATGCTCTTATAATATTGAGAAATTCGAAGGAAATGCCGTTTATTTCATTCATGAACGATCCTTTCATTTATAGTAAGTGGGAAGTTTAACTTTTTCTTACCAATGAAAAAGCTGAACATTTCAATTTTTTCAATATATTACTATATACAGTATATTAAGCAGAGTTAACAGATTTATTTTATCTTTAAACTGTGATACAGCTGTACTGGATATAATTGAGATTAACGAAAACAAATAATCACTCTATATCTCTCTGGTTAAAGGTACGGACAAAAAGGATATGGCTGATCCTATTGAAAATCATGCATATTTACCTAGAAGTTCACCAATTAGGAATTCGAAAATGGAAGATAATCTTGACAGTAGATGGATTAATAACATGAATGGAGTTGATAAGCAAATTTCAATAATTGAATGTATTGAAGATTTTCTAAGAGCTGTCAATGAGATGGAAACGTGCATTTTGTACAAGTCACGTTTAAGAGAAATAGAAGTTGATCCAAAAATGGAAGAATGCTTAAATGAGGCATGCTCCCTCGTTAAATTACCTGTATCGAATTTTGAACCCACCACCCTACAGCCATATTATAAAATGGTAACAGATTTTAAGGAGAGTATACAAGGAGAAGTGGCAGAAGTACCAATCAAGGGAAATTCAATTAGTACATATCATTACTTTGAAAAGAAGACAAAAACTATCAAAGATAAATCATACAAAACTACAACTCTAATTGAAAATTGTAGTAGTTGCTTTGATTTCATATCTGGTAAATTTAAAATATTGCTCAAAACATTTACTGAATTAGCCCGTTATATTCAAAGAGAGTATGAACATCATTTACAAAATTTACAAAAAGCACTATGCACTTTTCCTGGCTAATTAATTCTATCATTTAATGAAAACATGGAATAAGAGCATCAATTGGACACAACTTAATTCATTTATCTTTATATAATATAAGACAAGCCACTATTCACTTATAACTTTTATTATTTAATCAAAAAGGACTAATAAAATAGTTCCAACAGCAGAAGCTCACATAGTACAGTATATACTCTGTTCAGAAGTGTTTTGGAGCTTTTGTTCTCTTATTTATCATCCTTATAGTAAGAAGATGTATATAGCCTGCTATCAACCTTCTCCATTTTTTTAGGTTTGTTACTTAATAAATAGATTAAATATATATATTACACTCAATAAAAGTTTTACAACAAACTCTTCGATCAGTAATATTTTGACGATAATCTGCAACGAAATGGTTAGCTGTAGTACAAACAAAAGAGAAATAATTAAGCCCTAGACGCTTTCATATACCAACACTTTCTGATATATTTTCTCCAAAAGACGTCTTCCCTAGAGCATGTTACTAAATATAGAGTTTTGCGTGTTAACGATAAATTAGCTAATTCTTCAATATTTAAATTTAGGCATATCAATTGGAGTATTTCGTTTGGTAAATCGCGCAAATGCAGCGCCATATTTCTATTTTGTTTGTTTCCTGCTATCCCTGAAAAAAGTAGGGTTTACATTCGGTAGCGTACTCTAGCGGACTAGAAAATTTGCTGTTTTACTGATTTGAACTCAAAAAGGTCAAACTATAAGCCAAAAGAAAGTCTTAAGAGATAGTCTTTTTAAGAACTCATAAAACTATCGTCATCGAATATAAACAGAAAAGTTGATATAGTTTAATTGTTGTCATATTGACATATACTGTACATTATTATGAAAAAAGACAATGGAAGATAGAAAACAATAAATGAATAAACAAATTGATAAAATTAATCAGTAATAATTAACTAATTAACTAATCAACTCTAAAGGAAAATAAGAAATTAGAGAAATTAAAAACAATTGAATGGTTGATGACGCATCAGTTTTGAATATTATATTAATGGATATTCTCCATAAAACTATTAAATAGAATTGAATAAAAGAAAAACAGAGTGTAGTATTTAAATATAGTTTTTTCATATCATTCTTACGTAATCTGCAATCTTTTATATAAAGATAAGTGACGTAATTCAGGCCACATAAAAGCAAAGTTATCGTTATCGAATATAATCCATTCTCCAGATATATAACGAGGATTGGAAAATGACGAACCAGCTACTTGACCAACACCTCTAAACCTTTTAAGAAATAATTGAAATTATTATTAATTTGTTAGTATTTATGATTAGTTTATTATCAAGTTTATTAATATACTAAACCGAAGAAAGCATGTCTCTGGCAATTCTGTAGACACGTTATCATTAAATTTATCTAGAAATTCTTTATTTATATTAAATTTCATTCCAATTGGTCGAGGCGTTGAATTATCAAATTTTGTATAAACTGGCGATGTTAAATTCATTTCATTCTCTATATTTAAATATCCTACAGAAAATTCTAATTTGGCTTTGAAAGTCTTTTGACCGGATGGAACGTTGTCATCTCCCTATAAGTAAATACGAATAGAGTAAAGTAATATAGTACACATTTTAGGGTTTCGTTTACCGATATTTTAGTTCCAATTGCAGTAAACAAAGAATTTGATTTTTCGTAATGTAATTTTATTATTTCTGATCCATGAACCGAATACGTTCCAATAAAGGTTCCAGGTTTAATAAGTGCTTCAGGTATTTCTGTATTACATTCTGCGTATCCTTTTTCGTTTAAATCGAGCTTATCATACGCAATACCTGTCCTTTATAGATATATACTGAACAGAATCCATAGCGATACTCTAGACAATTGTCATACCTTAGCATTCTAGCGAAATTGTCGTGTCTCTTTTTAGACAGATGTACAAACTGAAAAAATTGCGGTGATATATATTCGTAATTGTTGAAATCATCGTAAACCATCTCAGAATCTCCTTCTAATTGAGATAATATCCATTCTCTTCCTGTGATGACTGTTGAGAGATCGTCCAAACCGATACTTTCCTTGATGATAAACCGATTATTCTCTACCTATAAATTACAATTGTTTAAATTATATTCACGTATTTAATACAAAAGGAGGTAAAAAGGAAAAAGAGGAGAGAGAGAGAGAAAGAGAGAGAGAGGAGGGGGAGAAGGTAGGGGGAAAAGAATATTTTACCGGATTAAGACTAAGATAAAGTTCCTTTCTGAAGGGATAATGAATGCGTTTTGCTTCTAAATCAACTCTCCAAAGACATAGCAGAGTTGGTTTGGATTTAATATTGACTTTTGGCAGAACATAATAGCAATTAATAGCAATTTCTTTATTATCAAACTAAAAAGAATAAAAAATTACAATATATCATATATATATAAATTTTATACATATATAGATATTCTAATAGAGATATACAAGTACCTTAATAACAACCATTCCACCAGTGGAAGGATTATCTGCAGCCCAAAATCCTAAATACTGACTATATTTATTCAAAACTGCAAAATAATTATTTATTAGAATGTAAAATACAAGAGAGATAATTCTGAACAAACACTTAAAGACGTCTTTCAAACAGACTTCAGAGTTTATAATATTCTTTTGAAATGCTAATTATAATAGAAAAAATGTTAATAATTGATTATTATTGAATACTATCTACATATATTTACAATTATATATTTGATATTACCTATTTTTATCATTCTTTTCCAAAATGCTTTATCTTGACTCGACGTTAGAGTATAGAATTTTTTACATGTCTTTCCCACTTCGCTTAAAGACTTCAAGTCCAAATTTACAAAGATATTTTGTAAGATTTCAAATGGCAAATCACAAATATTCTCCATTATCGTTTAGAACTTATTCTTCTAACTACAATTCTTTTCAATTTTACTTTATGATAAAATATGTCTTTGCGATTATTATTATTTAATTAACATGAAGTACAGTTTTTTATAAGATACAACAGTTTATAATTTAAAAAAGTCAGGCTTTTCATTCCATAATTAATTGGAAAGGAAACTGTCAACAAAAAATGGACACCGTAAACAGAAAATTTTAAATATTCTATAAAATGGAACGTATTTCGATACTGAAAAAGCACTATTTTAACTGTCGAAAGTGCATTTATGATACAATATATTAGCAAACATCAATGTTAAAAGCATGTGTAGTAGACTTAGAAGTTAATGGGAGAATTTCAATTTTCATAAGAAATTTACGTATCTTTGTATTCGTATAAAAGAGATACCTTTCTAATATTTAAAGGATATTTTAAGAGATACCTTTCTAATATTTAAAGGATAAGAAAGGATTAAAAATCTGTTTATTAAGAAATATAATTAATCTTCATCAATACGATTAGTACAATTGACGTTAACAACTATTCCTTGAGATTCTCCTTCAATCGTTACCGAACCCAAAAGTTTAAATGGTGCACCATTAAACTTTTCTTGAAGTATTCTTAAAAGTGTATCATTTATCTTTTCCTCTATTTCTCTTATTTGATTATCGGAAATTGAACTGTAAAAAGAGCAGAACAAATTAAAATGATTGTATTTACAAATATAACAATGTATATTACTCTATTGTAACCCTACTGGAAGTAGTAGGTAAAGAATTTTCTAGGCAGATTTTCTTCATGTCAAAATCCTTCAAAATTGATGTATATATCCTCTAGGAAGAGAGACAGAGACAGAGAGAGGGAAAGAGAGTGGTAAAAAAAAGTAAAAGTGCGAATACGAAAAGAAGAAATAAGCTAAATTGAGTATTGAGTGCTTTTAGTGCTAGTAAAGTCACTAATTAGTTTAAAGTATTGATTGTTTGAGTAACTACTATACTGTTATTACTTGAAATATTCAAAAAGTTACCTATAATTGGTCAAAGTTATAATTTACACTCATTTCTCTATATCGTTCAACCAATAAACTTGTTATTGGTCATAATAAGAAAATTGAACTGATTAAGATAATAAAGTATACTGTTTATCCCACTTTTGAAAGAGAGATAAGACTGAGTGATACTTTTTCTTTAAATTCTATTATACTATACTATATTCTTGATATTTAATCACATACTAATACACTGAATGGTAGGCTAAAATCTAGAGGGCGCCTTTTATTATTACGGCATTAAAAAACGAATAATATTGATATTTCAATATATGCAGTCAACGTGACTAGCCCAGCCCCAAAATTGATCATGAGTCAATAAAAAAAGTGGAGTTCAAAAGGAAAAAATTTTGTTGAAAAAGGATAAGAAAAAAATATTAGTAAGAAAGATGGATCATAATCGTTTTCAAGGGAAAAGTCAACCTATTTACGCGTACGATTCGAAATCTATGGAGAAAAAACGAAGACTTCCCTATCAGGTTAAAATTAGGTTTTTATTCAATGATTATATTTGTTGGGTGGTGCATTTTACCAGTTGTTTTTTTCTTCTCTTTCTCTCTTTCTCTTCTTTTATCTTTGATGTAGATAAAAAGTTTTTTTTAAGAGATTTTCATTTATAAATTCACTTATCTAAATATTATTTTCATCGTATTTTCCCATTTCCCTATAAAGAAATATAAGATAACATTATGGTAGTAAATAGCTGACATATTTCTACTCTTATGCATATCTAATTAACGTTTTTAATTATTAATTTATTAAATCTGATAACTACTTACTAATATTTATACTAAACGATTGATGATTAATGCCCATTCATTAATTCGTTGATTCAAACTTAGCGTATAGTATATTCAATATATATATATATATGTATATATATCTCTTATCTGGTTTAAGTTAAGTCATCTGTTTCTATTATGCAGAGAGGAAACATTGATCCCGAGTTAATTTTTTCAAAATTGGAAAAGATTGGTAGGGGATCTTTTGGCGAAGTTTATAAAGGAATAGACAAAATAACTAAGGAAATTGTTGCTATCAAAGTAATTGATTTGGAAGAAGCCGATGATGAAATTGAGGATATTCAACAGGAGATAATGATGCTATCCCAATGTGATTCGTCTTACGTTACAAAGTACTATGGTAGTTATTTAAAGGTAAATAATATTCAATCTTCTCTATAAAAGGAGAAAAGAGTCAGACTATCTCGTTTGCTTTTTCTAGAAACTCTACACTTAGTTTATAAATAAAGAGAAAAGTTAATATCTTTACTTAATCTTTTATTATATATTTTGCCTAGCCGAAACGATTAAACAGTTCAGTTAAAGAGGCGTTATTTTTTTTAAATAGTATAGTATTATTCGTCAGTGTAAACGTTCAATTCTCATAATAGATTTTTGTTAACTTCCTGGTTACGAACGATAAAAAATAAACTATTACAATATACGTTGTATATAGACCTTATTTGGTAAAACTCTTCTTTTTTTGGGTTCAAGTACATATAATTTTGAAGAAATTAAAGCTAAATATGCCCAGCATATGAAGATAATTTGAATAATTTGAAAAAAGAATTTCCTATGACCAATTTAAGAAAAATTCACTCGCACGAGTTCCTATTTTATGACATATTTCGATACGAAACGCCAAAATGATTGTTCATACTCTTGAAACGTGATTAAAATCCTGTTTGTGTATTTTTCTGTTATTTTTAGATCACTTTTTATATCCTTAGTCAATTATTTATATAAAAAATTCATTATTTACTATTTTTGGCCAATAAGTGTTTTTATTTTTCTCTTTATAAAACAATTCTTTATTTTCTATTACGTTTTTCTTTGGAATAGGGTTCAAAATTATGGATTTTAATGGAGTATTTAGGTGGTGGTTCTGCCTTGGATATGATGAAACCTGGAGTAATTGAAGAAATCGATATTGCCATAATGATTAGAGAAATTCTCAAAGGCCTTGATTACTTACATAGTGAAAATAAATTGCATAGAGACATTAAAGGTTCGTCCAATGTCCTCTCTAATTGCCTCTTTTCTCTTTCTATCTATCCTTTTCTCAGTCAGCCTCTGCCTTTTTTTTAATTTAATTTAATTTTTTCAATTTTCCTTAATAGCCGCCAACGTTCTTCTCTCTGAGCAAGGTGATGTTAAGTTAGCTGATTTTGGGGTCGCCGGTCAAATTACTCATACAACATCAAAGAAGAAAACGTTCGTCGGTACCCCATTTTGGATGGCTCCAGAGGTAATTACCTATTTGTAACTTTGCCTTTATTTTGTTTATAAATACTATTGTAAGAGAATGAAATTATTAATGTAATAGCTATTTTTACACATTTTCCTCTCCTTTATAAGGTAATTAAGCAGATGGATTACGATTTTAAAGCTGATATATGGAGTTTGGGAATAACGGCAATAGAATTAGCTAAGGGTAAAAATATAGAAAGTATTTATTCAGAATAAATTCAATAAAGCTTAACTCGATTATTAGGAGAACCACCTCATTCTGATTTACATCCCATGAAGGCATTATTTCTAATTCCGAAGAATCCTCCACCACTTTTGTCTGGAAATTATTCTAAAGCATTTAAAGATTTTGTCGAAGCTTGCTTGAATAAAGATCCAGAGAATGTAGGCTTAAATAGCTTTATTTTCATTATTCTTTTCTGCTAATAATGATACAATTCCTATGTATAGAGACCAACCGCTAAGGATTTGTTAAAGCACAAGTTTATAGCTAAAGCAAAAAAGACTTCCTGTTTGCAAGAATTAATAGAGAGATATAAAAATTACGCCAGGAGAAATCAAGAGGGAGAATCCGATTCCAACAGTGATGACAGGTAAAAGCTATTGTTGTTTATTTGTAAAATATATCCTCTCTCTAGATTTACATAATTATATAAATAATTAATTAATAGTCAAGATGAATATGACGAGAATAGTGATATTTCATGGAGTTTTCCTACTGTTCGTTCGTCGAATAAAAATGATACTCTTAAAGGACCGCCAGCTCCCAAAGTAAGAATATGAGAAATATTTATCATATAGTTTTACAGTTAAACCTAACGAAAGCTTAAATTTTATTTTAGAAACCAACAGCTCCACCGAGACGAGCTAACCATGGAAGACAATCGCATTCTCCTCAATCAGCCGTATTCATTGCAAAAGATAATGGCGTAGTTGAAATGAATAAGAATGAGGAGAAAGAAACACTTGAAAGGAGCTCTTCTAGGAAAACGGTAACTTAATTAATAGATATATCTAACAGAGCTATTTGGTTAACTTTTAATTTCTAATAAATTTAGCGACGGTCCATAGACAATTCGTCAAAAACCACAGATCAAACAGAAAATAAAGAAAATATCATCGAAGTTTGTTTTCCTTTGCCTTGTTTTCTTAATATATTTAATTGTAAACAAAACTTTGATATTTACTGAACTCTCTTCAATTGATGACAGCCTCAAAAATCCATTGAAAATACTGACAAGAGTGAAAATGTTAGTCTATCTAAGCTGTTAGATTATACTTAACGATGTTTTCTACTTTTCTTTTTTTCGCTTCTAGAAAATGAATGAAGAAGTTGTTAATAAAGAAGATTCCGGAACAGACGTCTACGAAACAGTTGGTAGTTTTTATGTTAAAGTTTACTACTATTAATTTGCCTTTTAATAAAATTATAGCTAACTCAGTTGGATGACGCAACTACCGAAATGGAAACGAATACTTATGAAAATGTTATTTACTTTTATTATTATTCTTATCTTGAACTCTTATGGTAATTTCTTTTCTTTCTCTTGATTTAATGTCATTATTTCAGATACAAGAAGCTGAAAAACCGCCTCCTTCCCTAACATCTTCCAGTCTTTCGGCAACAATTTTACCAATAATCAAGAAGGTAGAAGAATTTTAAAAAAAACATTCTTTATACAAAAAATAATTCTTCTTCTTCTTTGTCGTTTAGCTTAATTTGAATAACGAAAACCTTGAAAATGTACTAAGAAGAGTTGAGGAAAAATCTCCAGGTATTTTAGACGATTTAATCGAAGAATTGGTATCAAGATTATGCAAGAACTCTTCAAATGCAAAAATTAATAAAGCAGCAAGTCGACTCTGTCCTTAGACATCTTTAGTTATATCAGTAAGAGACACATGCTATATGTTATATAACAGGCGCAAATTTTTGTATCAGTTTCGGCTTCGAAGAATTATACAGTATAGACATGCATATCCCCTTTCTGTTTTTATTCAGAATCGTTCATAGACGACTTTTCTTTTGTCTTTTTATGAAGAAGAATTAATGATTCAGCTATTTTTACTTAAAATTTTTATTAAGAAAAAGTAATAAGACAAGAAGATAGAATCGAATATATTTTAGATAAAGATCAATTATAAATATCTGAATATATTTGTAAAAATCTTATCCTTAATATTGTTTTTCTATTCAACGTATCATTTTAATTCAAAGTTTATTTTTCATTATTGATAAAATCATTTTATTTTGGCTCTTAAAGAAAATGACAGGATGCAAAATATTCTTTACACGTGTTTGTTAAATAGCATATCAATATTTTCTAAAAAATATAAACATGTAATATTTAATTGTTTGTCATGTATATAACGTATCATATACTTTGTATTAAATAATTATATTCGGCTTATCATTAAACTTTAACAAAGTTTTATCGAAATTTGTCTTGTTATTTTATTGTTTTTTAGTAGTTTTTAAGTCATAAATAATAAACTAATAATAATCATGAAATATAGACAAGAGAAAAAGGTAGATAGAGAGAGGGAGAGAGAGACAGAGCGAAATTGCAGTATACGCGATTATTTATAAAATTGTATTTACTTTCTATTCCTGTTCTTTCTTTTTTTGTTTTCTCTTTCATTTAAATTTTAACTATTATTTTCTTAACATTTTTATCAATCATCTTAAAAAGAGATTCGTATGAAAAAAATACACATACGAATATTTCTGACTGAGTTTAATAATTAAATTTTTATTATAAATGATAATGAAAACTTCTTTGCTATTGATCTAAAACGTATTAGCTTCTATACAAAATGTGTATGGATTGAAATGAAACCATATGCTTCACCGATTAGTTTAATAAGAAGCTAACAATTACGTCTTAAAGTTATAGACAGACGAAAAGTATTCTATATTATTTTACGCAAGTATATGAACTTTAGAGTATATATATATGCGACTATTCGATATGATATTATATATAAATACATTAATACATATATATGAATAGAGAAAAGAGGACGATTAAGAATAAAAAGATAATGAAAAAAAGTTTTTTCTTCCTTTGTTTCTTTTTTCAACATTTCTGTAGATTATCTTTTTTAAATCGTTTTGTTTTATAATATTTTACTGAGTCGCCTTCTTATTTATTATAAATATAGTAGAGGACATTTCTAATGCATTTTTTATCAGATATTTTATCGGTTTTTTTTATTATACAGTAAAATACAAATACAAACCGAGTCCATTACGAATAGATAATACATATAAATATATATAAATATATATATATACTTTATATATATATTTATAGAGAATCGGCACGACGTTTACTCGTAAATGCAGTTGATATATAATGAATACTGAAAATTATCTATGTGTACATACTGTATTCATTTATATACATATACAGTATATAGACACATAAGATAGCATTTAATATGTATGCAGTATATTTAATGCTTGTACATACTTGTAAAATAGGACAGATACACAAATAAAATGCGTATATATCGAATGGGACGAATGGAAAATGAACGACCTAATTTTGTTGCTAGCGTTGAGAATATTCTTTTCGCTAGTTCCTTTATCCAACTAAAAAATTTTTCCTATTTCAAACATTGGTTTCCGTTGTTGTTTTAGAAATATTTTTCTATTTTGGCTTGTTCTGAAAGCAGCAGCACCTTGTTTTTAAAAATGCCAGTGGTATATAACGGAGAGAGAGAGTGAGAGAGAGATACAGGGACAGAGACAGAGACAGACAGATAGTAAAGCAAACATAAATTTTTCATTGAAATAGATTTCAGTCTTTTTTCTTTCGTTTACAGAGGACTTGCGATATAAAAATAATTAAGAAAATCTAATCAGCTGTTATGTAGACAGTAAATCCACATATCAGTTAATTCTTTAGAAGCTCCTTGCCTAGGTTTTTGCTTGCTAGCTAAAGTTTAAAAGAATTTCTAGTCGGACGGTGATCTATTCCCTTCCGGTAGTTCTGGCATGTGTCTTTGGGATATTTCATCCAACTTTTGGGAGAGGTTATTCGATTTTCTAAATAGAGGAGGAGGGGTTGCTGGCCTAGGCTTCATTCTTCTCTTTCGAAGGCTTTCAGGACATGTCTTTGATCTGGGACGGAAATGAATGTGGTCGTCACAAGCTAGACGATAAGCGTACGATGGACTTTGGGATTGGTAGTCATTTGTCTCTTTTTTAGGATTTTTATCGGTACGTTTTCCCGTCCTTTTCAGGTTTGGATCGGTCAACGATCTTTGTCGAAAAATCTTCTGAACGGAACATAACGTAACACCTTCTAGATTGACGACGTCTTCATTTTTAAGATTTTCAGAACTCTTCGATGTTTTAAGTATTCTAAAACTACCTTGTTTTGTTGTAAGTCGATCGTTGAATTCCTTTGTTAATTCATTGATAGAATTCATGTTTTGAAGCATTCAATTCAATTCAGTCCAATTTGATTTCGTAGTAAATATAACATACCGATGTCTGCCAAATAATACTTTACAACACTATTTATATCCGTCTATATATCTTCAGGAAATCTTTTTCGTTTTTCTGTCTAAAAAAATATATTTTCAGTTAAAAAAATATATATTTGACTAGTTGTTTCTTTCCCGTCGGCTATAAACCTAGCGATTGGTGATCTTGGCAAATTTTTCAAGCCTTCCGATCTGAACGCCATCTATACTAGAGATAAAACCAATGCGATATTCTGATATTTAAATTTATATGTATATATATATAAATATAGCCTAGGATTAAAAAAGATTAGTAAATAGGTAACAGGGCATATAATCCAAATGATTGATGGTTTGTTTAATATTTCATCTATTGTTCTTTTTTTTGAGTAGAGATTCTTCTTTTTCCATTCTTTTCTTCGCAAAGAAATTTACTTTAAATAAATTTCTTATATAAATGTCAGAAAGAAAGATCGATTAATTGGGAGAATATTAAGTTTCGTATAAAAAATAGCGCTCCAGTCGAACAAATTTGAAGCTTTTATACAAAATATCTTTAAGACCTTTAAAAGCTGACAAAAAAGTGACGTCATTAATATTTCGTTGAGACAGTTGTGAAAAATTTCCAGTTAACCTTCGAATAACTTATAAGACAGATTTGCACAATAGTTTATATGTGGTATATTAAATAAAACAGTCTAGTTGTACGGATGGATACGTTATATATTGTATTATATTAGCATATCCCTTCACTAAATCTCATTATATTGTTAATAAAAATCAAAGATATTTACTGATAAACTTTAAGGTATTTCATGTGAATTCCATTAGATACTTCTATTTTCCAGATAAGGAAAAGGGACGCCTACAACTAAAATGAATAAGTTAATGAATCATTGATATTGGCAAACATTTAATTAACAAAAGCATCAACACTTTTCTGGAATATATTTACATAACTTAAAAGATAAAATACAAGTTTTTATTAGATTTCTTAAAGAAGGATACGAGCTCTTTTCTCTTGTTAGTTACGGTAGTAAAGTGCATTTATACATTGTCAATATATGATCAAGTACTGAATGAATGAATAGTAGAAAAATGGCGTTTATTTTTTAATGGGTAGGCTAAATGATACAATAAATAGTTAGAATACTTTACAAAATAAGATTACAACGAGATAGCATGATATATAAAACTGATAAGGAAATGATTAACTCAATTACCAGCTTAAGTTTCAATGTGGAATGAAAAAGACAATCCTGCTTTGATTTTTTTATTTCTCTCTCTCCCTCTCTCTTTTAGGCGTCTAGCTGTTTTTTGTCTGAAGCAAAACTGATTGTCAACTGACTAGAAACAAGGCGTTCCCTTGTGAAGCCTGACACATTTTACAGGTCTACACCCTTTTTCTTAGGCTGAATTAAGTTAAAGGTATTTTATTTTAGCGACTAAGGAATTCTTTACTATTCCGAAGATGGTATTAATTTACATAAATTGGTGTAAAATAGAAACTCTTTTCTCGCATATAAAAAAAGATCCGACAAAAGATGAGAAAAAGCTAAATGAGGAAAGACAAAATTTTTAAAGATAGAAAGAGGAAAAAAATGTGAAAGAATCTATAAAGAGAGAGAGAGAGCGAGAGAATAGAGTAGACTGTCATGTACGTTAAAAGTTGTTAGCTATATAAAAAAAAAGAAATTACAAATAGATTCGTCCAATACCTATTTATCATCGTTGAAATTACCTAAAATAACACAAAGTAAAGGTGAAATTATACTTATTTTCAATTGATTTTTTTCGTTTATTTTATATTCTTTCCAACTTGGTGTCGTTTTTATGCACTAACTGTATATCCTAAGTGTACGATTGTAAATTGACTTGGAATTGAGAAAAACTGGTACTTATGAACGGTAATTAGCTTGCAGTTAGTCTAAAAATAATATTCGAAATGTTTTTTATGTTTAATAATTAGTTGTGAAATTTCCTAAATTAAAGTCGTTACTCTCCAAAGGAAACATCCTTTACGTGTTATTTACTAGAGAAGTAGCCAATAAATAGTTAATTCTCATTCTCTAATAAACAATTGTACATATTTTATTTTGCATCATTTACGAGGGCGTTGACAACTTTCTCTTTCCTTTTCACTCTCTCTCTATCATCATTTTAAAACTACTTTTCATCTCTGTCTTTTAATATACCATTGGATTTTATCAAAGAGATTTAATATATTTATATGAATAAATACCGCATGTCCTACATCCAAGATAACGTTACATACTCTGCTCGCTTTTTTTCGCTTCCTTTACCGCCTTTAATGGAAAGGAACCTTTTCAGCGATTAAAAACTTGTCAATGAAAGGTTTATAACTTATATAAAGTAATATATACTATATATATATAGATGTATATACAATATTATATGTATTATATGTTTACTAAAAAAATAAACTAGTATTCTCTAAGAAAAGTATGAAATCTTTAGCTATAACAGAAATTGCGAGTCATCAGGAGTTAATGATAAAATTTCAAAGAACGAATACCCTTTGATGCTTCAATCTACAACTTTCTTTTTCTTCTAACATAGAAAAAAAACCGAGAATATATACAGTACTTCCGACTCCAAGAATGAATAAAATACATTCATTCTTCTGACTTTTTGTATTTAACTAAATATCTCTGGAAATTCTCTAATAGTTTCATAGAAACGTATAAATACATAAACATTTTCATTAGGAAAGAGTAGTCGAAAAGGATGAAAAAAGATGTATTATATTGTATATTGTAAAATAAACAGAACAAGTAAGAAACATAGAGAATAATTATACTTCAAAGTTGACGTTCTGTTAAATAACTTGTTTTTTATCTACATATTTTGTTAGTGAATATAACAAGTTATATAAAAGAGAAAACTTTCTTTTTAAGTAAAGAACAAACAAAAGAGTAACGTACCGATTATGATGCTAATCTAGCTGAACGTATGTGCAACTACAACAGTTGCAAGTGAGAGACTGACGATATTAAGTAGTAGGCGCTTCATTAAGTCACATGCATGACCGTATCCAATCCGCTTAATTCTGCTGCAGTGCATTTATTTCTGTTGACATTCTTTTCGCATCAAATTATTGCCGGTCCTGTTTAATTACCCTATTATATATCATTGAATATTATTGAATTCTTGAATGATTGTTTCACATTAACTTCTTTACTTCTTGTAAATAAGTTTCGTAACATTACAAAGTTTTTAATATATTTCTTATTTTGTTTATAATAAAAGAGAGATGTTACTGTCTGTAACATTGATACTGGTAGAGAATTCGGTCAAGATAAGCCAGAAATAATAATATTCTTTCTTCTTTTTCGCCTGCCCCATACTACCCCCTCCCCTCCCCGCCTTCCCCCTCTCCTAAATAGTTTATTTACATTAGAAAATGAGGCCAAATTTTCATATTTACCAAAATATCTATATAACGCTTGCATACAATAAAGAAATGATGGAAAATATGTCTTTTATTCATTTAATTTATTTCCTATTGTTTTTTTTCTTTATGCTATCCATTCATTACTTTAAAAACTTTTAATTAAGAATAGATGACAGAATAGGGATTCATCAACCAACGAATGGAAGAAGAATGAGGAAAAAAAGAACATCTATCTTATTGAATAATTTCGTGAGATTGTAAATGAAGGCTGTTAAGTAACAAGATTAAATGAGGATAGTGACCCATTTGGAAAAACAAGATATTTGAATAATTTGTACAATCAGATCAAAATGAAAAACACAGAGATGACATTGTTTATAACTACTTTTGACATGGTTGAAAATCGTATTTACTAAACAAAAATACATAAACAATTACATCGAAGAAAAAAGTTTTTTATTGTTTCTTTAATCGTCTGAATGTTGTAAAATTTCGGCAAAGATCAAAAAGTTAATAACGTTAATGGACGTAGAACATTTCTATATAGATTATATTGCAGGTTTTGTTTCAAATGGACCATTAGTTTAGAGTGAGAGATTGAGTATATTCGTATTATAAAAACAGAAACTTTTCAGTTATTTATTTTATACTTTTTATATAATCTTAATCTCGATATCGAATGGTCGATTATCAAATTATCGTGTTTATTTCAATTACAAAATTTGTAGTTTGGTTGTTTGCTACGTTCCTTTTTTGCTATTTATCTGTCCATTTGTTTCTCTTTCTTCCTCTTTCATTGTTTGCCTGTCTCCTATCTTGTCTTTTCTATTCCTGTTGGCCCAGTTTTTAGTTTTACACCTAGTCTTTTGTCCATGAACAGTATACGAAACTGGTACTATTTGGTTCTATCTATAATTTTTCAGCCTTTCTTTCGTGGGATGACTAAATTATAGCATCGACTTGTTAATGTAAATTATAATTTATTCTCTTAAATCTATTAGGTAACACTTTCCGTTGAAATGTCATCCGAAAATTTACCCTTTTACCCATTTACGGTAAGAGTATCTCTTTTCGTAGTTAGAGAGCACTTAGAAGATGGTAGAGGATGTTAAAATATTTTTGATAGATATTGTCACTCGACCTCTTGATACATGTGTTAAATATTGTACATTTTTTTTATCTCAAACATAATTTATCCCATATGATCAATATCTAAAAATCTGCAAAGCTGTTAGGACTGATATTTAAGGATTCTGTAAATTTAATTACCCAGTCTATTCATGTACTTATTGAAAATATTGTAGTGTTCATTTATGCTGTTTTGAAAAGAGAATTATACGTTTTTTACGAGCATATTTTTGATTATATTTTATAATTCGAAAAGTATAGGGGAGTATTTTCGATATTGGTTGATTCAATGTACTTTTTTCAATGTAGAACAATTGGTAATTTTGGTAGAGTATGTGTCTTCTTCCAATTACCCTATGTCTCTCTATTCATTTCTATTTTGAATAATGTAATAAGATATCTCTTCAACTATTATTATATAAGACATATGTTTTATAAATAAAGTCTATTCTTTACATCTCAAAAGTTATTTGTCTATTGTTGAAGCACACTTTTTCAGCATTCTCTTAAGTTTAAAAGGACTTCATTAAAGCTATAGCTGAGATTATTCTAATAGAGATAAACACTTGGCTTCTGTTTTATCTCCCCGAGAAGTTGCGTAATAAAATAGATAAATAAATAAATTTTCCATCTGTCTGTTATTCCTTTTCCAGAATGTTTTCCAAGTGTTATTTTCTTAAAAAATACATCAAAAGTATGATAAATATAGCATTTAATAAATCTAGCAAAAGACTAGATATATTTAATATCAGAAAAGTAATATACTGTACTTGTTTCTCTATCTTTGTCTCCTCTCTCTCTCTCCCTTTTTCCCTCCCTCTCTCTAGACTTGGAAATTAGAGAACTGTACGGTGTTTTTTTCGCATTTACAGCTCGTGTTATTTGTAAACCAACTCTAATGCCATTTACATCATTATTTAACACTGTCTTATAAGATTGAGCATAAGTACTAATATTTTAATTATTTTAATCATATTGACTTAATAGCTCTAAAATTGGTGTTATTTGCTAATTTTTTATTACAAAACTTCATTTTTCCATCTTATTTCTTCTGTATTTTATATGCTATTGTTATATAAATTTATATATAAATATATATCTATATATAGTATCTTATATCTCCTATTTTCAGAACTGAAAACCACCTATAACTAACAAACACAAACTATAGATATAAATATATTGATTATTCAATAGATTTTAATAGAAAAAAGGAGAAATTTTCAATATTATTTATAATTTATAGGTGTAATAATTCAAGGTTAAACTACCAAGATTACTATGTATACTATTCGTAGAATAATAATATAGACCGTGAAAGAACCCAGCAGACTATATGCTAATAAAATGTTTCGATTGTTTACGTTATTACTTGAATTATATTCGAATTAAGATAATAATAGAGGTATATCTTTTATTTAATCTCTTTGGACCTAGTTTCCTCAGGTTTATGTATGTACGGTATATATATATATATATATATATATATATACAACAGCTGCTATAGGTATTGATTTTCTTCAGTCATATGTTGCCTGAGCAGAGGCTATTGCTCTAATAAAATTGCTGGAAATTTTTTGTATTATCTAATCAATATTAAATTTATCGAATCGATTAATCAAATTCGTGTAGAAATATGTTTTTGAAAGCTTAATTTTATATTTTATTCAGAGAGAATAGATTTCATTTAACATAATGCCGTCCGTTGATCAAGTCTATGAGCAAATTCAAGATAAACTCGACCAATTAATGTTTGTAAACTTTGATTTATTCATATACTGTTTATTTAAGCTTTATTTAGAAAGATTTCAGTAAAATAGAAATGCTAATATTACAAAGAGAAATCTTGTAAAGTGTACGATATTTTTTAAATATAGGGCAGACGGATGTATAAATGCACATCAAGTTAAAAATGGACGAATAGAGGTTGAAGTTGCAGACTCCATTGAAGAAGTTCGAAGAATTATAAACGGCTGGTCTGAAGTCATTGATACTCACTATTTCACCTTTAAGAATTAAAATTTTTCAACTTGAAAATGTAAACTGAAAGATAAATATCTCATATTGATTTATTATATTAATACTATAGAATATCAACGGAAAAAACGAACGATGACAGCCACATGTCAATACCATTCGACTGCAATCAAAAAGACTGTGTGAACTCATTTTTCAGTTCTTAATTTAAACATTTACGAAAGAATTTTAACCATATCAAAAATGAGAATATCAATATCTATTATATCATTAACTACATATAATAATGTATTATTAAAATAGAAAAATACACAAATCACTAGAATTTGATTTTTGATTAGTAATGACAACTGAATATACATTTGAAATGATTTATATAGTTTTTACATATCGACTATTTAAACGATAACGCTTCATTCTAGTTTTCTTATATTGTATTTATTAAATTATTAATAAAATCTAATAAAAAAATTCAATACAAAAGGGACAAAACAAACTGTATAGAAAATAAATAAAAAGTTCTCTCTTCACTCTTCCTTCACTGATTTAATGTATTCTGTTTTATTTGAACATACTTTTAATCTGCTGTTAAAGAATGGCATAGGAGTTGTGCAGGTAAAATCTGACCATGGCGTATAAACGTAAACTCCCGTAAAGTTGGATTTTTTCCTTATTGTTGTACCTAGATAGTGTAATCTCCAACCCTTTTGAAATTTTTCACCTATTTCTTCACACGTCTTACCATTTGTTTCTATTTGAATAGTTGCTGCATTAAATTGAATTTCGCCGAACCAACCTCCTGAATCTTTTGTATACTTAAATGCAAAAAGTATCTCTGTAGCGTTAGTACATTCAATTGGTTGATATTTAGCTTGTTTATTACATTTATACGATCCTTTATGGACGCCTCCTTTCATAACTATATCCGATATTTCACGTATTATATAGGGTCGAGTTATATCTCTTCCCTCTAATAATAAAAATCTATTAAGTAGAAATTTTCTTTTGATTTTTCCATCGGCAAAATTCTGAGATAATAAGAAAATCGATGGTTTTAAAAATTCTTCGTTCATTTTGACTTGAACGGCTGTTTTCCAATGCATAATTGGGAAGGCAATCACTGCTGAGAAAGTTAGGCAGCTACACATAAAGATAAGGTGGGCTTTGAATTTTATCTCGTGCTTTTCCCCTCCGGCCATATGGGCGTGCCATAGTATCCTAGTAAAATAGAATACAACCGTAATAGATGCGGACGTAGTTTGAATACTAGTCATAACGTGACTAGAACAATACGCAATGGAATAATTAACCCCGGCCAAAGGTAATTCAGAGAAGGGAAGAGTCAACAAGAATTCATATGATATAGGTATAAGTGTCTTTTTTCTAACGCTTTTAAATACATACAACGAATTAACAGTTTGAAAAATGTAAACAATAATCGCTGAAATACTGAATGAGAACAAAAGCCAAACTTGAGCATCAGAAGGTCCTCCAACCATTAAACCTCGATAGGCCGATAGAGGCGCCATTTGAAAATAATTAAACCAGTGAAGTGCTAGATGGCAGCTGCTGAGGAGTATCTGGCAGATAACCCAACCATAATGAGAAGTTGCCTACAAAGATAAATTAATCTACAGCTTGTTTTACGTTACTAAATTAATTAAGTAAATATATAAGCCTATTTCTAAATACATAAAGAAATAAGTTAATCTAAAAGAGGAACAGGTTAATGAAAAAATGTTGAATAATTTAAATATAAATGCAAGTAACGTCTCTATATGAAGGTGTTGTCTGTTTTTTTTCGATATTACTTCTTTCTTTCTTTCTTTCTTTTCATTAACGACTACTGCCGTCTAAAGGAGTATAATTAAGAAAATATTTTGTTTATCCGCCTTACCTTACCACATAAATGATCGCTGGTCTTTTTGAATTTTCTCTTTAAATCCATTTGAAAAGTGGAAGCACGCTTTTCTTCATCTGCAACATTTAGTAAACTAACTCTTAAACTTTTCTCTAATCGTAAATTCTCTTCGGATGAAAGACTCGAGACTGATTCGGCAACAGCCAAATTTGCCATTTGATAATTTCTACCTTGTTTTATCGTATCACAGTCAAATGGATTTAAATTTTTCCACAATTTATCATCATCGCGAAGTACATTCTCTTTTGATGTAATCTCCATACTGGATGTTGAGGATTCAGACAATCCGGATGAAGGGGGTTGTCCCAATTCTCTAAGTCGAATTTTTATCATAATTCTGTTGGTACAACCAGTTAAAAGTAAAGGGAATTATTTAGCGAACAAGTAGAAAAACTGTTCAATTTATCGACAAGCTGCTCGGGTACCAGCTGCTAGTGTTCAATGTTTGATGAGTTTTAATGATGTTTTCTACGTAGATTGCTGCCAGATGGCACTGAAATATTAACCTTTTTCTCAATCTTATACAACATTTATTCTTAGACTGTATTGCAGTTTTTGAGTTGATAATGGAATCGAGCTTATCAGTTTATTACGGATATTCAACAGCAATTGATAAGCATAAACTAAAAAAATCTAGTAAACTAATCGTTTTCCAGTTTCTATTTATTCCAAATCATATGCTATATATAGATATTTTGTTTATATTTTCGTTTTAAAAAAGAAAGACTCTCTTCCTTTCAGTTTCTTATCTTTATGCCTTCCTCTCCTACTTTTATAAGATATAAGGCTGTTTGCTTCGTTTATAATGCATTTAATTCACCTGTTCAAACCGTCAATATACTAAATATATATAATATATATAGTATATATATATATATATATATATATATAAATGTATATATACATATATCTAGAGATAGAGAGAAAGAGAGGTTCTTATATATGCCATTTTCTTCCTAAGATTCTTTACTTATCCTTAATAAATTATATGGAAAGCATAATCGAACTAATTTTTTCTTATATCTAATAATAGATCGTTATAAAATTACAAGTTAGGGTTACAATTATACAATGCAATATCATTGTTATTGTTATCATTAAGAATAAAATAGTCACTTACCTAGCTAAGGCTTTCGAATTTGGCAACTTCATTTATATATAAATTAAGAGATTGTTTAGTAGTTTTTCAAGTTATTCTAAAAGGAAAATGAAAGAAGAAGCAAAGTTTAATAGCAACAATGAAATGGGCTTTTGGAGAAGAAATAATCCGTAGTTTTTTCACAGGTTAATTTATTCTAATAAAATGCAAAATGTTAATTATTTATTAAGTAGAAAACGAATGTTTTTGTAGAGGAATAACGTAAGTAGTTGTAAAATGTTCTACAAATACTGTTAGCCAGTATTTATATTACATTCGGTTGATTTTTATTAAAAATTCATTTTATATCAACTCTATTAACGAATGAGAAAAGAGAAAGTTTCTTTGTTGATCGGGTCAAAAAATGATGATTAGTTTTGAAATTGTGTCTATGTTTTTCTCTCTCTTTCGCTATGGGAATAAACAGGATATAAAACTAACAAAAACGAAAATGTCAATTACTTTCAACAAGTCGCTATAGCAATGTTTAATTCGTATAGCGTTCTAGTAAATGATTATCCATCAATTTTATCTTCAAGATATAGCTGGGGAATAAATGATAATATGATGTACAATAGAGATACTTTTCTCAAACTTTTTATTGTATATATATATATATATATCTTTATACTGTATATATATATTATATATATATATATATATTCTGTATACAGTATATAGTTTTATCTAACTTTCTATAATTAAAAGCAATATACTACCAGTTGTTAGTCTTGATATTATAATAGGTTTAATTTGTTACCAGTCTTTACAAGTGCATTCTTATCGAGTCCTACTCCATCATCCTACGAAAGAAAGACAATGAATAAGCGCTGTCGGTTTACTCGAAAGATGAAACGTTCAGCAGAAATGTTTATGAAGTAAAGAAGAGAAGTAAAAACTGTTATTTTCTGTTTCTTTCACTTTTTCCTTGTTTTTTTTTCTTGCAGTAAAAGATTCCTTTACCCCCACGCAAAATCAACGTTATCTATTCCTATCAGATCTACACTTAACTCTACAGTTAATCTAACCCTTTCTGAAAGTACTTTGAATGTATATTTTTACTTATAATCAATTATAGAAGCTTAATTATTAATTAATGCAATCTTCCTCAATTGTTATACACTGTTACTAAATTGTTGGATGTTATGTTTAATGTCTTAAATATGCCTAGTATACTGTTTATACTATACATGTAGTTATTATATTGTATTTATAAGACATCAATGTATTTATAGGTTTATTTTCTTTTTACAAAATTATAGCCTCGTAACTGACGATATATATACGTCATCGTCCTCGACAAATACTGGTTGAGATTGTTTTATATTAGACAACAATCGTTAATAATTTCAAGTAGGTATACTAGGCACTCAACAACGTCATAGAGAATGATATTTTTGTCTTAACTGGGATTTTAAAAGTACTAACGTAATGTTTTATAATGGTAAATATAACGTAAAGGCGCGAGAGTCTAAACTTGGAACGTTGCCAAGTCCAGTCGTTGTAACCATCGACTACACTGACCGAGGGAAGAGGACGAGAATCGCTTGAAAGATAGGAGATTCTACCTAAAACATCACTTTCTATCTTATTATGTCCTGAATAAATCTCGTAGGCTCGTTCTGAATTCTGTTTTGTGATGTATGCTAGTTTAAACTTATGTGATGCCTGTTGGTCTAGGTAAAGTGTTAGGTCATCAACATATCAAGGAGTCTTGTATCGGTCCTTCCAACACTTTGTTTCTTGTGCAGGTTTTTATATAGTTTTGTGTGGCATCTCGTATTTAATAGTTGACGTTCCTCAGATATTATAGTTGGGTATTCGCCATCTTTAATTGGTATTTTAGATAGTTTTATGAAAAAACCGCCGTCATTGGTACACTCAGGTCGTCAATTACGAAATTTATTGGACAATAATTCATCTGGTTCTCTATAGAAGAAATCGAAAGGCGTATTGTTTCCCAGTTTGAAGCACGTTTCTCCTTCAAGCTTGATGTAGATAACCATTATTTTGATGTGACCTATGAGTCCCTCTATAACTCTCATCTTGTGAGGAGAGTACAGTAAACTGAATTTTCATGATAAATATTTTATATCGGTCATTGTTAATAATATCTGTCTAATGGTCAGCATAATTTTCTAAAGGTGCATAATCGGATACAATAGTTTTAGATCATCCCCACCTGTCTATGAACAGTTGGAATTCGAACATTAGAGAGTCTTATGATAAGGACAAGTAATTACTAAGAGATATACATTATCATCCTGTGTGGTCTTACATATAGGTCCAGTAAAATCTAGAGCACAGTCTTGGAAAGGGTGATAAACTCTCCTATTTGGGAATCTGATAGGTTAGCCAATTGTAAGGTCGTTTTCCTATTGTTATTTGCTGGGCATGTGGGGTGTACACATCCAGGTTACTTCGAGGGACGCGTGGTTATAACCCTCATAAATATGGTTTATGAGTTTTGATATTGTGGGATGGCGAGCATCTATAGTTATTTTCTTTTTCTCTTTCAGTTTATCAGACCTAGTGTTATTTAAATAGCATCTTCATCCTTTACTAGAGAGTGTAGTTTTATTAGTTTTTCTATGGACATGTAACCCTGAACAGTTTTAAATAGGTAGCGTAAAAATGACGTTTCGTCATTGGACTTTCGGAGTCCGATTGGGGGAGTTGAACTTGAATATCATCTCTATCAGATTGATAAGTAAGACCGAGGACCTTTATGGGGGCGTTAATAAGTTTAATTTGTATAGATGAATGATAACTAATCCATTATTTGAGATTGGTAAAGTTATCGCATCTAAACATCTGTAGAGGACCATGGTGAGTAGTACATCGTACAATAAGTAGGTGGAGTTCACAACTAGGTAGAGCTTTTTCTGTGTAGTTTGGATTAATACAATGAGCTGGTTGATTCCTAATGTCGGGTAAAAAATCTACGACGTATCCATACATGTCATAGTATTGGTCTAGGTGGAGAAAAATAATTTAAACTTTTTCAGTAATAATGGATTAAAAGGTATTATTTGTATATGAAATGTCAAAACGGTATTAATCATTAGGGTTTGGTTGATAAGATGTTCGTAGAAGAAATTGTCGGCTTATTAATGATATTGATGCTTTAGTGTCAACCAAAGCAGTAATATTATGGGTGGTAGAGGTATCTGTAGCTGGAACTTGTACTTTTGTTTCATAGATTGGCATCCTATCATCATCTATATCAGACTGTTGATGTTCATAGGAAAGGATAACTTTGGAATTAGTGAATCCTTGTGATGTAGAGATGAATGGTGGGATCTTTTTACTTTATTCTTGTACAAGAATGTTAAAATCAGAAGAGTAATTAAAAAGACCATGTCCGACTTCTTGTTGAATATATAGTGTGAGTTTAAGAACGAATTGATTGGGTTTATGGTACTGCGGATGGCCCTTATTTTCTTGTCGGTTTAGGGATATGAGAAGTGTATTGAAATTAATCCAATCGTAGATATTATTAAATATAATGTAAAGGCTCGCGAGTCTAAACTTGGCACATTTCCAAGTCTGTTCATTGTGACCATCAACTACATATGTATATAAATTTATATGTATATACGTAATAATTTACTATTATCATCCTTATGCAAAGTATTTAGCTTGTATAAAAATTTTACCTTTATAGCATAAAGTCTTCAAATAGAAAGCCCAACTTCTTTTAATATAGATTAGTAGATGTACATAGGCATAAATCGTTTTAACATTGCATATAATACTATCTATTCATTTATTAAACATTGACTACATTTATTATTAATTTCTTATTCGTCTATAATGAATAATTTGTTAATAAGAATATTATTAGGTCAGCAATAATACTATTATTATATAACTTTAATCAAGTTGTATTAAAATGATATATATCTACATTATCACCCTAAAGATGGAGCTGATTTATCTTAATAGGTTAGTGTTAATATAGAAAAAATGAAAGAATCAGCGAATAGTTTGGCAATAAAATTTATATATTTAAAGTTGTTATTAAATGTTTAAATTGTATTTCGTTTCCTTTTATTAGATTAGGTAAAAGAAAAGAGAAACTATTGTCTAGTTTATTTACCATAAGTATTGTTTAATTTAGAGATGAGAAGCTAATGTCTTGTTCTAACTGACCTTAAATATCTACGTATTGATTGGTTAATTTTTAGAAAGGGAAAAGATGAAAATGAGGGAAAGGGGCTTTTATTCTATTTACTGATTTCTAGATAATTCATTGACTTTTCTTCTTTTGTTTTAAGAAAGAAAACTACAAAGAAAACGCAAGAAATTAAACAAACATCAAGGTTAATATTAATACAACTGTTAAGAAAGTTTAATGTTTATGATAGAAAATGGTCAATCTTTTTTGCACAAAAGAAGGAATATCGACTTGGAAAAGGTAATGGTGTTATTTTACAGTTAAATCTGTATGTATTCAATATCTAAAGGGGTTATATTATTAATAGAGTTTAAGCGTTATGTAAAATAGAGATGTCTTACTTTGAATAACCAATCAGTACCCAACTCCCTATCTCTACTGTATAGACTAGATAGTTGTATAATGTATACATTGTATTACTTAGTACTATAGTTTGATAAATTTTTCATTCTCAATCTGCTAGGTTTAATAACACTAGAAACTCTAGATGGAGCCATAAGAATTAATAACATGCCACCTGGAGATGTAAACGGATATATTGTAAAATAGAGTAAGTTTTAAGTGTCTGTAGGGTCTCGAAATAATTCTACGATTTTAAAAAGAGATTTAATAGAATTATTAATGTAAGTCTTTAATAGTAATAAAAAATAATAAGAACGATCCCTATGGGTATTTGATTTTGCTCTATAATGCATCAGTCACGATAAAAAAATAGTCTAATGCCTGAACAAGATAACTAATTAAGTGAAGAATTTTAACGGATTACTATTTTTAGTCGAAGCGACAGAGATAAATTTTAGCCTTAAGGCATGCAAAGTATACAGTCTGATGCTGATAGTATATGAAGTAATATTGAAGTGAGCTGATGGTTTTAATAGATGAAAAAAGTACCACTTAAAACCTCTTAAGAAAGCATTTTAACAAACCAAATAATTATATCTTTCTTATCCCAATGGTCAATTAGATTGAAAGACAGTTTAACCCGTCAAAATATTGAAATACTATACTATAATTTTATACAAATATCGTTCATTTATTTTCTATACACTTAAATTTTTCATGCTTTTTTTATCCTTCACCTTAACCAATTTAAATAATCAAAATAGCTTTAATTAGACATTTTACATTTGATCTTTTCCGTCGAAATTAATTACTTTGTCTATTACAAGAGTTTTGTTTCCTTTAGTATCAGCGTTTATTTTAGGCCTATATGTATATTTGTCCTGTGTTTAATTAAACAATATCAATAAAATATGCGAAGCAAGTTGTAAAATTATGAACAAGACTATAAGACTAATTGTATATTTAATTTTGAGGTTATTCATTAACTTGAACAAAAAAATACAATTCCAATTTCCAGGTAAAAAGATGGCGCTAAAAATTAAAAAAAAAGCATTCTATATTGACAATTGTTATATGATCTATTTACCTTCGTTGATTGTTGCCACTGTTTTATTTACATCGACAAAGGTGTTAATCCTGTTTCTATAGCTTGCACATATAATCTGTTTTATAGGTATATTTTACGTAGTGTGTTGATGCTGGGAAGGGAGACGATCATATATAATAAGTTTCCTTGTTAAGGAAGAGAGGGAGGAGAGAGAGTAGGAGAGAAGGAAAAAAGAAAATCAAATATAGAAGAAGGGAGGAAGGAGAGAGAAAGAGCTTTTATCAGTTCAATATTCATAAATTGTATTGTATGTACATAGCATATTCACTAAATCATTATAAATTTTCTAAAAAATGACTAGCAGTGCTATCCACGGAACACTTTTCTTTTACAAACTATTAAAAAAAGATTCTATCAATGGAACAAATATTCAAAAGGAGAGAAAGAAGATATATCAAATGAATATTGAAATGTGAAATATACTATAGAAATATCCTTATTTTATTTTATTTAGGTGAAGAAAACAGAAAAATGATAAAAAACAAAAAAGGAGAAGAAGATTACGTGCTTAAAAATCTTAATAGTTGCTAAAATGAATGGTTGAACATTCAAGAAAATAATTTCTATTGAATAGAACTTAAATACACAAGTTTATAGTTACTGTTGATATCTCCATGCTTTTACTATTTAATATTCATTTTTAACGTTTCCAATAAATTATAATTAATAAAGAAAATCAAGTCAAAGAGGTAAATAATGTCTAGACGGGGGGAAAGAACAGCAACTAATAACAAAGAATAAGAAAACTAAAAGAAGTTAATTATAATTGCATGAACAAAATGAAATGGGAGAAAAATATCAGAATATCACAACGAATACTAAATATCATCTTTAAAATAAAGAAATTATTGATTATCTCTCCTCTTTTCCTCACTTCCTTTACCATAGCTCAGACTCTTATACTGACAGACCAATATGTCCCTCCTCTTTTTCTCTCTCTCTCTCTCTCTCTCTCAATTTCTCTGTCCTTCTCCCTCAACTTGTCTCTTTCATCATCCTAATTTTTATATTCTATCCGTTTTAAATCTTTATATTACCATTAATAAAAATATATAAAGAATATACAGTATACACTTTATGCATGTAATTTTATGATAATAGCCATTGAAAAGTGAGAAGAATACAAAAAATATGCACTTCAATTGCAGATAAACCCATAACTGACGAGAGTATAAAACTAACACATTGTTCTGAAAATATTGCTGTTCGTTTATTACTTTTAATTTATATTAGTACAATAATTTTAGTAAAATCCATTGTCTATCATATTCTAATGGGATTATTTAAATGGATTACTAGAAACTGGAAGATTTACTAGCATAAATGATATTGAAAAGCTAAGAAGATAAAATCTCAAAGACATTAAAATGTTAAAAATATTCAAGGAAATGAAATTAAAAAATTACTAAATAAGATTATATTCTATGTTATATATATATATATTATATAATCAGCTTTTTAATGTTTCTGACTCTAATGCGTTTCTCTCCCTCTCCTTTGCCATCCGATTTGTTGAGTGAATGTATGAGATTATAATCTTCAATTTGTTTGATATATCCTGTATACTAGCTTCAATATAGAATAAGAAAAATGAAAAAAGAATTATCTGTTCTTCATAAAGGATTTTTCCGACTCTTTCATCTTTTCGTATTATTACATAAGGAGAAAAATTGCGAAGAGTAAAATATTTCCGGCGATTCGTGCACAGTAAAGTCTGGAAAGTAAAGGAAAAGAAGAGAAAAAGAATGTAATACTTTTACGTTTATTGACCAATATCGAGTAATTATGCAAAGCGAACCTTGTATAAACATAAAATTTGTAGAAATTGGCAAACTTTTATATAATTTAATGATTTTTTTTTTATTAAAAAAAAAGAACTAAAAAGTAATATTTAAATTGGATGATACTAAGAAAAAGAAGAAGGCATGCCTAATATATATACAAATTTTCATAGCGCTATTGACAGGAATCCATCATTAGCTATTAAAGACAATTATTATATTTTGCATATATACAGTATATACATATATATCTATATATAATTATCACTATAAATAAGGTTTCTCTCTTTTAGTTTACGAGTATTATTACTAGAGGAAAATTATAGAATAATAAATAAAATGAATGGTAATATAAAAGAAAGAGAATGTTATGTAAGAAAAGGCGGATACTTTCTTTCAATTGTCAAGTCCAGAGCGCTTATTATTATTGATTTTATTATATTCTCATATAAAAATTATATATATATATATATACTGTATATATATGTATATATATATAAATTATAATGGGCAAGAGAGAAAAATATTATACATCACACTGAGCACAACAATGCTATTAGTATATATAATATAGATAAAAGACAAAACAGGTCAGAGTTGTTAATTTTATACGTATGCACATATACACACATATATATATAGATATATACAGTATATATATACATTTACATGTAAAGTTATGAATATATATTTAGTTGTAGACGCGTAACTGACTATCTAGGTGTATGTTACTTATGCTAAAATTATAAGCTTTATCTTTATATAAGCGTATGTATCTATGTAAATAAACTATACAGAAAGTATATCATGTATACAGAGTGTGCATAGTTTGATAGTGTTTAGACCTACCGGACTATCCGACTCTTAGCTCATCTTAGATGATTAGTATATATACTATATATATATATATTTAACCAAAGAATGATTATAACTGATAAACAAATCAATCTTTTTCACAGAAAAGAAAAGAAAAGGAATTTTGGATAATTTATCAGTCAAATATTCTATTAAAACGTGTGACAGGTACGTGACGAACCCTTCAGTGACCCGTATAATCTTTTATATATACTAGTAATTATATCAATTTATTTCTTATTGCAAACAGCATTTTTCACCAACTTCATTCATTGATGACGTAATTTTCTTAGTAATTTCTTCAGCGTTTGAATGCAGACTAGGAAGATAGTTGGATTTTTCAGCCACTTCTAAAAAATATTTTAATCGTCACCTTACATTTTAATCAATATACGCCTATAAAAAGATATAACAAACCAGGTTGCTGTTTTTCTTGAGCTTCTGCCTTTGGTTTTTTACTTAATCCGTACTATTTTGAAAAAAATAAGCTCTTAATAATATTTGTAATTGAGCTTTTCACAGGAAATATTTATAAATATACATCTTTCCATCTAAATATAGACTACGTTTTATACATTATTTTACGTTAACAATTTATAAAGGTATTTATCATATATTACAGACATTTTTCATTAACTAGGCAAGCATTATTTTGCTAATCTTTCTTATAAAAATACGGCTCTAGCTGCCCAGTTTTTGGTTTTTGCTTTCCTACAAACTTTCCTAAGGACACTTATATATGATCCTATATATTAATCTAGAATATTCATTTTCTCCGCTTCAATAAAGAACTTTTTTTTTTAATTCAGACTTAAGACAAACCTTATCTCGGATATGTTGCCTCATCTCTTCTCTTTCTTCTTCCATTTTTTTTCTTTTCTCCTTTCTTCGTTCTTCAGCTTCTCTCCTTGCTTCTTCAATCTCACTCTCATCAACTTGTTCTTTACTTTCATCGCCCATAGCCTCTGATGAAAATATAATTTACTCTTTGAATTAATTAACTATCATTTCAAAAGTTTGTTACCTTTGACTGATTTCATCTGATCGCCAACTACATGTTTCGCTAAGAATGCCGCCATTTTCTACAGAAGGAGAAGAAGAATAAAATGAAAAGGTAAAAGTTTAAAAAAAATTGTATAAATAGGAAGATAATTTGAGAAAGTAAACTCTTCAACAAACTCAACAAGTTAAGTTAAATATAAAAAAGAAAAGGATTTATTTTTCATTTGTTGTCACCTTTTAGAGTAAATTGATGTGGATACAGTCACGACACAGTCGCAAATGATGAAGGCATAAAAATCGATATTTGTTGCTGAGGAAACAGCTTTTCCTGATAAATTTTCTTATATAAGGATTCCTCTTTTAATACACTATACATTTTTTAGTAATTTCCTATCAGTCATAAATTCATCATAGGATATAAGAATTAAACAACTAGATAAATATTTATCTACCTTTATCTAATAATTTTGTACGATTTAGTAGAAAACCATATAGAAATCTCAACGTAGAAGAAAAGAGAAAGAGCTAAATAGAAGATAACGAATGATACACAGCTTATCTATTCTTCAGTTTTATTCAATATTCATTCAACCTATTTAAAAATTCAACCTAATATTTTTACAGGTTTTTCTCTCATTTTTCCACTTTAACTTCAATAAATAGTTTGATACGAAACACTAAAGCATTTTACATAGAATATAGTAAAAGATACTTTGTCACATTAACGTGCAAACAAGTAAATTGACAAAACGAAATGACAAGTTACATTAGACTATATACGAAAGTAGACATTTATGCTTGATTATTATGTGTAATGTATATAATAACTGAGTATACAAGTTTGTTTTTTTAGGTGAAATGCGCATATATTATATAGTTTTTTTATTCATACTGCTTCTTCTTAGTTTATATATAAATCTTTTTATGTATAAACGAGGCAAAATGTGTTTTATCTATCTTTCAGGGAACGCTGTAGTTCTCTAAGATTTTTTTTAAGTTTTCTATACTTAATCTCCTCTTTTAAACATGTTTAATATACATTTCTTATGTTACCTTTTTATAGTTTTTATATAGAAAAATCTAACAGTATCTATCTTTTAAACATGATCTTCATTGAATTGTGCTCTCTTTGAAAAGAATTTCTTTTAAAAGAAGTCTTAATTAGAAACTTAATTTAGATGCAAACTCGTACATATTGATAATTATCCGTTTTACTTTACAAACAGATTGGATAATCATTTTTTTAAAAATTCATATTTACAATAATTTTCCTACAGTTTACTATGTTTTCATAACAAGACGAGGATGGTGGATAAAGAGAGATAACAACAATGACAAATACAAGAAGAGAATTCTCTTTCTCTAATGAACTGACTATTGGATAAAATAGAGCAATGTAGTAGAATGCTCCTCGGGCCGTAAAATTTCTAATCTTACGATTATCTTTAAAGGCAAGTAGCGACATTGCTGTCGATTAAATAAGCGTCAAAAGAAAAAAAAAACGACCGACCGCAAGTCACGCCGTATCAAGACGAAAACTTTTAAACAGGATGACCCCCTTGGTGTTGCCATCTGCAGATTTAAATTAATGAATAATACTTAATAGACCAAAAAAGAAACAAATGCTTCCTCAACATACAATATCTACTCATTTATCTGACTTAATGTAAACTAACCTAATTATAATTTTATACATCCTGTCTATATAAATTGATATTATTGAGTAGTAATCCCGTACTTTTCCTATTTTTTATCTCTTAGCTATCAAACAGCTATGGAAGGTTTGAAACCAACGAAAATGAACGATAAAATAAGTATGCGGATAGGAAATGGAAGAAATTATTATATACTATTCTTTTATTAAGAGGAACTAATCACGATGTATAAAAGAAATGTCAACAAACTCAGCAAACAAGGACCAATCTGAACTTTAAAAGAGCAGCAACGACCGAAAATGTCGAGATATTTTCTTCCTTTCTTGTTAAATAACTGAATAAGGAGGAAAAGCAGAGTAAAAACATAAAGAGATAATCCACTAATGGACAAGAAGAAGAAGCAGAAGAAGAAGAAGAAAGTAGAAAAATAGAAAATTATGATGCAATAAGAGGCAAAAAAAAATAATTAAAAGAATTTAACAAACGAAATCAAAACTATTAAAATAAAAAGAAAAGACAAAGAATGAATAGAAAGAAGGGAAATAAAGTCTATAAAAAATAGCATAACGAACATGATCACGTATGTTAAATTAATTGGGAAAAACGTGCAGTGTTAACTATTTGAAAGTTTCTTTTTAATATCCTTTTATATACTTGATAGATTTACTATCAAACAAAATGAGATAGAGGGTAAAAAGTATAAAAGATCACAAGATTATTAAATAAAATTAGGTTTACTAAAAAACACATAAGTAAATAAAAGAGAACAAAGGGAGAGAGAGAGAGAGAGAGAAGAGGAGTGAAGGGGTGGATGAGACAGAAAGAAGCTCTTAATAATTCCTAGAATGATTGCGTGTAAGTATCTCATAATAGTTGGTAAACTTCCCTAACGTACTTAATTAATTAACTAAAAATACCTGACTAATTTCGTCTAGACATATAATTTTATTGTATTTTTAATAGTTAAACAAAAAATTTTACTCTTAAAAACACGACTACAAGTATCTTTATTTATAATACATATCAGAAATGTATAGTAACACTTTAAATAATAAAAAGCGACTCTTTATTTATAAATATGCTACTAAAACGGAAGATCTATGATTGTATTAATGAAGAAAAGTTACTTTCTCTAAATTTACCATTTGCCATTAGCCTTAAATGAAAATATATTATTTTTCAATACAATAGTAATATTATTTTATTTTTAGTATCTTAAACGTATGGCAAAGTGTTTAACATGTTAAAATATTGAATGAATATACTATATAATGTATTAGTATATTCCATTTTCGCTAATCAGTCATTATGAATACTCTTTTGCTCTTGTTTTTGTTAAATTTTACTCTTTAAAAGGGTTAAGCTTACTCTCATTTAAGAACATTTACTAGATGATAAACAATAGAGTATTTTATATGCATATGCTTATATACTAATATATATATATATATATATATATATATATATATATATATATTCATAGTAAAATATGTACAGAATGTAATCAGTTACCTTTCTTAGATACAATCAGAAAATTGTGGAACAGGCCTAAATACGAAAAATGTTGTGGAATAAACAAGGTTGGTAGGTCTTTTTGCTATTCAAAAAATGGCTTGAAAGTATAATCTTGCAAAGGTACAAGTATACACATGATATACTTTCTATGAATAAGCAATATAAATTTATATATACTGTATATATATATACGGTATATATTCCATATATAAGAATATAATTATCTTTTACAATCCAGGCCTCGTTTGTCAAAATGTTTCACTTATTAACAATTTTAACACATAGAATACTCTCTAAAAATTCTAACATGCAAAATAGAATTGTACAAAAGGTCATCATTACCACAGATACATGACACAATACTCAATTGTTATAAAATAGCTGATTATAGGATTAATGGCTACGTTATTTATAAGTCTGTATTATATTTTGTTCAAGCCATAAATTGAACCGATTTTGGGAAAAGTATAATTTAAATATTGTATATTTTATATTTAAGAAAGGTAATTTATCACCAGAAGAGAAATCTTCACATTTATCGGTTAGTTTTGCGTATAGAATACTTGCATTAGAATTATTCTTTTTACTGCAAAGACGCGATCTATTCTAACGACCCTCAAACATTCCTGATTGTACAAAGCTGATATAGGTTTCAGTAAACTGTTTAGTCATGTCCCAGAGAGAATTAATTAACTCTGTAAATCTGGTACTAAAAGAACAACTATTTATACTTTAGAATGTACAGTTTACACAGAATACTGTATAGTAATTATAACAAATTTGTTATACATGTTATATAATCCTCTCTTTTTCCGTTGAAATATCATTTGAAGTAAGTCGAGGCATCATTTGCTTTATCACATCCGATTCCAAATAGGTTATTTTATTATCAATTGCCTACTGTAGAATACTTAATTTTAATTTGTCTACATATTTGTCTGTATAAATATGCTTTATTCAATACTTTACCTTGTAATTTTAATGCAAATGTCAGGTAAAATCGTCTTACATAATAATTATGTACAACGATATATATTATGTTTACTTGTAGTCTATAATATAATTGTTTACCTATCCTAGAAGAAATGATAATTTTAAGAATAGGAAGGGAATTATGCATGATTACGTAAGAATTAAATACAAAAAGAATATTGTTTACGTCAAAATGTTAAGGTAACACTTTCTTTTTATGACATACTTCTATTCTTACTGAATAATTTATTAGTACAGTTCTATTATTACTATCGTTATCATTATTATTACTTTTAATACTGTTTCTAATACTGTATAAATATACTAAAATAATTATATTTTAATGAATAAGGTAGGAAAAACCTTGGTAATACTAATGATAAAGTCACGGTTGTTGATACAAATTACAACACGCAAATAAATACACCAGGTGTTGATGATAATAGATCTGGAATGGTAGCTCTTTTAGAAACTGTAGCAGTTTCTTTTTTAGTAAAACACTATGTAAAAATATTTGTAACATCATTCTAGTTGCCTTCAATTATAAAAAACTTGTCATTTTTCAATAGTTATCGTACCATTTTAAAGTCAATTTATATTATTCTATCATTACTAAGATAGTTTGGTTGATAGTTCAAACTTTATCTATAAATGGTCTTGTACAAGTACGTGAAATTATGAATATGTATAATTTAACACTGCAATTTCTCTTGTTCATGAGACGATTATTAATTCTGGCAATCCATCTAATTCAGCATAGTTTTATAGACAGTTTCAGTATAACAGCGTCCAAGAGACTCGAATAATTAAAATTCAAATAATAGAAAGTATATATTTTAGGGAATAGCTAAGGCTCTTTTGCAGATTGAAAAACCAGATAGAAAAGAGATCCTTTGAGATTTCAACTATACTAATAATTTATTTAATAAATATACTGTATTTCTTTTAAATGCGTTTAAGGTACATTATATAAATTTCCATTTTATTCCAGTTTCACTACTTTAACAATAGATGGCGTAATATTTTAAATAAGGAAGATTTATTAGCAATAAGAAAGTGACATCTATGTAAATGGCTTTAAAATGAAAATATTTTATTATCTTAAGAAAAATTAATGATTAATACTTTTTACAATTTATATTTTTTAAGAGGTCAATCTTTCTTTCTCTGTACATACATTCCCTATGTGACAAATGTATACAAAATTCTGTATTTAAACACACAGGCCTATACAATGTAACTAACCTTGCTTATACAACTTGTAAAAAAATTAAAAGTACGATTAGGTGGGAGAATCGGTGGGGTTCGCAGACTAAGGCCAGGAAAGTATCAATACAGATGACCTAGTTTCCCAATATATTCAAGCCCTTTCCTCAAATAAAGAATAAAAGAAAAAGTGTAAACAGTCAATCTTGTTTTCATCAAAATATGCTATGTTATTGAAAAGTTACGAGTTAAATTGATGTTAATGGTTATTGGAATATTTCATTAGTATTATTATACTTGCTATTGTAAGCAGAAGAACATGATAAAAGAGAAGAAAGTCGTGATTCCGACTCTCATAGAAAGCTACAAATACTCAAGTTCCAAAGCTATAGGTTTATAGATTAAAAATGCATTTATGCTGCAAATATCGCATTTGTCAAGATTTAGTTATGAGAAAAGATTCAGCTTTCACGGTTCTGTTAACTGGGTATGTTATTGATATGGTCAGAGGCAAGAAGAGGCATTCATAACTAGGCAATACAGAAATTTAAAAAAGAGCTTTCTTTAAAGGATGACTAAGTTAGTATTGATAAAGCTAAAAAAGTAAAAGCAACAGGCAAGGTAGATATTCTGTCTGAATTCAACTAAAATCATGTTAGACCTCATTTGTCATAATGATGGGTTTAGTAACAACTTTAAATACACAATAATCTATTATAATATAAGAAAATTTGTAGCCAAAAGGAAAAAATCTTATCATTTCTTGGCTGTTGGCACCATATGGGTCACTGGTATTAGGATCATTTTATTTCCCACAGAGAATAGAGACAAGAACTATGCTAACGATCATCAAACATTCTGATTGCACAAGGCCTCACAAAATGTTTCATTAAAATTATTTAGTCACGTCCTATATTTACTCAACTAGCTATTATCTAAAATTAGAAAGACAGTAGGGAAGAAAAAACTTGTACACGATATTATGTACAGAGTATACGCTGTTGCTTTATATTGTATACAGTCTATAATAAAAATACAATACTACGTAACGATTTTACATAGACATCAAGTGCAATATGCAAATAGTTCTTTAGAAATCAGATATTTTCAAGGTGACATTTTTACTACACAACTGACTAGGTGACTGACTGCACAACAGTCTGCGTCAATATGAGAGGTACAACTGTTATTCTCCTGCTTATTGAAATTACTTTCATAGCGTTTTTAACACAAATATCAGGTAAGTTTTTTGGTGATGGCCATAAGACAATGTTTTTTCTCGTTTTCTCCTCTCTCTCTGTTTCTCTCTCTCTCTCTCTCTCTTATAATCCTCTTTTAATCACATTTCTAACAAACAGAAGGTAAGAAATTCGATGCCGAAATAAAAGAAGAAAATTTAGACTACTATCTCAGGAATGTTTTTAATTTTACAAGAAGCTACGTATCTATCAGTAATAAGGAGATTGTACGAAGCTACATCCAAAATAAATTCGAGGATTTAAAATCAGAAAGAATATTGACTTTTACTCAAAACTTTACATATACATCTGGCGAAATTAAGGTGAATTTAATGAAACAATAATAAGTATATTTTCATTGAATAGAGTATTATATATATAATTTCTAGCTGTATTCTACATATTGTGCATTTAGGACACTGGTAAGAACTATGTTTTATTGATCAAAGGAGAAAACTATGGTAAAGCTAGTGATGAAGTTTTGGTTGTTGGTGCTCATTACGACTCACAAAAGAACACACCAGGTGTTGATGATAATGGATCTGGAATGGCAGCTCTTTTAGAAATGGCAACAGTTCTTAGTAAAACAGCGTGTAAGAATATTCATACCATTATTCTAGTTGCTTTCGATTATGAAGAATTTGTTAGTGTCTTAAAGATATTGTACCATTTATTTAATACGTACTCATGCTATTTATATCATCAATAACAGGGTCTCGTTGGTAGTGAGAATTTTGTAGATCAATGGCTTTTACCTGAAATTTTAAATAAGCATAATTCCACTCTACAAGTGGCTCTTATTCTTGAGACAATCATGAATTACAACGACACATCTAACTCGCAATCATTTCCCCCGAATTTTAATCAGATGGCGCCAGATACTTACGCTCATTTAACGAGGAATGACTTTAAAGGTGATTTTTTAACCTTAATAGGCAGGATAGATGATAAATCACTAGCTATGGAAATTATCGACGAGTACGATATAGACGGGATTATAAATTCTAATTGTTTGAATATAACAATTCCAATAAGCGGTAAGCCTTCTCTAGGACATCAGAACCTATTTGCAGATTTCTTTAGAAGTGACCATACGTCATTTTGGTTAAGAAACTTGAATGCATTATTCATAACTGATACAGGTTTACCCATTTATCTATAAATTAATTTTATTGTTACCATATTGTTTATTTATTAATCTAGCAAACTTTAGAGGAATAATGGAATTATGTTATCATAATACGTGCGATAATGTCAATACGATGATAAATTCAAATAATCTAAAATTTCTCTTAAAGAATACCCGAGCCCTAACAAATTTCGTTTATTCCAAAACTTATGCAAATAAGGAATGCGATGGGAAGGATGGATCGGTAAAAATTTTAACTCTACTATTAATTTATATAGTTTTTTAATTCATCTTCCTGCATATTTCAAATATTTATCTTGTTTTTAAACAGAGCAACAGCACAAGAAATTTACAATCTACATTTATCATCTTGTTATCGTATTTTCTATATCACATTGCTGTAGGAAAACAATAGAAAATACCTTAATGACTATTTTTCGTTTTTTGAAATATATGCAAAGTGTAGTTTACCATTTACAGTTCTTATCTTTTCTCCGTTTTTCTACTTGAACAATAGATGGCGTATTAGTAACATAGTGATTTATTTTTGTTAAAAAAGGTGGCGTCTCCAAAATAGAATTAGAAGAGAAAATTCTATAGTAAATTATAATCATACAATAATAATATATAGAAAGTATAGTCTGGTTAGGCAATTTGGTGTATGCTATGCATTTATTGAAATAGCAATTAGTTTTATTGATAAAAAAGAAAACGCTTTTTGCAGTATTTAAGTTATATACATTTAGCAGTTTTTGTTTATTGTTTGATACATTTATTTAATTAATTGCAATATATGTACATAGTTAGGGCTGTAGGATGATAGGCAACGAGAAAAAATATTATTATAATATCGATATATCTTAAAAATTGCTCTTTTGACTATCTATTTGTCGGGCATAGAGACATATTATGCATATGTATATATATACATATATATATATATACGCTCCCTCTCCCTCTCTTTCTCTCTCCTTCATTCCCTCTTTCTCTCTCTCTTTTTCATACACACAGACACACACTTTATCTGTTTTTTCTCTTTTCTTTTCTAAAATTTTTCTATTCTCAAGTTTTAGTTTTTGTTTATCTAGGAAAAAACAAGAGGAAATCCAGACACAAAACTTTAGATTTTGTATTTACGATTAAGATCCTGTAGACTACTTTTTGAAGCTAATAATCCGAACCAGAAAGAGATTGATTTGTCGAAAGAAAACAGTAATCGCAATAAAACTTCTTTTCCAACTTCCTCCTTAACTATTTTACATAGTAGAAGAATTTTTTCAAAGTATATAATAGTAAATAGAGAAAAGAGTACTTGATAGCCAAAGATTAACGTCTCCCTTATAGTAATCGTAATTACTGTAGTATTCTTTCACTTCAAACGAAAAGTGAAAATACATATTAACTATACTGTATTATATAGAGTCTTGTTGAACGAAAGAAGAGAGTATTACATACAGCGTGGAAGCGATTCTGCTTGTTATAAGAATTGTTGAATATTTCATCTTTGAATATCTACATCCAATAAGATTAACTTGTAGATAAGATTAATTGTCTTAGATGTTCTAATTGAATTGTAAAAGTTATATATTAAACGTAGTAAACATAGTAAATTGCAGACAAATCAATAGTACTCATTAACTCTAAATAGATTGCATATTTTATAATCGAAAAGTTGCTAATTGCAACTAATAGACTTGCCTTTTAATTCACTAATTAATTAATAGTTAATTCAGAGAAATAATTTAGTTGAGAAACTAATTTAAAAAAACTATCAATTTTAATATTCGTTACAGCGTCTAATTATTAATAAGAAATAAATTGACTTGTAAGACATTTGATCAATTAAATTAATTAGAATAAATTAAAAGAAAAGTTTTTATTGTTGAATAAATACATTTCTTGTTTTTTTTCTATTTTCTATTCGATTCCTTTCTAATTGTTACAGTAATTTTTTAACAAAAGTGATTGTATGAAATTTCATTGCCCTTAAGTAATCTAGTAGATTTATTTTCAGTTAATTTAAGTAAATATGCTAGAATCATTAAATATCTCATAATCTGATCTTTCCTGTCAGGAATACGCCTATAGGGAATATAGTCGGAAAAAAAACCAATTTCTCTACTCCACAAAGGAGGTTACCAAAACGTATTACTCAAAAAAGAAACCATTCTCTAGTTAATGTTATATAACGACGTAAATAATTCATACGCATCACATAAACAGTGATTAATAGGTATAGTTGATACAAAAGTACATCTTAACGAAAATGCAAAATAGACTGAAGCGATTAACATACAAATAAAATATAATAATAGAATAAGGAGCGTTCAAAAGATTGTTAAATGGTGTGAAGAATAGATATTAACTTATCTTTCAACAAAGGAATCATTAATATAATTCTAATTCCGATTTTAGTAGTTTGTACGTTAAAATAAGGGACAATTTGCCCCTTTATATAAAATATATACTATATATATATATATATATATTCATATAACTATATAAGTAAATATTTACATATATACATATTGTATATGCATATATACTGCTTATTGTATTCTAATGATTCTAGAGTAGAAATAAATGTCTATACATCTCTACCTGAACCTCTCTCTTATAAGTTATACTGTATAAGACAACATAATTATATATTAACTTATAAAATATAAATGAGGTTAAGCGACTTCCAAGAGTAATAGTTTTTCTAATATATTAAAGAAAATAATCGATCGGCAGGTGTCTCTGCCTACACTGTTTGGTGCTTTTTTTTTCAAATATATATTCAAACAAGACGCATCTGCTACCAAGCTAAACCGATTTTCGTTTACGAGAAAACTTGTTGGTTTGTATAAAAATATACTATATAATCTTTTATTAGTAAAATTTATGTTTTCGTTTTCATTCTCTTTCCAAGTCAATATTTGTCATAGAATAGAAACATCCGCAATGATGTTCCTCCGTTTTGTTAATCTTATTGAAAGGCTTTTATTTATTCGTTTACAAATGCAATTATTGAAAAACTGTAAAAGTTTCAATGAAATTTCTAAAATATAGGACATTTCGAAAGACAGAGACAATAAAAAATTTATTGCGAATAGATAATGAACAAGAGAGAAAGAAGAAGGAGAAGGAATGCAAAAGTTATTTACATGTAAAGATATAGGAAAAAAGGTGAAAATCTAAAGAAACTTTCTAATATATATCATTCTTATTAAGAAATTAAGAGGTAAAGTAGAAGAAATCTCTTTAAAAGAAGATAATTTTAAAAGCTTTTTACTACTAACAAACACTATTATTTTCATTTAAAAAAGTAGAGAGAAAAAAAAATCATTGATTTAATTAACAGACTTTCTTAGACGATCTGCGTGACAGGTTTTCGTCTATATCTCATTAACACTTTACTTGTTTCTTGCTGCTTTACTTAGTACAACTCTCTTTCTCAAATTCCCTTCTTTACTGGAAAATATATAAAAGAAACAATTGTTCTTTATTAAAAACTAATTAACATAGCGACCTTCTCAAAAAAAGAATGTCAAACTTATTACATAGTTAAATTATAGTGTTACAATGTAATAGTTTTCGCATTTAATTTCTCAATTTGACCTATGTATTATTCATCATTTGATTTCCTGCTAATATATGTATATATTCACCTAGATTAGGAACAATTATTTGGATAAGATTTGAACAAGCTACCAATTAATTTAAATACTGATAAGTAAGCTTTTCCCCCTCAGATATGTTTATTTTCTTCCAATCCTGTTTGTTTTCAACAGAGATAAATTGAGACTCCTAGAAAAAAAACCATTTAAATTCCTACTTTCTTTTTTCTTTTTATACTATCCCTTGTATCTTTCTCTCTGTCTGTCGATTTCTTTTTCAATCAATCCTTAGTTCGTTTTTCACAATCCTCTTCTTTAACACTAAAGTATTTCGCATACTTTTTTTTAAGCATGTGTACTGTTTTACCCTTCCCCCTTTTATACACTTATTTAATTATCTCTTAGTTGTTAATTCTTACAATAAGAAAAAACATTTTAAAAAAGTAAAATTCAAGAAAAACAAAAAATTGAATCTATGTTTGTCTATCAGTCAGAGTTTCTAAATAAAATCAACTATCATAATTTATAACTAAAGTATTAATTACGATTATGACAAATATCTCTTTTAACAATAAAATCACCAGTATAATTTGGAAAAAATAAGTATGAATTGTAATTTTCTATTCATATGAATTGAATGTACTTCATAAATAATAATATACTTTAGAATGTTTGATAGCATTGTACACAATACATTAACATATACAGTAGGTATAAGAGTAGAAAGGAGAGAATGAGAAAGAGAAGAGAAAGATAAAATACAGTGTATACTGTATATAGATTAAATGGAAAAATATGTTTGATTGTTAAAAAGAAGCAAAATTCAAAATTATTAATGAAATAATTAAGAAAAAAGCATTTCAGTTACGAAAAAAAATATGCTGTAACATCTGTTTCTTGAAAAGAGGAGATATCTTAAAGATTTGTAAATTAATCAATTTTCTTTCATCTTTAAAACACATTAAATAAGGATTTGTCCGTATTAGATTGTATTAGGCGGTTAAAGTAATAAAAAAAAACAGATTCAAAATTACAACTGGAATTCTGTAGATTCAGCTCTTCTGATTTACAGTCAGATCGCGTGGTAAGCTATTGAAAAGCCTTTTGTGTTTATAACTCTTTATGACTCTTCTGCATCGGTGATTAATGACAGTTTGATATTGAATTACTATGAACTTTGATCTTGACTGGATAGAAAAAACGAATCTATATACAAGGGGGGAACATCTTGTTTTTTTTTTTGAGTATCTGTGCAAGAGTGAAGTGATTATAATCGACAATTTCCGTTTCGATAGTTGTCTTCTTTGTCGAATATATATATATATAAATTTATATATACTGTATACTACATATAGACTAAACATAGTATATAGATTTATATATACTATATGTACTATATATGTATACAGGTATTTATGTATAGTTTCAAAAAGTGTGTTTTAACAAATCGTACAAATTTCATAGCATATGTCACCATATAAAAATATAAAATTCATATAACTGTGTAGTAAGTGACAAAATAAGTTATAACAATGGCCGAATTGTATCGATATATCATAAAAATTTGCTTATTTTTCAGTTTGAGTCTTATATATATATAGTATATACAGTATATATATATATATATATACTGTATAAATTTATACCATATATATAAACCTTTAATTTTGCCTTTATAACGTATATAAGCCTTTATTTCGAAAGAATTGAATTGAACAATAGACAAAGTGCCACAAGTTTGATTCAACTTTTAGCAGACAAGTGTACTTGACAATATTAAGAAAGAAATTACTTGTAATTAGTTAGCAAGAGCAAATGAAAGACACTGCAGTAAAAATTCCAATATGCTAATGACCTTTTTCTATCTTATAAGTTCGTTTCATCTTTAAATTTTAGAGAAATAAAATATTTTGAACTCATTTATTACCAACAAAGTATACAATATTATATTGTAATATATTATCTATACTATAATCTACTATATATAATAGCAATAGTTTAAACTCAATCAGCTAACCTTCTTTTCTAGAACGATTTTAAATCAATAAGGATTTATAGTATGCGTAATATATACTTACAATAAAGTCTGTAATAGTCTATATACTCTCTAACGGCTCTTTTGAATAGACCACCAATAAATGAGCGATAAATGTATGTATATATTCTGTATACTTTGAAATTGTGATTATATTACTACTATAATTGTTTTACATATAAGTTATGATAGAGATCGATATTTTAGTATATATAAATATGCTTTAAACGCTTCTCTTTTTCCATTAATCCCAAGATTTTCTGTCCTTTTAATAAATGCTTTTAAACTCCTTTAGAGTGTCATAAAAGAAAAGACGAATATTGAATTTGTAAAAAATTGACGGAATTACGTAATCAGCTCTTAGAAGAGTAAGTAGAATGAGGAGTACTAATCTGCTTCTTCAATTACTACTAATAGCAATGACTGCTGATAAAAGTAGAGGTTAGTAAAGTTTGATGAAAATATATTATATTAGGAAAAAGGCGTTTATTGAATTAAATCATAAAAAAGAAAATAATACAAATAAACAGGCAGAAAGTTGACGGACGAGGAAGAGCTGCATAAAATATTATTCGCCAGCTATAATCCATCTGGTATTCGAAAATCGTTTCAGTGAAAATTTTTGTAAAGGGAATTGTTGTATATTCGTAGCACGACCAGTAATCGACTCTTCGAAAACCGTTCAAGTAAATATCCAATTCTCTCTCATGCATATCAAGGATTTGGTTGGTTAAATTTTTCTTATCTATAAATATTTAATTTGTTTAAGACTTTATCTCTTTCTCTGATAGTTTTATATTTTCTCTCTCTTTTTTCTTTTAAATTACATTCTAGGACGTTCGTAGTCAAATCTTAACAACGACCGGTTTGCTAATTATGGTAAGTTTAAAAAAGAAGAATAACAAATCCATTCTTTCTTTCTTAATGAGAAAAGCTAAAAAAAGAACAATGAAAGAATAAGTATGGCATTGGTTTAAAAAGAGGCGGTTAGAGAGTAGGAGAGAGATCCCAGTAGAAAATAAAGCAAAGGAAAAAGAGAGAAAGAGAGACAAACATTATTGAATCGACATAAGAATAAAAATAGGTTCAGAATTTCTTAGGTTTCTTTAATCATAATCCCGTCCAGTTCAGCATTTCTCTTATTGTTCCATGATTGTTATCTCTTTTAAAATTTTTATGCTATTGAAATACGTCATTAGAAAACGCCTCCGCAAATAGTCAACTGATAATTTAACGCGTTCTCTCTCTGTCTGCCTCTCTCCCTTCCTTTTCCCCCTCTCTCACTCACTCACTCGCTCACTCACTCACTCTCTCTATCACCCACTCATACAAAATATCATATAGGACAAGGCGTTTAGTGGATAGAGTAGACATATTAAATAAAAAATATAAGAAAAATGTTTTTTTAATAAATATTTACATTACAAATAGAAATGAAACGCCTATCAAAGACGATATCTTATCCGATTTTCTACGTAAATATCTCTTGATATAATAAACATAAACATAAATTTTATTAGTATTTATGATTTGATTGCTTTCATTTTTTATTAAATCTATTTTTGAACAACATGTTTTATTATTTCTGGGCTATTTTCATTGCTATTTTCATGAAAGTATAATGAAGTTGTGGGATGGATTTTATATTTCTATAGAAAACATCCAAATATTTAAATATATAACCTATTCTCTCTCCTTTCCCTATCACCTCTCTAACTCTTCCAGATTTTTACTATCGCATCAATTTTTCTTACTAGCCTGTCTGTCTGTCTGTCAATCTGTCTTTCTTTCTTTCTTACTTTCTCTATTTTCAATCACTGCAATCAAAACAATCTGCAAAACTAACAAAAAGAAACAGTATATATTGTAATAGATTTATATAATTTATTTATGGTTTGTTACTATTAAATAAATGTAATGTTAAGGAATGGATAGATGAGAGATTAATTTGGGAGGCATCCGAGCATAACAACTTAACAGAATTAATAATTGAGGCAAGAAAGCTATGGAGACCCGAATTCGCAGTTATCAATGGGTAATTAAGATTTAACAATCAGAGATACTTGTAAAATCTTACCAATTAAAAACTTGTACAATTTATAATTAGAGCTGAGAGAATTTACGAAGATTACAACGCATTTCGTGCAGTTATTTCTCATAAAGGTTTCATTCATTGGGAACCGGGAGGAGTTTTTAAGACGATGTGCCAAATAGATATTACGTATTATCCTTTCGATGAACAAACTTGCGCTTTAAGTAAGTTTTGCCTTAGCGTTATTAACGATTAAAGAATAATAGTACTAAATAACATTCTCTTGCTATTTTAAACTCTATTTAACATCTCTTTATTGTCAATTTTCTCATCTCTTGTCCAATGAATATCTTTTCTATTGCGTAGCATTTGGAGCTTGGTCGTATCATACAGCAAAAATGAATTTGACAACGTCATATGACGTCATAAACATGGATAGCTATAAAACGAATGGAGAGTGGGAAGTAATTGGCAAAAGGGTAATTTACATTAAAAATTCAATAGACTTAAGGTTATACTGTTATATATTAATATAAAGCTAAGTAACATTCTTAGACTGTAGTGATTATTCTTTTCTTTATTAACTTGATAATACATGCTTTTCAATGAGTAAAACTTTTAATAGAGTCTATTCAAAACTATAATTATCTGTTTTAAATATATACTATAGTATTATTGTTATAAAGGTGAAAAGGAACGAATTTGCTTACGAATCGGCTCCTAATGAGAAGTTTTCCAACATCGAATTTATTATTGTTCTTAGGAGAAGACATACTTTCTATGTACTTAATGTTATTCTACCAAGTATTATGACCTCAGGTAATTAAATGTTAAATATTATATAATAATATATACAAGTATTTAAAATACTTTATATTAATATAACAGTGCTTTTACTCTCCGTGTTCTTTTGTACTCCGGGCCAAAAGGTTAAGTAATCCCTTTTTACAATCGAATTGATAATTATTAATAGAATAATTATTAAATATTATTTGTATTTTATCGTTATTAGACAGATTTTAAGTCTTTACCTTTTAAACTTCCATCATCAAAAGCTAATTTAAAGCTTAATCTATATTCTAAATTGTCAATAGAGAAAGTAAAATCTCATTAGAAGCTATATTTTATTCACGAATAACTAACTATTAAATGTTTGATTTAATCTATTCTGATTTGAATTATTTGAAAATTAACCCAGCAATCTAATACAATGAATATTTACTTTTCCTATATTTTTAACATTTTAGCTTTTTACCAATAGTCTATAAATGAAAATTTAAATAGCCAACTGGAGTATAAATCATTAAAATTCAATTGTATATTTGCATCCAAGTAGAAGGATATAAACATTAAAATGTATATTCATTTATACAAGTATTACTATTATTTCCCGAAGATGGCGGCACGCAGAAAGATAACTAGAGCAAAAGCTAGATTATTGAAAAACCTTGCGGGAAACCATATATAGTTTTATTTACATATACCGAAAGACGGAGATAGGCAGATGAATACTTTTCCTATATTTAATACAATTTCTATTCATTATGTATATTTTTCATTTGTTTAGGTACAAATTGGAGTTGTTGTTTTACTGTCCTTTAGAATTTTTCTACTAAATGTGGCCGGAAACATTCCAAAAACGTCGGATCACATACCTCTCTTAGGTAGTTTCTTTAAAAATTGAAAGGCATAGACTCACTATTAACTTGAATTTATTTTCTTATAGGCGTCTATTTAACGGCTACGATGGCAATAACTACATTGTCTATGATTCTAACTGTTTTCGTCTTAAATTTACATTATGTTACCGAGAAGCCGTTATCACCGTTTGTAAAGAGGTTGATGCTAGTATACGTAGCCAGAATGTTGGGAATGTGCTCAATAGAGAATAAACCATCAATAAATGGTAAATTTAGAAAGAGGAGAATGTCTGTTGACTTTGAAAGTAACAATTTAGTTACAAAGTCTCGTCAAGTAAGTTCAAAGGTTAGCGAAAGAATTGCTTTGCATTCAAAATCGTCAACAAGCTACGAAAAATACGAGGAAAATGATGATAAAGTTTCAGACTATTCCCAAGATTGGAAAAGACTAGCTCAAGTGTTTGATAGACTATTCTTTTACTTATTTCTTTTAGCTATTTTAATTAGCACACTAATTTTATTTCAACCATTGACCCGCCGTCCAAATTAGATGTTTTTATTAAAAAAAAAACAAAGAAGAGACAAAAGAAAAAGGAGAGTCTTATCTGTTTCTTTTTGTAAACATAAGATCTTATTAAATAATAAACGAAATATACTAATTAATAGTAATTTCTCCCTTTATTCTTATAATACAGTTTGTTATTTCTTTATCATTTTAGGTATTTAGAGGTTAACTAAGAGTTTATACACAGGTCAAAAATGTCACGAATGTTACCTATAAATATAAAAGGTGTACAAAATTTCCTAATTCGTAATATCTAATTCTTTAATAGATAGATATAATTTCTATTTTCTATTATTAATCCATTCTAAATTGGCGTTAATCGTGATGGACTATATTTATTTTTACCTAGAAACATTCCAAACATTCAATCTAAGAACAATGCTTAAATATACTTCACTATAAATATTCTATATATTTAGTTCTGAAGAACGACAAGTCTGTAATAATCAAAAATCTTCAAACGTATTGATGTATAAAGATAAAAGTGAGAAATTGTTTTGCAATGATTCAAATGTCCCTCATTCAACTTATAGGCTTATAGACAGTACTAATTTTTAAATAACGGTGGCCTATATCAAAGTGATAACAAATGTAGAACGACACGAATATACTTCTTCGTATAAAGAGTTCATTTACTCTTTTAACATCGCAATACGTAATTAGTATTTATTTAGCTTATTCCATTCAACTTTCATGATAATAATTCATTGTTAAAATGTTTGTCCAATAAACGTTGAATTTATTTAAGGCGGAAGTCGTAAACCAAAAAAACATCATTGTCAGCAATTAAAAACAAAGGAGAAAATGACTAAGCAAGGCAACGAATTAGAAAAAAAGGCACATCCTTACAAAAAATAGTCAAAAGTCAATGAAATAACGTTTTTGAAATAGAAAACTATAACATAAATTAAAATGTAAGCAGAAAATATTCAAAAAGAATAAAACAACAGTTCTATTATTTGTTGGGTTTCTTTCAATATTTGATTGCAGTTGTTTGCTAAAAAGAAATAAAAATGTCTGAAAGCACTTTTAGTAGAAAACCTTTGAACGACTTCGAGATAAAGAAACTATGTTTTTTAACTTTTGCTATCTCCTACACAAAAATTAATCATCTTCTAAACGGGAAAAACCTATTGTTTAAGATTCTAAACAACACGTATTATATCGAGTTTATATAGAATAATAGAGAAATGAAAGAATACATTAAATAGGTATATAGTTCATCATATTCATCTATTTTTTGAATATATTTTTAACCATTTACAAGGCTTATAAAAAATGTATTACCACAGAAAATATGAATCACAAAGCAACCGTCAAATTACGTCATAAAGACGGAAGTAAACTACTTTTTTCAAGTTTATTTGAAACAAACTACTTTTACAACTATATTCAATTAAATTCTTGTCAACGTAATGATTAATAACCTCTTATAAAATTTTTTTATATATCTGATGCATGAAAACTCGTAGAAAATATGCAAAGATAATATATTAGCATATTAAAGGTGTGGCGCTTATGATATCTTATCAAAACTTTACTAATTTCTATAGGCTAGCTGCGCTCTCATCTAAGTGTATAAAAAGGCAGCAGACTGCATTAGAACACATATCAACTCGAGGAACACTCATATCAACAATGGTCGCAATCAAACTTTTAATACTATGCTCAGCTGTTGCTGTAGCTTTAGGTAAAAGAATATCTTCTTTATGTTTTCTTTAACTTCTACTCTATTCTCTTTACTTGCATCTTTCATTCTTCTCTTTCTTTATAGCAAAAATTGACAATGGTAAAACGTGTCTTCGAATGAAAAGTTATTGTGTTGAGAACGCCGAATGCAAAGGGTAACTTTAGTATTTTTAACTATCATTTATACATATGTATACTAGTATACTAATATACTATATACATTCAAACAATGTTCTTTTACGGTTATTAGCAATATCTTTATTCTATTATATTTTTTTAGAACTGAAGATTCAAAATGGAACTGTTTATTAGGAACATGCGAATGTAAGAATGGTTACTTTCCAAAGTCACCTACAGAATGCGCTAAATATAGTATGTCATCATTGTTATAAAAAAAACACGTTCATTTTAATTAATAATATATCCTATAGAGGACTTTGGTGAAACATGTACCGGTAATGGAGATAGGTGTAATACTAAAAATTTGATTTGCGATACTACTTGTAAATGTAAAGACGATAAATTTGAAATAGACGGTACTGGATGTAAACTTAAAAAAAATGAAGAGAAAGAACTTAAAGATGCCTGCACAGAAGATTTGCAATGTGTTAAAGGTAATGAATTTGAAGTAAACTTAACGTTATATATTGAAAATTCACTTTGAAAATAATAGGTCTTGCAAAGGGTTCTGCTAGTTGCCAGGGAGGAACTTGTAAATGTCTTCCGCCTTGGACAACTGTTGGTAAAACGTGTGTAAATCAAGAATATGATAAATCCTGCAAAGATGCAGATACAGCAAGTGAAAAATGTAGACGAGGAACTGAAAATCTTGAATGTAAGAGCGATAAATGCGTCTGCAAAACCGATTTTAAATATAACGCACGAGTAAAGAAGTGCCTGCACAAAGATTGTAAGTTTGAATTATTGATATTAATATTATAAATTAGCAGATTGTATATTTGAATATTGATATATTTTGCTAATTTGAATAGCTAGAGAGAATAGGAAGGAAGGAGAAACTTGTTCACCTGCAATCATCGCAGACAACACAAAATGGGATATTTGTGAAAATAAATTTGTCTGCAGAAAATGTTCAAGTGACACCTCTGCTGATGGATTCTGTGTTGATGGTAAGTGTTGGAAGAATAATTATCAATTTATAACAAATGATTAATAATTGTATTATCATTTCTTTTTCTCAGTCAATAAAGTCAATCCGAATAATTGTAATGGATCAGCCAACATTTCTGCAAGCGTTGCACTACTATTGACAGCCGTTTTAGCTTTTTTGGCTTACTAATTAAGTAGTAAGAACAATGGTTATAGAATTATAAATGATTGTATTTTTTGTACAATTTCTATGTAAAAGAGAGAATTTTGTGTTAATATTTTCTACTGATGTTTAATGAATATGACAAATGCACTTTTGAAATAAAATTTAAGATTGAAGAAGAAGAGTGATATTTTTAAGAAAATAGTCAGAGTGCATTTTGATGATTTCATTAAACGATTGAAGTTTAATAATTTAATAAATTATTGTATGAATAAAAAAATAAACAAATGAAAAAGAAATATGAATCTATATTTAAACTTGATGAAACGAGAGAAATATGTTGTTTTTTAACAAAGATAAGACTTTTATTCGAAATTATCAAGATAATTAAAAACATTCTTTTCCTTTCACTGAATAGATATATATATATACTATTTAAAGAAATATCGCCTATTATTGGTACTTTTATTCTTTGGTTCTCTATCTCAATTCCTGATTGATTTTATTCCTAATTTATTGTTTATTCCGAAAAGTACGATCTATTTTAGTGTTCTTCATAGGTATTTCTCGTTTGTTTGTTTTTCTTTGTTTTATACTTAGACTTGTTGTTCAGGACGAGCTTGGTCAGGTACAAAGACTTTATCAGTAAGATAACAACTAATGGATAAGTTTGAACTTGGAATATATTACAATTTGCGTTGCATGAGAATAAGAAAATATATTTCTTTTTTTAAAGCTGTATTATTTGAAAATAGAATTATTCAATTATTACAGTTTTTTTCATAAATAACTAGGCAACAATACAACTCAGAAGCAAGGTCGACAAGAGCAAGACTTTGGCCATTTAATTTTTGCCCATTTAATTCTTATTTCCTTCAATTCTTCATCGTAGCATCTTATCATTAACTTTTTCGTTTCAATTTTTGTTGGAACGCAACAATTACAATAGCTAGAGAAGAACAAATAATGAAAGAGCATAAGAAATTACAATTTAGAATATGATAAAGAACACCAAGCAATTCCTTATATAGCTATTATATATTTCCTATTTTTATTATTCACCTGTCGTAGGTTTTGTTGGCCATGTTCAGTTCCGTATAGGATCGACATTTTCCACTACAGGCCGTTAAAAGTGTTTTTTTTATCTAGTTTTATAATAAAACAGCATGGAAAACAAAGAAAAAAACCGATTTTATTAGTCAGGTTATATTTTTGTTGTACTAAAATGTTTACTTATTGCCACCACCTGTTTGATACTATTAGAGTTCTTATTTTACCTGACATTTGGAGACTTTAATTGTATAGATAATCCTTTTTGGTCGGCAAGAGTTGGAGGATTGTCTTTGTCCATCGAGTAAACTCGCGTATAACAATATATAAAATGCATAAAATAGAATTTTCTTCTGAAAAAAAGTTGTTAAAAGAAATGAAAGAAAAGAAAGGAAAAGAAGAGAAGAATGAAACAGATAAACGAAGCTATTCAATTCTTTTCCTTTTAAATATAATATGACAGTAATACCAAAAATGTATATATATATATTTATATAATATATTTAATACTAACTGAGAACATTCTCTTCCTCTTTCGGTTATTAGGTAACTGAGATAGTGATGTAACAGGTAATATATTCGGTATTTTCGTTAAGCATTTAATAAGTAATAGTAGTTCATTAAGTATTTTGACATTTGTTAAGAAGATAAACAAAATGAAAAGTAAAAGTTAATTATATAGTATAACGGATCGAAAGGAGTAGGAAGCAGAAAAATCAAATGTCTCTTCTCTATATATGTAAATGGAGGGGAGGTTGGTAGAGGTTTACAAAATACGAGATATTTATAGAACAAGAAAGTAGTTCACTTTAAATCATTTCTATATTTTGATTAAACTATTACTCTATCTGGTACAGTGTTTTCTTTGTACAAAGTTTATCACTGCGTCAGCTAAATAGGTTGTTTACTAGCATAGTATCACAATCTTGGCATATTTATTCATAAATAAATAAATAAATAAATATATATATATATATAAAACTGAACATTTGGCAGAAATAATGACGAAGAATCAGCTTATAAAGTATATTAGTTCTTTCTCTCATGTTATTTTTGTAAGAAAAAAACATAAGATAATATCATAGTCTTGATGAAACTTTTGATGGCTATCAGATAATTGAAATCAGATTTTTTAGTTTAGTTTGAATTTTAACGAAGCTAAAACAAGACCGACTAGACAGATCATACCAATGACATTTAGATAAGATTATAAATTCCTACTTTCTGCAGAAATTTTATTCTGATTGTTGAGTAAACATTGATTAGATATATATTCGGGCAAGACAAAAGTTACTTGATATACAAAACGTCAATCAGTATTTATCTTTAAAAGAGTAAAACAATAAAAGCTTTAAAACGAATTTGTATTAGTATATAGATACTTGTTCACTTGTATATAATCTATATATATATATATATATATATATATTGTATAAACAAATTTCCCCTCTTAAGAAGAAATTTATCTTCTTTACTACTATTACGAAATTTTGATCTGAAAAATGAATATACTTGTCTTTTATTTATGCAGGTGAATCATTCTTCTTATATTTAATTAAGCCTTATCGTACACTGGTTAATTGTTTAGCAAGGGATAACAAAAGAAAAAAAAAAAGAGAATTTATCACCTTGATAAAAATACTTAATTAAGGCTTTTGGGCTACAAGTAGCTTATTGTAAACTGATCAATTATCTATATTTTCAAAAGGTACAAATATGAAACAAATATCCTCCTAGGAAACTGCGATAACGCTACATTTTTATCTTTCTTCTTCCGAATGAATATGTTCGGTTTTCTATAACAAAATCAATCCTATTTCATGAAGACTTTTAATAATACGCAAACATGGCACTATCTAATTTATAGGTTATTCCCATCTCTTATTTTATCTTCAAATTTTAGCTTCCGCTCTATGATAAAAAGTTGTAAAATAGAAACTAAAGATTCGTATATCAGTTTAGGGGGAATGAAAGTACTATTTTTATCTCAAGAAATTAAGAGATAGTAACAGGAAGAAATAAAAGCAGAATGAAATATGTCTTTTTCCAGCTGGAATCTAAAAAACTGTAAAATTTAGTCAATCACTTTCACGTTTACTCTTTATAGTGACATCTTGAGGATAATCTTAACATTTTAACTTTTAAACTTCTAGTGTTCAGCAGTTGTCTACTTGAGTCTTAGCTTAAGATTAACTAAAGCAGGTAAAGATAGTAGACCATTTGGTGAAGAAATATTTTATCGTATTTAATGTAATTGTTTTGGATAGAAAGTATCTCAAGGGTCAATTTCTTAACTTTCTATTTTTAGATAGTCAAAGTTCTACAGCATAAATATAAATTGATGAGAAAAGTTAAATATACCAAAATGAAATTTGTAGGCATACATTAAATGATAAGCTGTACATTCTCTTCAAATAGTTTTCAAGAGAACAAACATCCTACAATCAAAATGGCTGATTTATAAAATTGAACAGACTTTTTTGGATAATTTCTATAATTTATCTTTCCCATTTTCTCATTGATATACATTAATTCATTTATTATCTTTTACTTCCTGAGATAATGACTTTTCTAGATTTAACAAACTTATTTGCTAGTATTCCATTTTTTTTATCTAGCTAGATATATTGCCACAGGTTTATTGTAGATAAGATTTAGCTACATTTTACACCTGAAACGTTTTTATTTATTCAAAGAATAGTAAAAATGTATATCATATAGAAATGAAGTGAATTCTATTTAAATAATATCTCTTTATTAAAAATGATATATAGTTGTTGTCACAAGAGTGACATCTATATTATTTTATGAAATTACTATAATTTCATAAAAGAAATTAAATGATTTTGAAAGACAACACTTACTTAATTATGTAAATTATATTTTCTCTATTTTCTCTAGTATTAAACAATACAGTATACTAGATATACTAGAATATTATTTCTATTATAAATATAGAAGAAACTTCAAAGTAATTATCAATTCAGCGTTATGTTAAATTTTCTATTGTTGATCATTTATTAGTTAAAAGTCGTTGAGAAATAAATGGACAGGTAGACTACTTTCACTGATCAATATCAAATAGAATACATGGAAATTGAAGTTATTATTGTTTTAAGATCCTTTTCATAAAGAAACAAGAGAAACAATGACTGAGGTTGATTGTATCAATTAGTAAATTATTTACTCCATCTACATTCTTTATTAATAATCATATCTTGTCAGGAGTGCAGTATAGAAAAATCTTATATCAAACTGTTTGCACTATCAATATCGTCAAACATAGTTTTATATTATCTTTTTACTTCCCTGGGCTTGTTAAAGTTTTAATTAGATTAACTGAGGGATCCGAACGTTCTTCAAGTATAGCCATTTTTTTTTATTCATCTAATGACAAACTTTTCTGAGTTACAGTTGCTATATCTGGGTATTCCATTGCGACTATTTGTCTCCCTGCCACCTCTATTTTGTACCTTGGTGCGGTATACAGTAATCCGCATAAATTTTGGAACACCCTAAATTTTGATAGGCCAAATTTAAAATAACGGTCAAAAATGTTTTTTCCCACGAAAATAGTTGTTTTTGTCTAAATTTATATAGATAAAGAGTAATATTTACGTAATATTGAAAAAAAATTGAGAAAATGATGATATTTGGGAATATTATTAGTAAAATATTTTTCATAATTAAGAGCAACAGCAAGGGTTTTGTGGATGGCACCATCATCAATTAGCAATATTCTATGATACAATCCACCAGAACAGGAGAATAGGGATCGTCCAAAGAGACTTACAGAGAGAGACATAGGCAGGATGAAAGAATAATAAAGAAATTGAAAATAAATAAGGAAAGGTGATAGCAGGAAAAATTTTTACAGGAATTAAAAGTAGATGTAAGCATAGCAACTATTCAGATGGAGCTGAAAAGACAAAATTTCAAATATGAATGAGTGAGACAAAGACGTGACCTCACATCCAACAATTGCGAAAAAAGAAAAACATATTGCCTTAAAATGATCAGTGATAATCTAGACTGGTCTAAAGTAATTTTCACCAACGAGGCTAGATTCTCACTGAGTGGCCCTGATGACTTCAGAACATGGACAAATCATAGTGAAAAAAACTTCAGGGTGACGAAAAATATGGGCAGAGGTAGAGTAATGGTTTGGGGACTCATAGCATCTGATGGAATATTTGAGATATGGAGCATAGAGAAAAAACTGAATGCTGACAACTATAGCAGTTTTATTGTTGAAGATATTCTGCCTGTAATAAAAGATATATCAGCTAAAATGGGGAGGCAGTACATCTTCCAGCAAGACAATGATAAATCCTGCAAAGATTCAGATACACCAAGTGAAAAATGTAGACGAGGACTTGAAAATCTTGAATGTAAGAATGATAAATGTGCCTGCAAAGCAAACTACTTTTACAACTATATTCAATAAAATTCTTGTCAACGCAATGATTAATAATCTCGTATAAAATTTTTTTATATATCTGAAGCATGAAAACTCATGGAAAATATGCAAAGATAATACAGTACCGATAGCCTAAATTTGAACACCATTCTTTTTATGAAAATTAATTTTTTTCAACTTTGGCCTAAGCAAGTTGTTTTTTAGAGAAATTAAAATGAAGACAGAATTATCTATCTTTACTTGAGAATTATAAAAGCTGTATTTAATACAAACTAGATAAGAAAAATATGTCTTTTCATCAACGAGGTGTTTAAATCGATTTTTCTATATTTTTTAAAATAAGAATAATGAAGTTGCAAAAGGTAAAAATGAAAATCATTTTGCAACAGTGTTAGATAATTTGTGAAAATTATTCTTGAACATTTATCACTTACAACTTTTAATTAATTAACCAATTTAGTCAATTTTTGCATAAATCAATAATTTTCTTATTTCTATTGTGATAAACAAAGATTTTATAAATTTCGCTTAAAGATAGATAAGCTGTCCTTATTTTAACTTCTCTTTAAAACATTTTGTTTAGGCCAAAAAAAAGAAAAATTCATTTTTGTAAAAAAAAAAAGAAAAAAGTATCTAAAAATAGGGTATCTGTACTGTATATTAGCATATTAAAGGTGTGGCGCTTATGATATCTTATCAAAACTTTACTAATTTCTATAGGCTAGCTGCGCTCTCATCTAAGTGTATAAAAAGGCAGCAGACTGCATTAGAACACATATCAACTCGAGGAACACTCATATCAACAATGGTCGCAATCAAACTTTTAATACTATGCTCAGCTGTTGCTGTAGCTTTAGGTAAAAGAATATCTTCTTTATGTTTTCTTTAACTTCTACTCTATTCTCTTTACTTGAATCTTTCATTCTTCTCTTTCTTTATAGCAAAAATTGACAATGGTAAAACGTGTCTTCGAATGAAAAGTGATTGTGTTGATAACGCCGAATGCAAAGGGTAACTTTAGTATTTTTAACTATCATTTATACATATGTATACTAGTATACTAATATACTATATACATTCAAACAATGTTCTTTTACGGTTATTAGCAATATCTTTATTCTATTATATTTTTTTAGAACTGAAGATTCAAAATGGAACTGTTTATTAGGAATATGCGGATGTAAGAATGGTTACTTTTCAAAGTCAGCTACAGAATGCGCTAAATATAGTACGTCATCATTGTTATAAAAAAAAACACGTTCATTTTAATTAATACAGTGTCTTTTAGGGGACTTGGATCAAGATTGTTCTAATACTGCTGGTGACGGAAAACTATGCGATCCAGGCAGAAATATGATGTGCTATGCTGCTATTTGTAAATGTAGAAACGATAAATTTGAAAGAGACGGTACTGGATGTAAACTTAAAATTTCTGAAGAGAAAACACTTAAACAGACCTGCACTGAAGATTTGCAATGTGTTAAAGGTAATGAAATTGAAGTAAACTTAACGTTATATATTGAAAATTCACTTTGAAAATAATAGGTCTTGCAATGGGTTCTGCTAGTTGCCAGGGAGGAACTTGTAAATGTCTTCCGCCTTGGACAACTGTTGGTAAAACGTGTGTAAATCAAGAATATGATAAATCCTGCAAAGATGCAGATACAGCAAGTGAAAAATGTAGACGAGGAACTGAAAATCTTGAATGTAAGAACGATAAATGCGTCTGCAAAATCGATTTTAATTATAACACACGAGTAAAGAAGTGCCTGCACAAAGATTGTAAGTTTGAATTATTGATATTAATATTATAAATTAGCAGATTGTATATTTGAATATTGATATATTTTGCTAATTTGAATAGCTAGAGTGAATAGGAAGGAAGGAGAAACTTGTTCACCTATAATCATCGCAGACAACACAAAAAAAGATATTTGTGAAAGTAAATTTGTCTGCAGAAAATGTTCAAGTGACACCTCTGCTGATGGATTCTGTGTTGATGGTAAGTGTTGGAAGAATAATTATCAATTTATAACAAATGATTAATAATTGTATTATCATTTCTTTTTTTCAGTTAACAAAATCAATTGTAATGGATAAACCATCATTTCTGCAAGCGTTGCACTACTATTGACAGTCGTTTTAGCTTTTTTGGCTTACTAATTAAGTAGTGCGAACGATATAAATGAAATGTTGATGCTTATAGTTTATCAGTGAAATTTTATAAAAGTCATAAACAGTGTTAATTATAAGATTAAAGAAGGCATAAAAAGATTTACGAAATTGTAAGTTGTTTGTTAATTATTACACGTTAAAGTTGGAAAAGAAACAAAAGATACGATTCTTTTTCTTCCTACACAGGATTACTATCTGTATCATATTTTTGACGTTTTTTATTTTATTAAACAAGCTTTATCTGAATTTTGTCTTTGTTAGTATTCACAATTCAACAAAATTACTTTATCTTCAGATAAGGAGGGTTATAGAATAGACAAATAACATCTTTGAACGCTCTAATTGAAAATATATTCGTATGAGTCATAAAAAATGTTCTTTATTCGTGAAAAACATCAGAGGAATATAATATAAGAAAAGAAAAACAATCAACATTTACCTATCTAATTTGCGTTAAAACAGGAATTCGTGTTCAGAAATGAGTTTAACGACAATAAAATTATCTTTAATTAGTTGTAAAGTTAGCTTAGGAAATTACAAAGCGAATTTATGAATATATACTTAATTAAATATTTATAAGAAATAAACTTTTAAATAGATTAATAATTTAATTGTTTATTCAGCAAAACATTCTTCTAATAACCATAAAAATAATAGTTAGAACTATAAATTCATTAATCACACTGTTTTTTAGGCCTGAGTTTTTCGGAGGTTTTGTGTCATCTTCTAATAAAATAGAATTATTTTCTTGTATATTACAAGTACAGTTGGATTGAAATTGAATAAAATCTAACCGTTTACGCAACGATCTTTTAGTTTTGCGTCATCAGAACAACCATAACAAAAGAATTCCGTCTTACATAATTGAACAGGGTCTGCTTTACCTTTTGGTACAGGTGTACAAGTTTCCAAATAATCTCTATCAATAACGGCTGTTGAATGATTTTTTTAAAATAAATAAAACACTATTAATTGAATATGAAACTCTATAAAACCCACAGCCTTCCTTTAAACACATATTTCTCTTCCATGTAAAAGTTGATTTACACTTGCATACTTTGTCCTTACACTCCATATTTTTATCTTCAGTTCCTCTACACTTCTCCGACGATTTGCCATCCTGACAAGACTCCCCATAGTTTTGTTTAACGCATTTATCACCAACAGTTGTTGCGTCAAAATAACATTTACATTTGTTGTCTTGACAGAAAGCGTTACTTAACCTATCTAAAGTATAGAACTGATAAATCCATTGATTAGTTTTAAAGACTTTATACTTACCTTTACTACATTCATCGCTATTCTCACAAGTTTCGCCAAGTCCTTTTCTAGCCGAATTCTTTAAAATACATCCTTTCGGATTTTCTCCATCAGGTTCGTAATTTTCTTTACAAATGCACTTTTCATTCTCACATTGCAGTTTAATAGCTTCATAGCACATTTTTTTAGCATTATCTTTTTCGCAGTCTTCTCCTAAAGTTTCTATTTAATTGAAATAAGTTTATTGAAATGAATTAAATACTGTACATTCAAAATTATTCATACAAACTTAATTTATGACATTGATTTCCATCAATCGAAAAATCGAATTTACAAAGACAAGTTCCATATCTACATATCGAAATAGCATTACCAGTTCTGTGAATATTATTTGAATAAAATAACATTATTATAAGACAATCTTATATTCAAATTCTAACTGCACACAAGTTGAATTTGGTACTTTACAATCATTTTGTTTTACTTCACATCTATCATTTAAATTTTCATTTCCTGAAAAAGATAACCCATTCGTTAAAAGTTTTAGTAAGATATAAATAATTTAATTCCTTTTACCGTAAGCGTAAAATGACATGATAAATAGACAAATAACTTTTAGAAGAAACATAGTCAAAATGAAAATTTTCAATATCTGTAAAAGATATAAAGATATATAAGCTTTATATATTGCTATATTAATTTATAGAAAAATGAATAATCCTGTTGTAAAAGAAGGCTATTTTTAAAAAGTGCTAATACAAACTATAAATGTTAATTTTTCAAGTATGCAATATATTTGGGGTCATCTAGTTCACTGTAACAATCTTATACTATATCTCTTTATTCCCTTTAAGAAGAATAATAAAACTACCTTCGTTCTCTATAGCTCTCAGTTAAATCAAAATGATCGACTTAAAGACTAATGAATATAAAATATTCTATCAAACATTAGAATGAATTTGAATAATTAAACTAATGCGCAATAACAAAACGGTAACTCACCTATACTCGACGTGCTACAGTAATGATTTATAATACACTTCTTATCTGATAACCAACAGATGATAACAACCAGTAATACGTGAAATAATCATAATTTTGCGAAAATAGCAAAAACTTGAGCTATATTTATACCTTTTAAAAATAGATATAATAAAAATTAAACAAGAATTATACTATTTAACTCTATTTATATGTAATTTCGACCCAAAAAAACCACTTTTTAAAGGTTTATTGGCAATAAAAATATATTTCTTGATAACGAAAGTATATATATATATATACAGTATATACAATATGTTGCAAATTTATCTGAATTTTATTCATTCACGTTAGGAAGACGACTTGTACTCAAAAGGGTTAGAAAAGATACTCGTACTATTAATATAAGGAAACATTTGTTCTAGTTACTAAAAAATAAAGAAATTAATAATTAGCATCTTTAAAAGTTTAACTAAATTATCTTGAAAAATGATCAAATTAATTATATTATTTTTGATATACTACTCTCCTTATCTGAATGCATGTAAGATATTATTTAATATAGTTATATAGAAATACAATATAAATGGTTATTAATTCAAAATTATAGCTTCTCAATTCAAGATCTATGGAGATTTATGCGAATCTGATAGGAATTGTACAAAAGAATCATCAGTGTGTCTCAAGTATTTACATAATATTCCTTTGTTAAAATTTTAGTTAACTTATACTATTTATTATTAAATGTTTTAGGCTTGCACAGGATGAGGCGAGACAATGCAAGATAGGATATTGCGCCTGTGCTAATGGTTATTATATGTCGGAGGAAGAATGCAAGAAACAGAGTGGGTACCTTCTATTTTCTAAATACGTTTTATCTTATTTCGTTAAAATATATTTAGAAAGTTATAACGAAAATTGCGACAAAGATATAGCTTGTGCCAGAAACTTAGTGTGTGTGAATAATAAATGTGCATGTAGAGATTTATTCGAAAGAGATCCTTCAAACCCTTCTTCTTGTGTTTTGAAAGAGAATGAAAAAAAAGCACTTGGGGAATCATGTCTTGCTAGCGTACAGTGCGTTAAAAGTAAAGTATTCTATTTATATAAAAATCTTAATTATCATTAAACATCTTATTTAAAAACTAGATGGATTAAAGCATGCCGCATGTTTCATCTTTCAATGCAAGTGTGCTGTATCTTATACAACAGTTGGTGACAAGTGTATTGAACAAAAATACGATGATAACTGTAAAGATGGTACTATATCCGAGAAATGTAAAGGACTTGGAGACACCAATATGATGTGCACAGCTAATGATATTTGCAAATGTAAAGATGGTTATGAACGTAAAAGAAATGGTTGTTTTAAAATCGGCTGTAAGTTGATAGTAAAAATAGATGATTGTACAACATTATCCATATTTTCTACTGTTCTATTCATATTTTGAATGATTCATTTAAGGTAGTGCCATCTCTTGTCTCTCGTGAAGTTTAGAGTGGTAACGATAAAACAGTGTTTCCAGTTTCCTGAGTAGGAAAACAGATTAAGTCTGTTTGGAGGTGATGAAAGATATGAAGAAATTTGCTATGGCAAAAATGCTACAATCTTAGTCCAGATGTATTAATTAAAAATCCTAAAAAATTCTATTATAAAAGGCGTTTGAACAAACAGACGTTTATATGGTCGCTCTCTTCAGTTAAAAAACCTAATAGAAGTAACAAAGAAATGTCATAATTTTAAAAATTGTAGTTTTTAAACAGAGAGAGAAAGAGAGAGAGAGAGAGAGAGAGAGAGACACACACACACACACACACAGAGAAGAAAAACAATGCTATAAACCAACAATCATGTGTATTTTTCCCATGTTTATAAAAACAGAATTCAAGTATGTCACAACAGACTAAGCATACTATTATTTACCGGTTTCTAGTACTAAAATATAAGAGATTTTTACCTAGAAGTCATTATTTTCTATTAATTAAATTACTTAACAATTCTCTTTTTTCCCTACTTTGCCAAGTAATTATATTATTTATGAAATAATTTTAATATACGTATTTTATTATTACTTATCAGGTAATAATTAAATAACTAGTTCTCTTTTTATGTCATTTTCCAGCCATTTATGATAGAGATGTTGGTGAAAGTTGTTCTATACACGACATAGGAAATATTAATCGTGTAGCAATGTGCAAAGAGGATTCAGTTTGCCAGGTTTGCTCACACAAACCTACTAGTCTTCCAAAATGTGTTAGAAGTAAGTTAATCGAAAGAGCAAAGTGTATGAAACTAAAAATTTTTCTTTTTTAAATCCACTGTAGAAAATGAATCAGAAAATTCAAGTGAATTAGTACTACCAAACATTGGAACAATTCTATTTTCTGGATTATTTTATCTGTTTAGACTATGATTTATCAATTCTGTTTCTTTTCATCAATTATTCTAATAAAGAGAAAGTTTCTTTTATTTCATTACATTTAAAATTTAAAGTAGTTTAATTATAAAAATAATCAATAGAGCAAATAGTCAACGGTGTATGTAGTGACTTATTTAGCTTGTTGTTTATAGGAAAACAGTGAGGTGAATGACCATTAGATTATCATCTATTTGCATAATTTCCAAATAGATTTCATCACTGTCCTTTTTATAAGGGAAAATCGTATAATCATTAAAGACATGTATAAAGACAATAAATCTCTCTTTCTATTAGACTATTGATTAGTTCTGATCAAAATTTAAGTTTTAGTTTCCCCTTAATGGAGCGTTAATATTTTTTATTCACTGTTCTGATAAGAAGCTATATTTACTGTCAAAAATGGACTAATGTTAATGTTACAATCAATTTAGTACTTGACATTATCACTATTCACTAATGAATATCATTTTTTTCATATATATACTGTGTATATCATAAAGGATAGTAAACTTTAAATGGAAATCTACTAGCAAAACTAAGGCAACGAGATTTGGAAAAGAACGTAATAAAACTTACTTTTATTGATATAAATATTTAACAAGTAACATCTTACGCTTTTCAGATTAATATTTAATTGACTATTTAGAGAATGATGGTTTATTTCTCTATATATATCTTTTTGAGTACAGTGTCAATTGTTATAGGTTAGCTTGAAGGGGAAAATGTATATTTTCTTGTAATTCGTAGACTATTTAAATATTTTATTATTTTTTAAGCAAAAAGTCATCTTGGAGAAGTTTGCAATCTGCAGATTGGTTGTGCTGATGGTAGTGGATCTTGTAACCAGTAAATAAGGAGTTAATTCTAGTTTAAAATTATTACTAATAGCTTAAAATGAATTATAATAATTTGTTTATGAATAGATATGGTTCGGATTACACTAACAAGTGTAAATACGGTGTATGTACATGCGGCAGCTTTAGTAATCAGGTTGATGATAAATGCTACTCAACTAGTATATACTTATATAAAATTACATCTACAGTATACCTATTATATCTTTGTCATATTTAGAGACTTTTAATCAGAGTTGCGAGTTGGATAATCCTAAAAATGAATGTAGGAAAGAATATCATCTATTCTGTAATGATAGTATATGTATTTGCGATAAGGGATACGAACAAAATATGATAAATATGAGAAAATGTTATATAAAATCAAGTCAAGCGAAACGTTTAGGTGAAAAATGTAAGCATGCGGATGAATGTGTTAAAGGTAAAGAAGTAATTTAAGGTATTTGCCTATAGGAATTTATCAACTAAGAATGTTTTACAGGCAGACTACGAAATGCAACCTGTAAAGACGGAAGATGCGTTTGTAAAGCGCAATACACAACACACGGCTTTAGATGTATAAAACAAGAACACGGCCAATCTTGTAAACATGGTAGAGAGGGAGAAAAATGTAGAGGAACACTCGATAAAAATTTATTATGTACGAATAATATTTGTTTATGCAAAATGGATTATATATGGATACTAGGATTATGTTTAAAAAAAGACTGTTAGTACATAAAGTTTTAATCAATTTCATTCACTTTTCTTTAATTGTTATATAAAAAAATCCTTTTTCCACTAGCTGTCTTTAACAGAACGTTTAGTCAAAGTTGTACAGCAAAACCGAAAGGCAGAAGCAAACCTGTTCAAATATGTAAATCTGGGTTACTTTGTCAAAAGTGTAACTATTCCCCCCTAAGACCCCGCTGTGTAAGAAGTAAGTTATTATTCTATAAAACACGATAGATGAACTATAGATAATCTCTATACAACAATTTTTATAGCCGATGAATCAATCTCGTCCTATTCAGAAAATTTGAAAGCAGCAGCAAGCGATACTTTAAATATTTTTCAAATTGGAATGATTTATTATTTCATATTTATTTAAATACCTTTAAAGTCTTTAATAGTTTGTAACAGTTGATTATTACACAATTACATACTGTATATATATACTGTATATATTTATATACGGTATATTAGTATATATGTTGTTTATACTGTTTTTTTTAATGTGTATATGATGTAATTAGTGCAAAATACATTACTCTAATAAGATCATATTACTTAAGAAAGTCTATCCTGATGTTCTTGATTATTAGTAGCTTGATAATAATGCCTAATTAAAATAATATCAAGAAAAAGACCTTGTCCTATAACCCAGCTTCTTCCACAGCAAACATATTTAAGGAGAAAATCTACACCGTAAGCTTTAATAGTGGTACGTTTTTTATTTGTTATATAGATGTATATTTACAGTTTTACAGTTTTATAGAAAAACAACACCATTCACTCGTTATTGTTAATATATAAAATAATTTGTATAAACTTAATTATCATTCACTTAAAGGAATAATAGAAAAAGAGAGAGAAATATAATAAACTCTTCAGTGTAAGAGAAGTTATATTCTTCCCTATTTTACAGCATCTCAAAAATATTTATTACTATAACATTTCATGAAAGATTAAAGCAGGAAACAATGTATTTTCTATTAAATAGCTAACTAACTAAATTAAAGGTGTACCATAATTTTTTTTAAAAAAAACACCAATTAGAATGTTTAATATTTACGGTAAAAGGTATTTATTAAAGGTAAAAATCTATTTTCGTCAATTGACAATTATTCTTTTTGAATAAGGAATAATAGAAAATTTTCTAATTCGCTTTAAGTTGTTTAATAATTGTTAGGGAAAAAGAAACAAAACAACCAATTATTGAAAAACATGAACAGAAGACTTTTTATTATAAAGAAAAGTCAAAATTTATTAAAAAATTGATATAATTATTGAAAAGAAGAAACTTGAATAATATCTCTGGTAATAAAGACAAACTGAAATATAAAAATAGCTATTATTAAAGATTAGTAATAATTTAAAGTTTTCAACTTCAAACAGCTGTATACATCACGCCTTGAGGAGAAAGGAAAATTTTTCCATTTTGTCTGTATGTCTCTCTCTCTCTCTCTCTCTCTCTCTCTCTCTCTTAACAATTAGAATTCATTATTTTTGCATTGAAATTACTATTTTATTAAAAAATTTGACTAAAGGAAGAAAAAGGCAAGTTATTTATAGGAGTGTCACTTGGTAGTTTTACTTCCTAAAACTAAACATATACACTTTTTAGTTAAACAAACTGAGAATATAATAAAAATGACAATTTTTTTTCAGCCTAACTAGATGTTTATTCTGAATTGTTTTGTTTACATTAAATAAAGAATGATTAATTGTTTGAACATTTTAAGCTGTCGAACTGGCGATGGTTTTTTGTATGTGTGTAGAAAAAACAGAGTAAGAGATTACGATAGAAAACTGATTTTTCTCATTTAGATTTCGCAATATAGAATTCAATACAATAAAAAAGTAATTGTATGATCAATATACACTACATAATCGAAACGGAAATCCTGTTATAAGGTAGAAAAAAGACTTCTTATCGTATGCAAATATTAATAAGTTTAAGTGGTCTTTCTTTCTCTAACTAGGAATATTGTACCTTTATAGATGGATATCTAAGTGTTGATGTCTTAAAACGTAGCACTCTTTCTCTCTCTCTCTCTCTCTCTCTCTCTCTCTCTGTCTCTCCTTTACAGAGTTAAAAACAAATAAACAAAGTAAAAAAAACATCGATAATAAAAAAAAAATTTGCATTTTTATTTAAATGATTTAAAACCTCATCAATAAACTTTAAAATATTAAGTGCAGATGGCGCAATATTTATTAAGGATTACAGGACAATTTATAGCGCCGTCTATAAATGACCAGTTCTAAATACGGAAATTGGCGTCAATTAAACTATGCTTGAAGTCGTTATTTCTTATTGCAATTAGGCGGATTGTATTGTCTATTAACACAACTTCGTATTGATAAAGCAAATTAACGTAATCATCGCTATGCCACCCAAAAGTAAGTATTTAAAATCAATGTTTTTTTTCGAAGGTAACTATTGTTATCGATATACGAAAGTACGTGACACCTTACACACAAACTGCTATTATCGCCCAAGTATTCGTCAATGCATTCTTTAGACAACGATTTTCGATGTATATAGTATTGTTATTAGTTAGATGGAAAATCACTAGTCATTTACATTTAGTATAAACGATAAATTTTCATACCAAAAAACAAAAAATAAATCGAAGAGTAATGCAAAAAAATAGATTAAACTAGGCCTAACGCTTTTATTAGGCCGGTTTATTGAACGAATTTTTTTTTTTACAAGAACTTTTCATAAGCGCTTTATACTTGATTGACGACGGACCCAGCTATCTCTCTCCTTCCCTCTCTGTCTGTCTGTCTGTCTGTCTGTCTCTCTCTTTAAACTGGCATTTAACTTGAAAGAAATTGTTTGAGAAAGAAATATTAATTATATTTCTTTCAGTGTCTCTTCTTCAACTTTGAAGTATTTACTCCTATCATCGACGTCCGATAAAATTTTTTATCCTACAATTCAAACCTTAGCTATTAAAAAATTTAGTCTTGAAAATTTAATTTGTGAATAAGAGAATTCATTGAAAAAATCAAAAAAAGTCGGAAACGTTATGGCTCTAAATACGGGTTTTAAAGTAAATTTATCAGCAACTGGCTTTTCTGAACATAGAAGGAGAACGGCAAAGAGTGCTAAATCTGGTAGATATTTATTATTATTATTATTATTATTATTGTATTTTTGTATTAATAATAGTAGTATTTTACGTTCAAAATCTATTTAATCGCCATAAAAAATTATATATATATGTATATATGAAGACAGAGATTAGATAGAACTTATTAAAAGCAAGAGATATTCAAGAGACCCCGTTAATGGCATTATGCAATAATATCAAATAGTTCTAGAATTATCTTTCAATCCCGTTCAATCTACTGAGAATATCTGCCGATAAAATATTAAATTATATATCTACATTTTCCATGAAATAACCACATTAGACATCAATAGGAATCTATTAAATTTATTAACTAAAAGAGTTACAATATACATATTTATACAGTAGGTTAAATTCTGGTTCACTAATTTATTCTAGATGACGTAATTAATATAGGATTCGGCTTAAAATGTTCTATATTAAGGATTCTATTAAAAATTAACAGTAAAAAATAGTAAAAACATGAAAGAAAATAGGTAAATGTACATTCTTAATTAGTATTATTACGTTTAAAGATAGAAAGAATTGATCTTTCAACATAGTTTTCCTCTTTATTCTTGTTTAAACAATAAACGCTTTAGCACACAATGCAGTAGAAATGTTATATATATATATATGTAAATATAACCCTATAATCAAACTTATATATGTATATACTGTATATATATATATATATATATATTCATCTACGACGTTAATTGGTTACTTATTTGCAAAACAATCAAATAACAGTAATATATCGTATATTATTTCTATGCTCAATCAATGAACAGCTTAAACGTTCATATTTTTATATTAGCGATAAATAAATAAATAACAGTCTATATAAAAAATATTAAAGTGTATATATAGAATTAATAAATAAATGTAATTTATTACGAATTATGTAATGTAACTCAACTGTTCATTTTTCTTTCGATTCTACTCTATTCAATTTAATATGATATTTTATAACTTTCTGTTATTTCTCTTTACTTGCTCATTCACTCATTCAGCCATTCATTCTCTCTCTCTCTCTCTCTCTCTCTCTCTCTCACTCTCAAAGAGAAATAAAAATCATTAGCGAATAGAAAAATAGAAAACTTCCGCTGAAAATTCTTTTTCAATATCACATGAATATCTGTTAATAACAATTACTAATTTAAATAATTAATTGGTCTAATTTTCTCATAAAATGGATAAATAATGAGAAAAGAAATTTATGAAGTGTTCCTCTTTCTTTTTTTATCAAGTATCGATTTATTAGAGGAAGAGAATGCCTTAGAATACACTTTTACTATTTTTTTATTTACACACTTCTCCTTTAAGAACTTTGTTATATTCTTCTTCCAGGAAATTTTCAATACCTTAATAGCTTTTTTATGCCATAAAATCGTGTTAATAAGAAGTGATAAAATAATGAAAAGGACTTGTGAAATTGACATAATAAGTAAAAAATAAAGAAAGGAGACACTCTTATCTTCTTGCTTTTCTATGAGAAAGCATTTTATTTTCTATGGGAAAATTGGAAATTTTTCTCGTTCTAATCTTTTTTGCTTGAATAATTCATTCAAACATTCAAGTGCGAAATCCGTAAAGAAACTTAACATAAAAATTAAAATACTTATTAACGCTTCATTTAGAAAATACGTAAGAATAATCTCAATTATTCGCCTTATTGTCCTATATTTTTTAACTTTTCAACAATAATAAATACTTAACCTCCTATTCTTACTCATTTCTAGAAAAACAACCACCGGAGAGGCCATCTGCACCAGTCGAATTGAAAGTTACCCACTATAATATCGAAATTAGTTGGGAAGATGCTCTAGAAAAGCAGCAATCAAAAAGTCAAAAGGGAGACGAAAGAATTACAGTTCAATTACAAAGTATGGATAAGAATGGCGAGTTTCAAAACATTTACAAGTAAGAAAAGTATTTTTAATCATCTTTTATCTCCTTTTATTATTATTATTATTATTCCAATAGCCTTTTGGCTAAATTTGTCCTATAATCTAATCCAAAAAGTGTTCAAAGAGAGAAAGTTCACTTCTCTCTCACCTCTCTCATATTTATGTTAAAAATTACAATTTAACAAATTGTTACCCCACCAATAGGTTATTTAGAATACAAAGTCAAAAAAAAGAAAACACCAAATTCATTCATTCCTTCTCAAATTCCGGCTTAAGCTGTTTAGTAAAGAAAATTGACCTAATTCTGTAATTTTTCTATTCTATCGCTTAGCACTTTCTGGTAACGGGTTTTACACGTATTTGTCGACTGAAAAGAAAAATAGACTCTTATTCTGTTCAAACTCTTTATTCACAGCTGATCAAACTGACGAGAGATCTGCGAAAAAATTAATAAGGCCTATAGCGTAATCTATAGACAAAATATTTATCCATTGATTATTTTCCTTCTAGGTTAATTTTAAAATTTGTTATAAAGGTAAAGAAAATATAATTAAAATAATCAATGATTTATCCATTTTGTTCTAATGATTAATATATTAAATTTGAAGTTTAGAGTGCACGTCTCGAACCATTTAAAAACTATAAAAGAACATGATATTCACATATAAACAATATTGATGGAATATGTTGAGATAATGCAATATATGTTAAATATTTATCATTATTAATTTATTATTATATCTCTGTCATTCCTGTATTAATTAACTAATTTGACAAAAGATAGAGGATATATAGAAGAAAGTAGAAAACTGTAAAAGGATAAAATAGAGGAAATACTCTTCTTCTGGTCTATAAATTGAAGATTTAAAAACAGAATAAGAATAGAAATATCAAAATCGATATTATCTCTTGAAAAGGGAAAGTTATCAATTATTCATTAACAACTCTTCATCTAATACATTTAACTAGTATTCTTCATTAATTTCTCTTGTTATTTTACAAAGTTATTCTACTGTTTATCCTTCTTTAGCCTTATTAAAAAAGACGCTTTATTTTAATATTAATAATCTTTCAAACGCCCACTCCTTCAGAATAACACCTTTTATATTTTCCTCCACTCCCATTTCCTCCCCGCTCTCTTTCTTTTATTTAAATCCTTTTAGAAACACACTCCATTGTAGTTATATCCTTCTATTTTGCTTATTATATCAATTGTATTGTTCTGAAAAGAAAATAACACTTTCGATAGATACAACCCTAGTAAATAATGTAGGCAACGAGGTCAAGTGATCAGTCGTTAAACATTTATCATTTTGAAAGAAGAGATGGATTGCTTAACAGAAAATTACTATTGATTAGTCGAGCTTTAATCCGTGATTGTTTGCAACCGGAAAACGAATGGTTTGCGAGAACTAACAACCTTTTAATTATTCAATTATAGTTATGTGACGTCACAAGAGTCTCTTACAGGTGAATACTTTCGATAGTTATGTTCAATTCCTAAAAGGTTATATTCGTAAGCGACTCGTATTATGTAATACCCTTAAAGAAGCTTTGGTGAAAAGGAAATTATTGAAGAAGATCAATAAAATCAATTTGAAAGTTGATCCTATGGCGCTGCTTGAGCTAATCCGTCGATAATCTTTTACAAAGTAGTGTAATTGAGATTTGTATGAACAAGCCAGCTGAAAATTGATAGGATGCCTAAGTGCCACTTTGTCAGAGCTATCTGGCGGCTAAAACATGAACAAAACATCCCATAATTATACGTTATAGATTTAAATTTCTAATAATAGATAACTTTTACGTCATTAATATTTTTTATGTTCTATCTTTGTTATTAAGGAAGCAAATAGTAATTAAAAAACAGAGGTAGAGAGAAAGAAAGAGAGAGAGGGAGAGAGAGAGAGATTTATTTTTAGATCTTTCTATAAAGGAGTTGAATGTTCACAAATTTTGAACAAAAGTTTTAAAAGAGGGAAAATTACTTTAAAGAGTAATTTCCGTAATTTTTCTAATCCATTCAATTTCAATGCTAAATTTAATTCTTTTAGCGTTTTGTCGTTTCACTTTTCACTTTAGTTAAAGAGAATAACTCGCACATTTATATATAAAAATATTGATATATTAACATTCTAATCCCTTATAAGATTATTAAAATGGATTCTAATCCTTTAATGTAAATATTATATAATAGTTGTTAAATCTACTGGACGCGTAATTTATCATATTCGTATGGAAGCGTATTACTCGAAGAATATCCTCTCTTTCTCCCTCTTTCTTTCTCCTCTTCCAACTCATTTCTTCCCCCCTCCCACTACCTTTCCTTCCTCTTCTTACTCTATATTGTTTAAAAGCAAAGTATAACTTAACTAATAAAATAAAAAAGAAATCAATATAATAAAAAAGAAACGAAAGAATTAAACAAAAGAGAATAAAAGACAGATTCAATAACCTTTAAAGTTCAAGTAGGAGAATGAAATAATCCATTTTATCTTAAATATATCTAAAATATTATTGATCTGAATGATAAAAACAACTGGTTTTAAGAGCAAAATAATGGAATAAATTGAATTATACTCTTTTAAAACTAACTAACAACACTAATTAAAAGCTATAAAAGAAGAGTGGTTGAATAAAAGAATTTGTCTCTCCCATTACGTTCAAGTGAAAAGAAATACTTGAAAAAATATATTTTTTATAATAAAAGGTCACTTCCGGTATAGAGACCTAGTTTTTTTTCTTTTGATTTTTCCATAGAAAAGATTGATCTAAAGATTTTTATTACGAAACTAAATCTTTAACTTCGTATTTAAATACTAGACTAAATGGAATTTTTCCAATCAATTCCATTGACTTTGATAAGTAATAGTAGTTTGATAGTTATTTATGATTTTGATAACAAAAAAGAGACAAAACTATGCTCCACTTTTGTTACAATAATATAAATCTATAAAGTAATTTGATTGCAATAAGGCATACTAGAAAACGTCAAAAAAATTCTTCTTTTTCCTTTATGAATACAAACGCCAATCTACTTTTAGCTTTTGTGCCGAAAAAAAAGAGCTATTCCCTTAATCCTTAATAATAGAAAAGAAAAAAAACACTACCTGAATATTTTGAATATTGATTGTGAATTCCATTAAAAAAATCATTTATATCCCAATTTTATTTCAACTTTTTTTTTTACAAAATATTTATATTCTTTTGAGCGATAATAAGACAACATTGTTTATTTTTAATTAAAATTGCTATTTAAGTTTATTATTCTAATTGAGTTTTGTTATTGTTTTGATTTTTAGAGGTTATGCAAAATGTACCGTTGTAAATGACCTCGAAGCCTGGACACAATATCGATTTCGTGTCAGATTCCAGAATGATTTTGGAGTTTCGGACTGGAGTCCGGAAGTTTGTATATCGACCAAGAGTACGTTATTTCTTTACTGATTATACCTATTCGTTTCTTATAGTGTTCGAATAATACTATTCAAGTTCTTTGCCTAGTTATTTCTTTCTATTTTCTTTTTTTAAATATTAAACAGAGGAACCTTTAACTGGAGATAATCTGCATAGGGCAATCGCTTTGGACGATTTTGGAGCTTTAGAAAGGGTTATTGAAAGCGGGTAACTATTGAATTAAGATTATTAAGCGCTAATCAAACTGTATGTATTTACTTGAATACGCTTATAAAATTGTTTACCAAATCGGTGTTGTACTTAAAAAAGCGAAAACTATTACATAATAGTTATATATATACTGTATATACATATATAAATTTTACACATATTCAATAAATTCAATATATTTGGCTAATTGTTCAATATAATGAGAAATTTCGTAGAAAATATCACGATCTTATTATCTTACTTTTATTTTATCAATGTAAATTTCAATATTTATTCATCGATATTTCTTTCATAAATCAATCGACAAATCTTATATTTGATTTATTGACCAGAAATAAAAGAATTCCCTTAGTTTATTTTATATTTTATTACATCCCTTATTATTTATAAACAATTGTTGTTTTTAACAGAGACGTTCATATTGATACACCCGATAAGTATGGATTTAGTCCACTAATGCAGGCCTCTCAAAAAGGTTTAAGACCAGAGTAAGTGTGTTTACAAAATGTACCATTTTCAACTCCTCTTTTCCATTCATCCATTCCATCCATCTTTGTTTCTTCCAAACAAACAAAAAAGTAGTAATTTTATTTAAATCTTAAATCTCCATTCACATGAACTATCACGAATATTATATATTAAATGTAAGTGAACGTGCCAACTTTTGAATGGCTGTAATATCAGATCAAAACCAGAAGATAATAAAGAGGAATGGAAAATTAAATGTATATTTGATTATGTTATATATATATATATTTTTTTTTAAATCAATTTATGCTTTCCTTTAATCTTATTGGTTCAAATTTTTGCATAATCTTTATTAAAATTACGTTATTAATAATAGAAACAATCTCCTTTTCTTTTTGATATTTTAGAATCTTGGAAAAGTTAATAGAATCTGGAGCGGATGTCAATCTGCAAAATGAAGCTGGTAAAACTTCCCTTATGTTGGCAGCTTTCGCTGGAAAATTGATTAGTGTGAAAGAATTAAAACATCACGGAGCTAGATTTGATCTCAAAGATAAGGGTGGTTCCACTGCTTTACATTGGGCTGTTGATGGTGGTAATGTCGAGATTATTGAATTTATGGTAAAGCAAGGAGGTGATGTTAATTGGAAAGATGATCAGAATAATTGGACTCCTCTGTTAAGATTAGGTAACAAGATTTTGTTGTTTATAGAGATAAATATTATAATTAATCGATAATATTCTAATATATGTAGACTGTATATATTCTATTTCAGCTTCTGTTAGTGGAAAAGTAAACGTTGGTCGAAAACTTTTAGAGTTAGGAGCAGACCTAAATGCAAAAGATAAAGATGGTAAAACTGCTTTAATGATAGCAGTGATAAATGGTCATAACGAGTTGGTTGAACTGCTACTGGACAGCAATTGCGATCTGACGATAAGAAACGATGTAATTGTTTTATTACTTGTTAACTTATTAATATAAATTATTAATAGCCACTATGTTTTTCTTTATATATTCTATTTTTTTATCTAGTACGGTAAAACTGCTTTAGAAATGGCTCAAGCAATGGAAAAGAGGGTGAGATTTTTTTTAATTAACCAATTAATGACAATTGCTGTTGACCATTTGTTTTTCATCTAAAATTTAGAGAGTTCTTCGAACAATTGAAGACTTTATGGAAAGAAAAAAAGGCGAAAATGGAACCAATTAGGGGAGAAAATTCTTAAATACGTTTTCGATTAGCTAACATATTAGGAATGTCACTTGATCAACGCTTCTCAATGAACAATCTCTCCTCTCTCCCCCTGCCCTTCCTTTAGAAAATGAAATATCTCTATAATATCAATATCAAGAATAATAATAATAATAATTAGGCATAGAATTGTAAACGCTTTTCTCTCTTTGTCTTATATTTTATGTGTTCCAGATGAAAAACAAATTATTTACCTTCCTTCGTTAGAAAACAAAACTAAAAAAAAGGTGCTTCCTGTTTACCTTTTTTTATCTAGTTTTTATATCAAATGACTAGCTAAATATATATATATATATATATATATTTCCTGCTTCGTAAATTATCCGTCCGTTTATTAATCAGCTTATGCAAAACAAAGGGGAAAACAAACCAAATTTGTACTTGTCTTTCGACCTTATCAAGTAGTGCTGCCATCTTTAGCATTATTATTGTGTGGAAATATAGTTCATATTTAACATATCCTGTTTTTGTTTCAATTCCTTAATTTATTAATAGAAATAGGCTTATAAAATTATTTTCACGCATGAATCATCAATAAATAAAAAGAGATAAAAAAGAGGGGTCAAGTGATCAACTTAACTCTATCACAAAACAAAATTTATAGGTACCTTCTTTACAATAAACAAAATTATTTAAATTCATCTTTCTTCCTCTCTCTCGCTGTGTTTTCCTTATTCCTTTGATTATTTTAATATCTCTTTCTATAATTAAAAAAGAGAAAGGTATCGGTATCAAAATCGAGTAAAAAAAAAAGTATAAAAAAAGAAAAGTTCAGATATAAAAAGTAAAACAAAAAGACAAAAAAAAACGCACTAGACTAAATTAGAAAGAAAAGGGGATAAATAAATTAAGAGTAAAGCATTTTATACTCTTTATATACAGTATATACAATATTATATATATATACTGTATATACTTTTTACCATGTATGCTACACGAGTTGACTTTTTTATGCTGATCCTTAATGGAAAGATATCAATATCTTTAACAAAGGTCACAAAATTAATTGTGAATTTTAACAAAAGTAAAAGGAAGCGTTGAAATTATAAGTCCAATACAAAAAAAATGATGTTTAAGTAATGAGTTAAATAGATACTACACAATGATTTATGAAGGATTTTATTTTGTTTCGGCGCAATATCCGATATAAGTATTCCAGGCTAAACCAACAATGTTTATCAAGAAAATTCTGTACTTTAGAGGAACGTAGTGAAAGTTTAATATTTGAACCACCGGCCAAATTTGATAGCTGTTGATAAGGAGAGGGCTAAAATCTCTTGTAATTTTTTCATTGATTTCCTTAAATTTTTCATTTCTCAAAGCTCCCATAACACCAATATAACCTCCTAAATAGACTGGTAGAAAAACTAATTGATCTAATAGAGTCTTTTTTGTAGCTGCTTTGAGACATTTCTTTGGTGTTATGATAACTTTATCCAACCATCTATACCAATAGTGCATACTAGGTCCAGCTATAAATAAACCTACAAATCCAAACCGAATAGTTCTCTGTGCGTCATAGTCTTTAAAAGATTTTTTTTCTATAAAGATCTGTGCTATTAGATCACCTGCACTCATTAAAACGCAAGTATTTAAAGCTGTTTTCGTGCAACCAGAGGTTTTTTCGTAAGAAATGACTATCCTTCGTCCTGTCAGTGGAAAAAACCTTTCGAAAGCTCTTAATAGCATTATTCTATAATGAGAGTATCAAAAAAATGTTCAAGTTTAATTAGGAATAATTTCACTTGTCTACCTTTTAGCAAGTTTGAAGTATTCAAGTACCTTTTAATTGTTGAATATAAGTATATGTGAAAAGACAGGAAGAGAGACATATAAACTGTATGTTTATATATATATATATATATATATAAAATATTTATACATCCGTTAAGAAGTCACTGTTTTTATTTTTTATCAATACTATTGGCGCCATCTAGGTTCATTTTTAGATTACTTTCACAATAAAAGTTCATTATACATGAAACCCACAAAGAAAGATACAACATTAAGTTATTTAAAAGTATTGGAATGTTTAAACTCATTTGAACGAATAAAAGACTCTTTGTTTTTGAAACTTTTGCTTTATATCTATACAAAAAAGAAAAACAAGTAAAGCCAGGTTTAGGTCATTAAAAGTTCATTCGTTAACATATGTATTGATCAGACCTGTACTGTTTTCTCATCGTTTTCATTCTCTCTTTCTTTCTCTCTCTCTCTCTTTCTCTCTATGCATAAACAGTATATATATATACTCTCTCCTTGCTTACATTTTCCCTATCTAACTATCCCTAACCAGTTATTACTTTTTATCTCTATTTTAAGTACTTACTTTTCACTAGAAATTTTAATAATAATCAGATAATCGATATTTATCTAACAACAAAATATGCTAGTTGAAAAGAAATCATAAAGTAAAAGAGTCTAAAGATAATAGCATATAAATAATTTGCTTTAATATTAAATAAACAATTCTTTACACTCGTTGAAATATTGAACAAATTTCTTTTTTCTATTAATAGATAAAGTTGTACTTAATCATTCATTAAGTTGCGTAGTTCCTTCTCTTTAGGCTATATATAGTAGTATTCTTTCATTTGTCTATTATCTTTCCTTTGGTGTGTGTGTGTGTGTGTGAGTGAGTGTGTATCTCTTCCTTTTCCCCCCATCCCTCTCTCATCGCTCCCCCTTTCTGCATCTCTGTTTGTATACACTGTATACACATGTATAAATAATATAAATAAATACTTGCTCTACACACAGTGTAGTCGTTATTTTATTTTATCTATCTAAATATTATGTTTTTTAATATCTGTTATTATTAGCATATACGTTTATAGAGTTAGTAAGAGAGAATGACTTCTATTCGTATATTCGCAGTAGACGAGTATCTCGTAATTCCATCTGCTCTTATGTTCATGCACTCGTTACTTACCCCTCAATCTCTATCTCTATATTTAACTTTCGTTTTTACTAACTCAACATATTATATTTCATGTAAGGAATACGCCTTCAAATAGTTGAATTTTGACGAGTTGTGATTTTTACAAAGCTTTAATTAATGATAATATTTAATTAACTAATAAAGTCTCTGAAGAAATTTGTTTGTCGTTAAGTTCTCATCGAAAAGATGAAAGAACTGAGAAAAACTCACATCAGGTTAAATAATTCCATTTCCTATTTCTTCAATTTGCTTGATAAAAATATTTACGCTTTGTTAGATTTATTAATAAAAAAACCTGCTAATTATACATAAAATACAAATAACAAAGAATTGAAAAACAGAGAATTTGCCAGAAATAGACGATAATTTTTTGGGAGTGATACCATAATTCATATGTAAATCCTTTTGTCTCATGTAAAGAAAAGATAATTATCATTCATCTACATCAATTAGTATAGCTTTTTAAAGTAAACCCTCCTTTAATTCTTACTAAATTTATCATACTCTAATTTTCTTTGTTCAGATTGGTTAGTATAATAGGTTTTCCTTTTTGTTAATTATCGATTTTTACTAATTTTCATCTCCTGCCACCTCTTTATTCTAGATATTTCACCTGGAAACAATAGAGTAGTGCATATTATTTCTCCAGTTCATTTTCTGATAGAATTATTGCCAATTTATTTGCAAGCAGTTTTCATGAATGAAATTGAGACATGTATGAAGAAATGATCGCATAATAAAGCTTAATTATATTAAAACTCTAAATTCTTTTAATGAAAAAAGATAATAGATCTCTGAGAAAAGTGAAAATAATAAATCTATTTCATATTTCTTATAGAAAGTGACAGAGAAAGCGTAAAGGGACATATTGGAATTTATTACTGTTATAAAATATATAGAATATAAATAATTCTATTTTTCAATAAAATGATATTAAGTTTATTATAGAATAAATTAAATAATTAGGTTCTTTTCAATCTGAATACTATATGCAGTATTATTAATGTTTATACTGTTTATACATCTACGAAAACAACTCTTTTCAATCTAGCTATTCCATTGGTTTTTGTTGGAATTTTTTTTTATTCTTTGATTAGGTAAAACCTCAATAAATATTTAAATAAACCTAATTATGACAACAAATAGTAGTTTTATCAAGTTTTTCTTTGATTTTCTCTTCCATTCTTTCTACTTTTAATACTGTTAATGAACAATGTAAACACTAAAACATATTCAACCTCTTTGCAATTCACATCAATAGACTAAAAATATAATTAATAAAAAGAATTAGGTTCATCATTTTTATTTAATTCATATCATATGTAATAGAAACAATCTATTTATAGACGCAGCTGGCAAAAACAGAGGATTACTGAAGAGATATACTTCATATTTCTTTAAAACATTTAAAGGTAAAATACGTTTTCTATCCATGATATTCGAGTTGAAGAATGCCTCTTTCTTCCTTCTATCAAAAAGAGATGGATATCAAAAGTTTACAAATATTAACTTTAGGGGAACGAGCATGTAGAATTAAATTACAGTGGAGAGTTGGCTTTCAGTATATTATCAAACAATAGAAATAGATAATTTTGAGGAAATATTTTGCATTGTTTAATTATCTAGAATAGTATCTTTTACATAAATAGTAGACCATTAATGGCACAGAGATACCTTTTTACTCTTGAAGAAAATATTGGATAAACAAACGAATTAATGAATCAATGAACGACTCATTGATTCGTTGAACGCAGGAGTAAAGAAAATAATGAATGAAGAAATCTTTTTACAATAACTTGGAATGCCGATTTGGAAATGAAAGCCTATAACATTGTCATTCCTTCATCAGTTTTTGAATTAATATTAAACTAATTATTTAAAGAATAAACATGTTTATTCGGTTGAAAAATCATCAATATTCATTATCTGTTTTATTCATTTGTTTCAAAAGACAATATATGAAATAAAGAGAAAGAAAATTTTACTTATAGAATCAATTTGAAGCATCTCACATAGAGGAGATTATTGAATTATTCAAAAATTAAAGAAATTGCAATAAAGCTATTTTCTTTCTTTCATCTTTCTCCCTAGATATTTTTTTTTAATCAAGTTAAACGTATTAAAACTTTTCCAATACTTTTTCTATTTGCTAAATATTCGTATGCTTCATTTGCCTTAAATATAACAAGAATATTATAGAAATAATAACTCAAACTAGTACAACTTACATTTTCAAGTTGAAATTGATCTGTATAAACTGGCGAAATTTTACCTTCCTCCATATATTTTAAAGTAGCATCTATCGACTCTTTAAAGAGTATTGGATTTTTAAAAGCATAGCCTCCCCAATAAATTCCTTTCACCGAACAAGACTTTAGTAATAATAAATTTGCAGGAACTTTTGGAATAGTTCCACCAGCGTAACCTATGGTAACTAAGATTCCCTCAAAAGCTAAGCTAATAGAAGAAGAAAAAAACGAGTTATATTAACATGATAGCATAACGATTTGAAGAAAATTGTAAATTGTTTATTTTACCTTTTCAAGCAGTCGATAAATATATCGCCTCCTACCGAGTCGAGAGCGATATCAACACCTTTTCCTTCCGTAAGTTCCTTTACCTTGTCTCTGGTCGATAATGATTAAAAGTGTAAATGATTGATTGAAATTAATTCTTCCATTTGTTTTATTGAATTTTTTTCAGATTAATCTTTCTCTTTTTTCTTTAACAAACCTAATATTTTCATTTGTATAATTAACAACGTGTTTAGCACCCTTTTCTAGGACAATTTTTGCTTTAGCATCCGAACCAACAGCTCCTATAACCTGTTTTAATATACAGTATGTTAACATATATTTGTCTGATATTTTTATTGGTATTTGGGATAGAATAAAATAATAAGAGAATGCTCATACGTTACATCCAAAGATATTAGCCGCTAAATCAACCAATGCTAAACCTACAGCACCTGCAGCAGCGCTAACAAACACAGTTTGTCTGTCATGAGGAGATAGAATATAATCAGATTTTTACATGTTATACGAGATTATTTACCCTTCTTGAATATTTGCCGTTCTCTTTAGAGCCAACCACGCTGTTCCATAGGATGTAAGCGAAGCTGCTCCATATTGCAGAGGAACACTTTTCGGAATTTTGAAGATTGTCTAAGAATAAAAAGTCGAAATTATTATATATGTTTTTATTTTATTTTCTAAAATAAGTAGTAAATCTTATAGTATTATACTTAACTCCTTTTGGCACACAGGCTTCTTCGGCGAGAGCGCACGGTTTAAGAGATATAGCTGCTACATGATCTCCTACTTCAAAGTCCTCTTCACCTTTTGATACCTGAGTAATCTTTCCGCTAAATTCTGCCCCTAAAATACAATTGCAAGAGATATAAGATAAAAAATTTTTCAATACAAGAATACAATTAAAGACTAATTAAAAAATGAAAGGTAAAAGAAAAAAGAAAGATCTTCAATACCAGGAACAAAGGGCAATCGAGGTTTTTCCTGGTACTTTCCTTGAATTTGTAAAACATCACCAAAATTTACTGCAGCATAATGCACTCCGATTCTCACCTTTGAATGACAGAGATGCAATATGAAATAAAAATTAATACATATCTATATATATATATATATAAAATTTAGAACAAACACAAAATTAGATACGATATTTGATTTGATTGTTTCTTTGTCTAGCGTTTTTCATTTCTTTCAAAAAGAACAAAAAAATTATTCATGCAATACTCTTTCTAGCTTTCTTTTAGCTTGTTGTATGCTATTTATAGATAAGAAAACATACAGAGTCGTTAAAATGGATGTATGTCAAGATATATTGATTTACTTTTATTCCCATCTTTCTCGATAAAAAGAGAATCTACATCATAGAAAAAAAAACATAATAGAAGAGATGAGGAAGAAGAACAACAAGGATATTTTAACATTCTTTTAGGGGCGTAGTATTTATGAAACTATGTTTATTGTTTATTGTAATGTTGAGTTAGACTAATTTTCAAATTTTTGCCTATCTTCTGAATACTTTCTGCTAAGATGCTTTTAAAGTAATCTTTGTCTTTCCTTTCATCTTGCCATGTCTTTAAAATTGTTCATTTTTGAGTTTTATGTAAATATTTACATATACAATATACATATAATAGAATAAATACAGTATATAAATTTATAGTCTATATACTTTATTATAATCCCATGAACACTTCAAATGTGAGAGATATTTAAATATGTGTCAATTTAATCCACTCTCCAGTCTTCTATTAAACTAACAGCAATCTATATTTATTTCCTAGATTGCTAAATTATTGAAGAATCTTAGAAACTTAATTAGTTACAGTATAAGACAACTCAATAAGGAAACTAATAGCTGAGGGATTACATAGCGATTTTGATTAGAAAAATGTGCTAGCATATGCTTTCTTTCTTAAGAGGAGGCTAGCCGTTTAAAAAGGAAAGATAAAAAAAATATGAAAATGCCTTTATTTAATCTTCAGTTACACTTTACCTTTAACTTATTTATCTGATTTTATAAAGAAAATCAATCAATAAATAAAAATATAAACAGAAAGTACAACCTCATGTTCCTCCATTGATGGTCTTGGTAAGGTCTTTATTTTTAAAGGTTTTCCTAATTCTTCGCAAACGGCGGCTTTTATTCCATCATTTCTCGAATTGGAACAAGTTGTTTGGCTAAGTCTGTAGGTCGTAAATTAGATAACAAAAAAAGTTGAAAAATATAAACGACATCGAAAATATATGCTATATATAATTAAAACAGTTTTACTCTATATAAACGTTGTTTTTATAGTAAACAAGCAAATATAAAATTCTATAATCATCAGCAGTTACACAATTGTATTGTATGCCTAGTGCATTTATAGTATAGAGTATATTCTATAGATTTTATTCTACTTTTAAAATTGACGAGCTAATTAAAAAAATGGTAAAAATAAGAAAATTCAACAGCTGAGTTAAAAGAGGAAAGGAAATACTCTATTAATCAAGTGAAAAATTATTTTAAGCTTCGGAAGAAAGGAGCTTTTTACTTCCTTTTGCTTCTTGTTTTTCGAATTATCCCATATCATGAAAAAGGTATATACATCATATGTACTGTATATAAATATAAAGTATATATATTATATATATAAAGCTTTTCTTCTAATACGTTTCTCCTACTCTTTAGGTATTGCTGGTTATCGTATTAAAAATTAAAAGTGATTTTAATAAGCCAAAACTGTATTTCTGGGCATTAATGATATAGTATGTATATGTATTGTTAAGCAGCAAAGTTGTATTTTTCTTACCGCTGTTAATACAGTTTTTAGCTTTTGAGAAGTAGGAAATAATTCATCAGAATCACGCTATGTGTTACTTTTTAAGTCACGAAAAAAAACATCGTTTCTATAATCATGACAGCACGTTGACGTGATTGAACATTAGCGAAATGGTAAGGGATAGTCAGAGATTTTGTGATAATTATTGTTTTAGATTGAATTTTTCTTTAATAATATTAAAAGAGCAACGACGAGATGAAAAGAGAAAATTCCTTTATAGAATTCGATAATAAACACCAATTCATTATGCTAAGGAAGAATAGAGTAAATAACAGATATTTTGTATTCAAAAGACTATTCTAATGTAATAATATTTACAAAAGAAGAAGTTAAAACTGTCGGAACAGATTTATAGCCATGAAGCGAAGTTAATGTAACTAATCATAATGTCTAACAATAAGAATAACAGTAGTAACTACAAATAAGGAGGAAAAATTAGATAGTTGAAAAGTATAGATTAAGAAGAACAAATAAGACATATATATATATATATATATAAATAACAAAAAAATAACGAAGTAGAAATATGGACAATTACGATATTTGAAACAAAATTATTTTGTAAGCTAGTTAAGCAAACCGGTTTTTTTTTTTTGTTTTCTTTCTCTTTTATTATTGTTATATAAAAAAAATCTTTTTTGTTGTCTCTAAGCGTTTCTCTTTCGAGTGTAACAGCGAGAGAAAGAATGAAATAACGAAATGTTATTAGATCTTAACGATGACAAGAATTAGCGAAGAAATTTTAAGGCAGAGGGAAAAAGCATTTCTAAAAGCCTCCTATAAACATTTATATATTAATATATATATATATATATAGAGCATATATGCATGTATAACAGAATATTTTTAGACTTAGCGGTTTGTGAGGTTTTTAATCTACAGAGAGACTTTGTTTCCTAGATGTTTTACAGTATAAATACTCAACAATTTCTATATTCTCTAAACCACAAGGTATAGAAAATGGAAAAGAAACAATTTTAATATATAATGATATACTTATAGTGTATATTATATATATATGTTGACTTTACAATTAACATGGGACATCTTTAGTCAATAGATTATTTCATAATAATTAAATATCTACAATATTATCGGCTGCGCTTACAGATAAATATAGAATTGCTTGAATATTCTATATATTCTACTTAAACGATATTTAACGTTTATTGTAAATATTGAATTTGTACAGTTTTCTTTGAAGTCTCTAGCGATTTCTGCTGAAATAAATAAATAAATATTCGTACTTTACGTAGTTCCTCAACATTCTCTCTGGAGGGAAAGAGCTTTGTAAAAATTTCTTGATTCTTCCATTAAGTTGAGACATTCTAGGAAATGATGGAAAGTTCTCTTTATTCCTGCTAATTTGACTTTTACAATACTAGTCTTAATTCTAAATCTGAAAAATATTTGATCAACACGAGTTAGTGTATTAAAATAGGACTTTAAACAACATAATACTTCAAGGCCTACATTTTAATACTAATTTCATATTGAAAAGAGAACGATAACAATTAGCTGCTACGCCCTAGTAAAAATTTTACCTTGACAAGAAAGTAGAAGTAACATATCTTGATGATTTTCTTTTTAAGGTAATAATTTTTTTTTATTAAAGCAAATTCATAAAGCTTCTAAAGAGATACACAGGTTTCCAGACTGAAAGTGTTCAACTTACTGTTAAGCAAAGAGCAAAAGAACAAGATAGACATTGATATCGACTTGAAAAATGTTACTTCATTGCAATACAAACTGCTTACTTCCTTTATAAAAATCTTTTCTTTTACTTGCTTTCCCATTCGTCTTCCAATGGGAAAAACAGCACGAAATGCCTCATAATGTCTTTCTTTGTTTTTACTTTTCCAAGTAATAACAACTAGGAGAAAAAGAGATATAGAATCCGTTTCCCCTAATATTAATATACTAGTAAGATGCTAGTATCTTACCATAGAATTTTTATTAGCATTTTTACAGTTTTATAAACCACGGTGGGCAAGAGTGACAATTTTGTCGAGAAAGAAGAGACTCCAGGGTCGCGTATACTATTTAAATACAATACTTATGTTATATAATTACATAATTAAGATGTATTTGTCTATTTATCATTATGTTTGGAGGCAACATCTGTTTTTATATAAAAAAAGAGCACCTAAGTATGTATAAATTATGTACAGTAAAGTAATATTATTGCTGTAACAAGTATGTTGTTAGAATATTAACTGTTTTGATATACAAGAGTATTTACTCTTTCATAAATGCTAATAGTTTGACTAGCCCTAAATTGCTTTTAATTATTGTTTTACAAGCTTTTAGCTGATAGACATAAACACTCCTAAATATTTCTTTAATCTATAAGTTTAAAAGAAAACTTTTAGGAGAGGATATTTCATAAGATATTTACAGGATATGCTTGATATATCATTTACAGATCATTTTCTCCTAGATACAGTTTATACTACTGTACTATTATTTTGAGTCTGTTGTTAACGCCCTTGAATACCTATTTAATTATCTCTAATTAATTGTTAAAAAACTCATTCAACTTAGGTTTAGCCTTGGATAATCATAAAGTTATTATTATTATTAGTAATTAATTTCTATATTTTATATACAAATTTAAGACACGAAAATCTGGTGTAAATGATGACTGTTGTTTTTGCACCTAACTAACACGTTTTCATTCAAATAAACGCTTCTTTTGTTAGTTAATTAACATATAACATGGTTTCAACATATAAATTTAATAGATATATAGAGTTTTTCCTCATTTGTCTAACCTAACTAATCCATATTTAAATAGCTTATAAACTATATATATATATATATATATATATATATATACAGTATATTTATACCGTATCTGATTTGTATATTGCTAGAATATTTTGGTTTTATTCTCCTTCTTATTATTTTTTAATAGAACAAAGCGAAATAAAAATAGCAAAGAGTAAAAGTACATGTTTTGTTCACATAAGACTTTCCATGGTTTCCCATGAATAAATATATTTGTCACCTTTATATCTCGCAACGAGAACTTGCCTTTTCTTTGTTTTTCTTCGTTTCAATGAGAAATCTTGGCTCTTATTTAGGAAATCAGTCCTTTTTAAGCACGAAATATTTGAACATATATTATTTTTGAACATTTTAAGTATTGTTCGTCGAAAGACGGCGTTTACAGAAATATAGAGAATGAAGCTGCAGCTGTAGTTGATTGTTGTTAAAAAGTTTAAGAAAGCAGTTGTTAAATGATATCCATCCGCCGGTCCTGATATTTCTAGATAGAAATTGAATATTTCAGAGGGTGAAATTAGTGTAACGTTCATTATTATTAATATGATGAAAGTCACAGTAAGAATAACCGAGTTATCTTTTTGTTGCGTTTGCACATATCTTGAGGAGATTCTTGCGGCCTGCTTCCTAAATGCCATACTTTTCCTAACGGCTTTAATCAATTGTATGTTGAAAAATGCCAAAAGACCAATAGGTATAAAGAATCCGAAAATTGTCCATAAATAAATGAAAGGCAAACGAAAATTATGCTTTAATATAAAATCTCCTGCTTTAACGTCTATTTCTTCCACGAGAACTTGATTTTTACAAACAATCTACAAGATTGAGCATAAAAGAAAATAAACGCATTGATTGATTCAACTCCTTTAAGAATGCATTTGTTCCCCAAAGAGAAGTAAGATGATAGTTTGTCAAGCTAAGTAATATTGAACAATGGAGCAATTAAAAACTTTGAATGATAACATAATATTACTCAAGCATGATTAATCTATTCATTAATTTCTGACTAATAAGACATCATTTATGGAAATAAAACTTGTAAAAATAAATAGTTTCAAGAGTTGAAATAATTTAAAAGAAAGTACTTTTTTTCTTATTGAATTACACTTAAAACATGAATTTCTAGTGAATTTCAATGTAAAAATCTTTAAAAGTCTTTTTATTGAGTTATTCAAGTTAAAAAAGAGGAAAATCAATGAATATACTTTTGAATAAAGAATCTTGAACATTTTGTTCATATTAATTTTTGAATGAAAGTGACGAGAAATGGTTTTTAGATAAACATTTATCAATGCATTTTTTTTCATTTAGCACCTTTTTTTCATCCCTGACTGAATAAGTTACTGGAATTAGAAATATTGACCAAATAATTGGTATGCAAATCATTTGCAATTTAATTGAAATTCTAGACAATAGAAAGGAAGCTCTTAAGGGATGGCAAATTGCCAAATACCTTGTTCCTGCCACTACAACCGTTAGCCATGTTGAACTTTTTAGCCAAACTTCGTTGTAGTAAGGACCCAAGTAAGTTGACCAATAGAAGTAAAAATTTTTACTATGAAATGGATATTTTGGACCTTCCCATCTGAAAGCGGGTAGCGTACCTGCGCAGAATAACATATCGGCTATTGCTAAGCCGATTAATCCACAAATAGCTCTTCTCTCTAAACTTTCACTCTGTGTCAATTTTAGACGTTTGGCAAGCATAAAGAGATTAAGACAATTTCCTAAAATACCAATCATTCCTGTTATTGGAATAACGTATGAATAGAGAATTTCACCAGCAATTTGAGATTTAGTAGTTGTAACATTGAAGAGCGATGGAAAGGAAAAGTTAGTTTCAATTGTTGTATTACAGATTATCATTTCAAGATATTTTTAGCTTATTTTCCTTTTTTTCTTTTGCAATGAACGCTAAACTACAAGGTATTCTGCTTCTATAAAAAATCTTCACTTAATTTTCTCAGTTTCCTCTATCAATTTTCTCTTTGCGAATGACTTGAAAAGGAAAAAAGAATTTTAGAATTTATTAATATTCATTAACAATATAAAATATCGTATATTTATATTAATAACGATTATTTTCTGCTTGACAATTGAAAATTAATGTTAAAAAATTGTCAAGTAAAAAGCTAATTTTATCTCTTCAGGCTCTCAGTTGCGGAAAAGAAAATTTCCTTTTAAATAGTACTTCCTATCCCACTCGCAAAACCAGCAGAAGCCTATACAACTAAACAATCTACTGATGGTTTTTCTTTAGCCAAATAGCTCTTAGTCTTTTCTCCAGCATGGACAAAAAACATGTAGATTTATCCATTTATTAAAGCTGATTTACTGATAATACTACTTAAACTAGCATTTATGCTTCCTACAATGATTCAGAATAGCCTTAATAAAGAATTAATAATCAACAATGTACTAAAATCAAGGTATTTCTAATGGAATAATGTTTCGAAATGTATATTTATAATAAAATAATAAATAGTAATTCTTGATAAATTATGTTGTTAATAGAAATATCATTAATAATTAAAGACGACTTTTCTTGGAAAGCAAAAAGAAACCAGCGCCATAGCTTTGTTTGTATAAGAAATATAGGGATATTAATGTTTGAATAGAATAACAATGTCTAATCTATTCATTATATATAACTCTTGTTCTACTTAATATAAATTGCCATTATTTAATATACTACATATTCTTTTGAATAAAAATTGAATAATAACGTTCTGTTTAAAAATATTCCTCTAACAGTCTATCAAAATTTAATTGAGTTCATTTATATAAATTTAATATATCTAATTATATTCGGTCAACCTACTTTCTAATAAATTAATAACATGTTTAATGCATTTTTATTTTCTACCTTTCATATTCTTTTATAAATTATACGCGTCTTTCGGTTTGTTATTCCATTGGTTTTGTTTTGCAATTCAATACATATTTTGTGCATTCAAGTTAAAATTGCTATAAGTTTGCAGCTGTATTATATCTATTTAATGTTTCATTTTTTATACTCTCTTGTTTATAGCTTGACAAACTTGTAGAGAAGATCTGCACAAACATTTATCCTACAGCTGGCACAGAATGTCTTCTATACGTTTTATCTTTCATGATCTTCATAACTCTGCTTCTATTGCTAATAGTGAAAGAATCTAGAATAGTATTTGTACTAGAGTTAGTTTAGATTTGCGACGTCTTTAATGCCTATCCAAATAAATAATCAAAACGATATATACCTCTTAAACTTGCAGTGAACAATTTAGAGTAACGTTTCTAGTTGAATATCTCAGAGAACAATGAGGAAATATCATTCACTAGACGGCGCATAGAGTCACTTATTCGATTCTACAAAATAAGCTGATGGCAAGTTTTTAAGAAATTGAAAGAATACCTTGTTAGAGCAAAGAATGCTGCTAATTCAATATATTTATAATAAAACATCACATTTTTACACTTCTACAGTTTTTTTTGAATGTAGAAAATACACTTGGAACAGTTTCATCAGATATTGTATTAATACAATATAATAAGCTAATGGTAAGTTTTTAAGAAATTGAAATTACACCTTGTTAGAGAAAGAATGCTGCCAATTCAATATGTTTATAATAGAACATCACATTTTTACACTTCTACAATTTTGTTTAAATGGAGAAAATACACTTGGAATAG